CTGGCTCTCTGCCTTTCTACAGTTGTAAGGCTCACTGTGTTTGTATACAGCTGTAAGGCTCACTGTCGTTCTACAGCTGTAAGGCTCACTGTCGTTCTACAGCTGTTAGGCTCACTGTCGTTCTACATTGTAAGGCTCACTGTCGTTCTACAGTTGTAAGCCTCTCTGTCGTTCTACAGTCGTAAGGCTCATTGTCGTTCTACAGCTGTAAGGCTCACTGTCGTTCTACAGCTGTAAGGCTCACTGTGGTTCTAAAGCTGTAAGGCGCACTGTCCTACAGCTGTAAGGCGCACTGTCGTTCTACAGCTGTAAGGCTCACTGTCGTTCAACAGCTGTATGGCGCACTGTCGTTCTACAGCTGTAAGGCTCACTGCGGTTCTATACAGTTGTAAGGCTCACTGTCGTTCTACAGCTGTAAGGCGCACTGTCGTTCTACAGCTGTAAGGCGCACTGTCGTTCTACAGTTGTAAGGCGCACTGTCGTTCTACAGTTGTAAGGCGCATTGTCGTTCTACAGCTGTAAGGCGCACTGTCGTTCTACAGCTGTCACACTATCGTTCACACAATTTGCATAAAAAATATGAGTTTGTTGCCTAACGCCGCACAGCAGATAAGGTATACTGTCGTTCTACATTTGTAAGACTCACAATCTCATTAAAAGCAGATCTATGTTCTCGCTGCCGCTAAACGAAGATCTGAGGACATCACATTACGGGTCACGTCAGGACGACCTTTCGCGAACTTTGACCGACGACTGAAAGGACATCAGCCAATTAGAAAGCAGCTTTCTCGAGCTTTACGGCAATCGTTTCAACCTGGCGACATCCATTTCTGTCTACGCTTGAAAAATATGTTGACACAGTTCTCGATTAATATTTTGAAAAAAATGAACAAACGAACATTCCGGAATGTCTAATATATGGTTGAGAGTGTATGGCAGTGCTTCCTACGAACTGTGCAACGCGTCCTCCGTTCAAATGTTTATCCCACGAAATCGGGAGATGGACGATAATTTTGACGGAATCAGTCGTACGGACCGTAACTGTCGTTCGGAATACCCAGTGTTAATGTTTTCGAGGTTGCATGATTAGAAAATACATTCCGACTGTCACTTTCATGATCTGGTAAGCGACGCTTTGATTGGTCGGATGAAAGGTCGCTCTGACGTGACCCGTAATGGGATGTCCTTAGATCTTTGTTTAGCGATAGCGAGAACTAAGATCTGATTTTATGAGATTGGTAAGACTCAGTGCCGTTCTACAGCTGTAAGAGTTAGACTTGCTACCGTCCTCCCTCTGTACAAGGTTCGCTGTCCTTCTACGTCTGTTTAGGGCCTACCCTTCTATATCGATTACTTCCATTCAGCGAGTTTGCTATAAGAAAGTATACCGAGGTTGTTTTTTATGTGATTGAAAATTGAAAGAACTGTAAATTTGATTGTGTATATCACTCATTCCTGCAACGGTTTGTAAAAATATTGTGACTTGGTAATTTTGTTTTAAAATTATACTCTTAAAAAAAGAAACGCAATACGGATATTTTTGGCCATAAAAGCAAAATTAGCGGACCAAGAGGTGCAAAATGAAGAGGTTTGATGTGTTATAGTGTTAGTGAAAAATTTCCCGGATCAAAATGATCACATCAAGGACATACAAACCATTAGTTGGGAAACACGTACGATTCCGAAAAATGCACTCAGTGCATTAAACAAAAGGGTCATGGAGCTGCACGTACTGCACGTGCAGCATCACTATGAACGGTATTAAAGTGCAGGGTTTTTGATTGCCTGGCATCTGCGTCAATCGAACAGTGATAGTTCAACAACATGCCAAGATTACCAGAAGTGCAAAGAAACAACGTCATAGGCCGCTTGCAGGCAGGGGAATCCCGATCAGCTGTAGCCAGGGTTTTCAATGTAGCGCCCAGCACCATCACAATGCTATAGACCGCCTCCGTGGTCCTGTGGTAGAGCGTCCGCCCGGAGAGCGGAAGGTCCGGGGTTCGATCCCCGGCCGCGTCATACCAAAAGACGTTAAAAGATGGTACTTGTTGTTACCCTGTCTGGCGCTCGGCATTAAGGGGCTAAAACAAGGACTGGTCGGCTCGGAGTCAGTATACTGTGTCTGAGTGGGGTATTCATGTTAAACTGGGGCGTGATATCTCAGTGAGCTAGCACTATAAATCGGCATTAGTCCGGACTAGAACAAGCAGCCACACAAACACATACTCGTACATGCACGTCGCTATATAAGTGCAATAATCTTGGACGCGACGTTAAACCCAATTTCACCTCACCTCACCTCACCTCACAATGCTATATGGGACGGGTTTCAACAGCATGGGTCAACACGTGATCGGCCAAGGTCGAGACGACCAAGTGTAACCATCCCCGCCCAAGATCGCTACATCCGACTGCGCCACCTACGTGAAAGCACGACCACAGCCACCTCAACCGCATCCCATATACCCGGACTGCGCAGAATTTCCGACCAGACTGTACGAAACCGTTTAAGAGCAGCAGGTCTACGAGCAAGACGTCCTGTTCGACGCGTCATATTGAGTCGACAAGATCTTCAACAACGACTGCATTGGTGTCGTCAACACTGGCTATGGCCTCAACTGCGATGGTGTGATGTCGGGTTCAGCGACGAATCAAGATTTCTCCTCCATCGAGAAGATGTAAGCGCACGGGTCTACAGACGTCTGGGAAAACGTTACGCCGGGAACTGCGTATACAGGAAGTGGACAGGTTTGGTGGGGGTAGCGTTATGATGTGGGCGGAACAGGCAAGACAGGTTTGGTCCATATCCAGGGCAATCTTACGGCTCAACGATGCATCAACGAAATCCTCCTACCACGCGTCCTCCCAATTGCAGCCAACTGCAACGGTGTATTCCAGCAGGACAACGCTCGATCGTATATGAAGCACGGATATGAAGAGCCTGTCTATACAACAACAACGTTGATGTTCTCCCCTGGCCCACCAGTTCCCCAGATTTGAACCCCGATAGTGCACCTGTGGGATGAATTGGATAGACGGCTACGCCGACGTCAATCACAACCCCAGACGTTGTAACAGGTGGCTTTTGCGTTGCAGGCCGAGTGGGCTACCATTCCCCAGGATGTCAGGCCGCTATCGATTCCAACGGGGGGCATACGCGTTATTGATAGTAGCTGACCTTCACCTTGGATTTTTCCTATGTACCGATAACTGAGATGACTACAATTCCCAAGTGTTCTCTCCACAACATTTTGGCTCAATACCTTGTATAGTTCCTCGAGTAAATGTATTTTCCTACCTCACACAAATCTGGCTGTGCGGTTCTTTTTTTTAAGAGTATAGTTACGGCGTTACAGCATTGTATCGCGATGCGATGATTTCGATACAAATACATCGATTTACGACCCCGGTATCGCAATACATACGATAACATTTCATTACAACTTATATGTGTGTAACGTGTGAGTAAAAACAGAAACTGTTCAACCACCAGCTTTCGCAGTTTCTCGAGTAGTTCGTGGTTTGACGTAAATATCAACACATTCACAGTGCCCTCTAGCAATATATTTCTGCCCAACAATATACAATCTATGTTTGCTGAAATTTAATAACCAGTGATTCAGGGTTGTGATTCACCTTCAATACGAAAAAATATCAACTCAAATGAATATTGAACCCATAGAATCGGGATACGTATCGTATCGCGACCCCACCGTATCGTTACACCTCTTATAAAAGTATATTGGTTCATTGAAGACTAGGGTAAGAAATGAATTTGCAACCACATGACCCCTACTATGTTTGAAATGTTGTAAATTTGTGCCGAAAAAAATAAATTTATTGATTTTCAAAGATAAGATGTCTAAGATTGTTTTTCAAGTTTTTCAATTTACTAGAATACATCAAATTATATTTTTTTAAATAAAACCATGTAGAAGTATTCTTTGAGTGCTGACTAAACGCCAGTACAGTTCATTGCATGGATATAATACTGTAAATCTTGAAATTAACGCGAGCGTGAATTAAATGCGAAAAATGCGAGTGAGGTTGGATTAAGGTGAGGATGTTCATATTGAGACGCATTTATGGCTGGGGGCCAGCGGTCGCATTCTTTTGGAGACGTAATAATTTCACGATTTACGGTATCGCTAACTTGAGATATTTTCAATGGAAAATCAAACATATGATTAAGCAACTGAGAAGTATAGTTTATTCTCCTCAGTTTATTATTCCAACATCAACCATTTACATACTTACCTCATAAATTCGATTTTTAGATATCAATAAATACCTGTGGTAGTATCGTAAATTCGAATATCTATAAAAACGGTATCACAAATTTGAAATGTATTTATTGATATCTAACAATTTGTGCTATCAATAATTCATGTTTGTTCACGAATATAATGGATTCCCACATCGTGTAACAAAGACTACTGCATGGTGTGTAAATTGTTATTCAAGGCCCTGTGTCGTTAGTTTAGCCAGACATGCCACTCGGCCAAGAACAATGGAGCGGTTAGTGTGCAAAAGGGAAATAATAATAGTACAAATTCGATAGCTAAAATTCATCATTTGTTCACAATATCGACCACAGAATTGTCTGGTTCAGACTGTTATTTACAGGCCGTCGTAATAAGGCTGAAACATTTGTTTCTAATAGTAATAATTAGAATACACAAATTTGAGGGGCTTAATACTTGTACTAGTACTTATATTTGCCAGCTATAGGCATGCATGCTATAAAAGGATCTTGAGAAAAAGGTCTCCAAAATATGAAATGTAGAGAATTATATCCCTATAGGGTAATACAGTTTTGGACAATCGTGAATTAACATCATTATCTGACCAATCACCCACTTGATAAATGACTATGTCTAGTTTCATATTTGCTGGATTGGATTTTTAAAAAGTTTCCATATTTAAATCGCCAAACTCATTTTCCCGCCATCAATGGCCAAGGGGAAGCTACTCTAATCTTATTCGAAGAATGCAGTTGATTCGTCGATTCGCGCATTTCATTTTTTGACAACTTCCGCCTATCAGTCTCGCACGTTCACCGATGCTTGGTCATTTTGCGAAGTCAGGCGATGGTCGAAGCCGATTTGCCCTTTCTAGACGAAGACGAAATGTTACAGGTCGGAATATAGTCGCAAAAGGTCTCATTACGTCAGTACGCTCCGCGTGAGACGCTCCACGCCGTGCTGCAGTCGCTGTCAGTCTCAACCGGCATTGTTTGTCTGTTTGTTGTCAAACAAGATTCGTCGCAAGTGCTGTGACTACAATATTATTAAGCACCAATCGGACTTTGTAATTTTTGGTTTGAAAGAAATATCAAGCGTCTTAGTTTTGGCTTAATTATCCATCCTCTACCAATTGTAGCGTATCTCATTATCATTACCAGTATAGACCAGCCGGAGACCGTAGACCAGTTCAAGTAGTCGGCTCCTATGAGCTTCTTCGCATCCTGTTCCTCCCCTTGTAGATGAAGACAGGGAGACTGACAGATAGATGTTTTAACGCAACGGGAAATAACGACCCGATGTTATATTAATTTCAATCAGGGGCGTTAGGGTAGTCTAGTGTTCGTTTTGCGGAAGACACTGTGATTCCCACATAGGTACAATGCGCGAAACTCATGTTCACGTGATTGTGCTCGAATTTTGCCAAAGCATCGTAATAAGACCATACTCTATCCATCCCTTTGCAGCCATGCTGCAGCATCATTAACCATTTAATGGTGGTGTTGAACTAATAAAGATACTATTAGCTATGCTGGAAGATATATGGGTAGGACAGGAGTACTTCCAGTGTGTAGCCCCACAGAATATTCAGGGTTATAATAGGTTCCTAGCAACCTATGCAGGTTGTGAGAGATTATCTGGTGGTCAGGCTCGGTGACTTGGTTGATTGTGTGTCTTTGTACCCTAATGGCTTTGATTGTTGTTCATGATATCAATCACTGGATTGTCTGGTCGGGACTCCATGTTTTTCAGGCAGTTATTAAACAGCTGGATTGTTAATGAGTGCTGCGTTATGCAACAAACTAATCTCAGTATGGAGGGTATGTGTAGGCCTATAGCATTTAACAAAAAGAATGTTTAGGTATTGGTTCCTGAGACATGGATGTAACTACAAAATTCAACCTGACAATGATTGAGCTGCAACCCTTTATCTTATGCATTTCAATCCACTGTGAACCATGTGATGATGTCACAGATGATTACAAAAATGAGCATTAATATCAGAAGTTTTAAAACTGTTAGGATGCACATTTCAACAGGGAAAATTAATAATTTTTCTGTGCATTTGCTGATTAATAATAATAATAATAGTCTGGCTATTAAGAACCTGAAATTTTCACTGGCCTAAAGCCTGCCAGTAATACTTGATAGATTGCTCGGCGCATCAGCCTTAGACATTCTTTTTTTAAGTCAAGTCCACAGGTCAAGTGGAAACATGGCACTAATCTGGAGTGTTTGTAGCTAGACCTGTTTGAACAAGACAAAAATGTTTATTATAACCCACAAATGCTACACATCAATGAGGACTAGCATCATCGGATTGTTACTTGTCCTGAGCACAATTTAGTAGTCAGGCTAATGGGCTAGTGTGAATTTTGAAGAAGGAGCATTAAGCAGAATGTTCCTAGCACAAGTCGTTTTTAAGAGTATATATCCTGTGTATTTTTAAATATAATAACATTTGTTTTGTCTGTATGTTTAGGCAGCCATGAATGACGTGATGCTGGATCTGATAGACGAGGTGACACTAGGTCTGTGTTTCGAGGTTCATCGGGCGACCAAGAGGGGCACCATATTCCTGTCTGACACAGATCCCCAGTATGTACACTGTACTTCACTCTGAAAAATTCAACTAGTGTTTCAACTACTTGACTATGGTTTGATCTTTGAATATTGGTTAGCATTGAAGATGACCACTTGTGACCAAAGTGATGACATAAATCCTGCTGGGAATCATGCAGGTAGCAAAGGCACTGTAAGTCTCTGGAGCTACATCTTGGAAAGATACTCTAATAATGCTCTTAATAGTCGCAAAAGTCACAAAGATAATATGAGCATATGGGCTGCCTGACTGCAGCACTGGATCTGTGCAATAAATTGTTCAGGCAATGTCGGTTTGCTTAGAGTGCCAGGCATATGCTTTCATTGTAATGTTTGAGTTTTATCAATGAGATACCATACTTGTGAATAAGCTACTATGGTATGGCCTGTTTTGAAATAAGCCCCTTTGCTTTTGTGTCTAGGAAATAAATGTCTTGAGATTATTTCTACTGTGTGGTGAATTTGATTAGTTTTGAAGTAAACCATTTCTTGTTTATTATGACATATATAAGATACATGGTGATCTTAGTCTTGTAGATTGTGTATAATGAGATCAGACATTTGATATTTTTATTCTTATTTTTCAGGGCACATAAAGATCATGGTACGTAATGTTTGCAAAATTCTGCTGTGTATATTAAATAAAGATGTATGAAGATAGAAAACATCAACCCGTTCTTAACTATTAGAACCATTATCTTAGTGCCTCTAAGTATTATGAGGGGCGATCAGGTAGCCTAGTGGTTAAAGCTTTCGCTCATCACGCCGAAGACCTGGGTTCGATTCCCAACATTGGTACAATGTGTGAAGCCCTTTTCTGGTGTACCCCGTCGTGATATTGCTGGAATATTGCTAAAAGCGGTCTAAAACCTTACTCACTCACTGACTCACTCACTCACTCAATTAAGGATTATGATAGATGATTTCAAGATCAAATATTTATAGTTTGAAAGGCCATAGACCCAACTGCATACTACACTGTGTAGTATTGCTGTAGATGTTTATCCTCTATGCATCTTATATCTAGTTGTATGAGCTCTCTAATTAATGTTCATAACATTTTCTTTTCTGTTCAGAAATTGTTGATCGTCCAGGAGTGGATGTGTTTGGCCAGGTGCCGACAAAGAAGCAGTTTGAGTGTGTGTGTCCTAACTGCCAGCGCCATCTGGCGGCGTCTCGCTTCGCTCCCCATCTGGAGAAGTGCATGGGGATGGGGCGTAACAGTTCCCGTATCGCAAGTAGACGGTGAGGAGACGCTGTGAGACGAACGTAGATAATAGAATAAAATTTAGAATGGCTCAGGGATTGGATTCATTTTCTCATTAAGTATGTGACTTTGACTACGATTATGGTGCATTTTCACCACAGTTTGCGTGAGGTTACCTTTTAAACTGAGTGATGCATGTACATTAAGTATTATATTGCTACAAAATGAATCACGACAACCTTATTCACCTGGAATATGCTGTCATATGATGTTGACATCTGATGATCTGTGAAAGAAAGAAATACAGCCAATCTCTGTTGTTTGTTTGTTGAAGGGGCCTGTGTAATTACTTCAAGTTATCCGAGGTTCGACATAACCGAAAATGATGAACGAACAAGGAATATGCAGGGACAAAGCTTTTACCTCGAGACTAACTTAAGTTTGACAACACAGAGTTTGACTGTAGATGGGAGAACGTTTTATACAGATTGTTTTCACTTACTGAATGATCTTTTTCTTACAGTATTGCCAACAACAGTACCAAGCGAGACAGCGGTGACGATAGTGGAGACGACGACAATGACAACGACTGGACATACATAGAATCAGCCAAGAAAAGTGAGAAAAGCTGGGATGATTCCAGACCCTTTACCTTGTCATTGGTATTGTTTACAGACTGCCGTCATATAGCTGGAATATTGCTGAGTGCAGCGTAAAACAACCAACCAACCTTGTCATTGGTAGACTTGCAAGTGTACTTGCTATTTTGTGTATGTTGCAAGTTGTAACTTGCCAATAATCATGATAATTTCCTATGTAATATGTATCATAAGCTTTGAAAAATGTGTACCTTCAATACTTTTCTGTTCATGTTTGCAGCAAAAAAAACAAGTAAAAAGGAAAAAAGTGTCAACTCTCCTCGCAGAAATAAGTCCCAGGTCAGCAAGGTGAAAAATGGAGGTGGGTAAATTGCAAAAAGAAATATTTTTTGTGTGCAAAAGTCCTTATTTTCTTAGATACAGAGGTATTATAACGTATCCAAAACAATAGTGCCTCTGATTTTATTGGTTCTGTTATCTTCCACCCCTACAAAGCCATAATATTATCCATAACTATATTAAATTGATTAACATGAATAGAAACAATCTTAATTCCAAGTTGGCGCCATTAGCTGCAGACTTGGGAACGAAGTCTCTGCCCCTGAGCAGGCCTAGATAAATCTATGGAATTCTACTAAAGATGTTGTATTTGTGGAAGAGGACTTACTCAAAGTTAACACACAACAACACTGAGTAAATTGAACGAAATCGCATGATTACCAAACACGAATTGACAAGCCACAAGATGGACACTCGTTTTAAAAAAACTGTCCCCACTTCCATGGCTATGTTGACCATGACCTTGTGTTTTACAGGTGACTCCAATACGGAAAGCATCGGAACACCTGAATCTAACTCACTCAACTATGAAAGTATGACAATAGGTGAGGGTTTTGTACATCACTACTCCATAATGCCTTACTGTACGTGCAAAACAGTTAACTGTACCTTTGTAAAGTGATTTGTTATAGTTCTGTAACAGTTGTACTGTGTTTGTACATGTTTGTCAGAGAAATGTTAAATAATAGTGTATTGTTATGTTTTTTTTCTGCAGAGGAAAGAAAGTCGCTTCTTTTACTGGTAAGTTGAAAATGTTGCTGTTGATAAGATGCTTGCACGTTACCGACTTCTCTTCTCTCTGTAACTTCAGGGTAGAGATACCATGTGGGGATTCTGGGGTAAGATTGGTTCCCAGCAACCTATGCTGGTCTTAATAGGCGACCAAATGGATTGGTTGGTCAGGCTCGGTTTCATATATATTTATCCTGCTGTTTTTCAAAACGGACAGGATATAGTGATCAGCTGTCCGTTTTCTGAAACCATTGAATATTTCTTGTTGAAACTTGATATGCATATCTGGTGCCTTTTGATGATTTGGGATTTTTGTTTTTTAAATTTTTTGTTATCATGACGACAAGTTGGACTTACTCTGAAAAGAAGGGAAGTGCTTGTTTTCAGAGCAGAGCCCCAAGACCATTGAATATTTTTCGATGAAACTTGCTGTACAGATCAGTCTTGTGCCTTTTGATTATTTGGGATGTTGAAAAATACTGAACAGCATTATTTTTTCTTCACTGAACTGAATGTATCCAGTGGCAGTGAACCATTGGTGAGGTATCAGTGGCCAAACTCCATTTCTGAATTGCACCTGAATGTGGGAATATGTCATCCCCTTATTTATGAAAACAATGTGTTTCACAAGTTAATACATTTCGTTTTTAAGTACAATTTGACGGAAACAGCAAATATCATTGATGACACTAGCATATACACCAGTTAATCAAAGGGGTTTTGAACCAGTGGTTAGTATTTCTATATGTAGAAACAAAGTTATCTCCCCTGACCGGAGCAGCAGGTTGCTGACTACAGGTTGGTCATGTGCTTTTGAAGATAACACTAATTAAAGAACTTTGAAGTAAGATGTATTGGTCAACTGTATATAGGTGACTATTGTAGACATTGTTTCTTTCTAGACGTGCGGGGTAATCTCAGAACACACCAAGAAGATGTGCACAAGGTTTGTGTTATAACAATACATGTGTATATACTACTTAACTCTATATAATAACGATAGTGCATAGCATGTACTTATTGGTTATCAATATCATTGTTACTGGGTCAATTGAAAAGGGGGCATCGGTGGCTCACTCACTCCCTCCCTCCCTCCCTCACTCACTCACTCACTCACTCTTTCTCTCTCTCTCTCTCTCTCTCTCTCTCTCTCTCTTCCCCTCCCTCTCTCTCTCTCTCTCTCTCCCCCCCTCTCTCTCTCACTCTCACTCGGGGCGGTCGGGTAGCCTAGTGGTTAAAGCGTTCGCTCGTCACGCCGAAGACCCGGGTTCGATTCCCGACATGGGTACATTGTGGGAAGCCACTCACTCACTCACTCACTCTCTCTCTCCCCCTCTCTCTCTCTCCCCCTCTCTCTCTCTCTCTCCCCCTCTCAGTCTCTCTCGGGGCGGTCGGGTAGCCTAGTGGTTGGGGCGGTCGGGTAGCCTAGTGGTTAAAGCGTTCGCTCGTCACGCCGAAAACCCGGGCTCGATTCCTGACATGGGTACATTGTGGGAAGCCACTCACTCACTCACTCACTCACTCACTCACTCACTCACTCACTCACTCACTCACTCACTCACTCACTCACTCACTCACTCACTCACTCACTCACAGTACTTAATTTGGGGTCTCTTTCTACAGTATATTTCTTCAAGGACAAAAATAAATGAATACAGAGGTAAATCAAACTACTGTCTTCAGTTAAATCCTTCCCATCAACTAAATGTATGGTTCAGTGACACGTCGCGTATGTAGCCTCACTACAGTGTAGAATAACGTCTGTATTTCCTCCTGCTACATGCATATGTGTCTGTGTTTACCTGTCAGGTCCAGTCGATGTCCTCAACACACAGATGACCAGAGGAGTAAAGTCCGACAGTTGCTACTGCGGCAGGGGTATGTGTCTTCTTACAAAACAATTTAACCCGAGGATGATGCGATTTCATAGTGAGATAAGTGGTGTGTCAGACATTATCACAAACGTAGCATCATATTCATGAGTTGGTAGTTGGAAACACTTTCGTTTGAATTTTGTGGAATCTTCTGAAGTGAGTCATCTCCGCTGTCCAGGTTATTTATGATTAGACATACACTCAGTGGAAAGCAAATGATTTTGTGAAAAAATCCAAAAATTAGCTCACAAATATCTGGTTACCTTCGAAAGCAAAATGTATGAGTGCTATATTTAATGGTGCAAATCGATACTTTACCATTGCATTATTTATGTTATTACCAAATACATGAAATGTTTACGTAAGAAAAATAAAATTCTGCTTTATCTTTCCCTGATGTCATGGAACATTATGGAAACATCACACAGTTAACATTTCTACATGCAATGGGTTTTTTTCAGTTCATCCCTTGAAGGTGAGGACGTACACGTCGACATAGACAGCATCGACGATGCAGAGAACCAGGCACTGCGAGAAACCCTGCAGTGGGAGGCCTCCTCTAACTCCTCCCCTGCTGACTCCACCTCCACCAACAACAGTAGGTGGACACATCTCTTCCTCACATTCAGACAGTGGTAGAGCGTCCGCCCGAAAAGTGGAAGGTCCGGGGTTCCATCCCTGGCCACATCTCTTCCTCACATTCAGACAGTGGTAGAGCGTCCGCCCGGAGAGTGGAAGGTCCGGGGTTCCATCCCTGGCCACATCTCTTCCTCACATTCAGACAGTGGTAGAGCGTCCGCCTGGAGAGTGGAAGGTCCGGGGTTCCATCCCTGGCCACATCTCTTCCTCACATTCAGACAGTGGTAGAGCGTCCGCCCGGAGAGTGGAAGGTCCGGGGTTCCATCCCTGGCCACATCTCTTCCTCACATTCAGACAGTGGTAGAGCGTCCGCCCGGAGAGTGGAAGGTCCGGGGTTCCATCCCTGGCCACATCTCTTCCTCACATTCAGACAGTGGTAGAGCGTCCGCCCGGAGAGTGGAAGGTCCGGGGTTCCATCCCTGGCCACATCTCTTCCTCACATTCAGACAGTGGTAGAGCGTCCGCCCGGAGAGCGGAAGGTCCGGGGTTCCATCCCTGACCACACCATACCAAAATACATTGAAAGATGGTACTTGTTTCTACCATCCTTTTGTGCTCGGCATTAGGGTGCTAGAAAAAGGACTGATCGGCTCAGAGTAGGTATACTGTGTCTGAATGGGGTATTCATGTTAAACTGCGGCATGGTATCTCAGTGAGCTAGCACCATAAAATCGGCATCATTCCAGACTAGTACAAGCAGCCACGCACACACGTGTGCATACACATCGCTACAGAAGTGCAATAATCTTGGACGCGATGTTAAACCCCATTGCACCTCACCTCACCATTCATGCATTAAATGTCTGGAATAATGCAGAGCATCATACGACTCGTCACTCACACATTCAGTAAACTAACTATGTGATGGTTTTTTACAGGTACAGGGTCCAGAAAAAGGTCACAGAAAAGTTCTTCAAAGTCAGGCGGAAATAAGAAGAGAAAAACTGGTAAATCTTCAGCCAATAATGGGGGAAGCAACACAAGTTCCTCGGCCAACCTCTACGACTTCAGCTGAGTGTGACTGCAGTGGTAGATACATCTATACATATGTGAAGATGACAATACTCTCTCAGGGCTGATGAGTTAACAGCTGGGCCCTGTCATGGGTATATGTTAACTTGGTCACCAGTGTAGTGTGTATCAGCCAGTCGGGTGCGGACAGGCCTGCTTCAACTGGCAAGCAGCTGGAGACATACTGTGGTGGTCCCCCACGGGGTTGGGGGTCATGCAGACAGACTGTGGTGGTCCCCCACGGGGTTGGGGGTCATGCAGACAGACTGTGGTGGTCCCCCACGGGGTTGGGTGTCATGCGGACATACTGTGGTGGTCCCCCACAGGGTTGGGTGTTATGCGGACATACTGTGGTGGTCCCCCACGGGGTTGGGTGTCATGCAGACAGACTGTGGTGGTCCCCCACGGGGTTGGGTGTCATGCAGACAGACTGGTGGTCCCCCACGGGGTTGGGTGTCATGCGAACATACTGTGGTGGTCCCCCACAGGGTTGGGTGTCAACCCGATTCTTGACCAGTGTCCCGTCACGGTGACATCGTCTCACATCTCAGGGCAGGGTCATGTCAGTGTTGTATGGCTGTTCTCAGTAGTGTGAGGAATTAGATAGGCTGTGCAGATGTGCCAAAGTTTAATGTGGAGTTGCATGCACTGGTCTTGTTCCTTAATCTAATACCAAACTGTTCACCTGGTCCTGTTCCCTCATAGCACTTGGTGGTGTAAGTCATGGCATAGCTAAAAAAAGACCCTCAGAGCTTGTTTAATCCAAATCAGATTGTTATGCCTCTGTTAAGAATCTTGCAATTCAAACGGTTAACCCGTATCACGTGATGAAACAATACACTTCAATGTAGAACCCGAAATCATGTGACTGACACTGACTTCGAATGTTGACTCGTCACATGATCAGTATTGACCTGTCACGTGATGAATATTGACTTTAGTGCTAGAAAACAAGAAGGCATCTGGTATGAACATTTTACAGTTCGCAGCTAAGTTACTATAACACACCAGATACAGTTTAAAGACTTCATAAATTTGATGAGGTAAATATGCAAAAACAACGCCCGAAGGACCTGGCCCCTTCTGTCAAACCACCTCGGGGGTTGGGTCTACAGGTCCTTCTTTTCTCATGTTTTTCCTTCTCAAGAGAAATTATTTGTTTAGTGTGTTTTTGGTGACTTACTACAGTATTGCCAGCTTGTGGGGTTGGGGAGAGGGTGGCCCAGTCATGCGAGGTACCATGATTCACTGTTTAGGCTTGCATCTCTTAGCAGTGCCAAATTAACAATAGATTCTGTCACAGACTTATGGCCATAGGGCTAAGATCAGCTTCTTGGACAAGACAGAGGGCCCCATTCTACAGAGTCATCTTAGCGCTATGATGATAATAAGTCTGTTGAAGATTATGACAATACAACAGTGGTGGACCTCGGATTGCTTTGTGGAACCCATTCTAGAGTCATCTTAGCGCTAAGATGATAATAAGTCTGTTGAAGATTATAACAATACAACAGTGGTGGACCTCGGATTGCTTTGTGGAACAGGACCCAGCATTATGAAGAACTGAGTTCAATCTAAATGACATCCCTATTGCTGAGTCATCATAAATCACAGACTGCTTGGTTCCCTTCTCTCTTTGTCCCCTGTCCAGATTCTGGGTCAGAATTAATCAACCTGTGCTTATTGTACACAGGGTTTTAGTATCTTTGGTGGTCAGGCAGGTCAGGTGGTGACTTGGTTTATAGTCTCAACGTACCGTGAGGGCGTGGGTCGTCGCTCATCAGAATGGATTGCTTACAGGTTGCCATCATGTAGCTGGAATATTACTGAAATTGGTGTTAAACAATTTAAATAATAAGACACCGACATCTCGCTGAGTGTGGTGCTAAACAACAAATAAACAAAAACAACAAAGGATCTTTCCTTGAGTTCTTGCTCCAGTGTATGGTATTGTGTCATGGAGAAATGTGTATATAGAGCAGAGACCGTGTACATACAACCGGTGAGACTGTTGCTACAAGATGGCTTCTCTTGACTATGGTTTGTAAATTGCGAAATATTCAGTGTTGGTTGGCAGAGGAAGTTCGGTTGTATAATTATTGTTTTTTTCTCAGATACTGTGTCATGGTGGATATGTTTGGGTATCCAGTAGTTTTGGAAGAGCTTTAAACATCAAAATGAAAGTGAATTGGTGACAGGCTATTTGGTAGTGAATGAGAGCTTTAATCTGAATGGTTAAATGGCCTCTTGCTGTTGCTATCATGATCAATCATGAATGATTGAGAATTGAAAAATATGACCTTGTACGTTAAGGGATTACAGAGTGGGACACTTTGTGGAACAGATTGATTTTTTTTGCCCCCATAGGGATCCTGGGTTAGAATTAGCCTCCAGCAACCTTTGCTGGTCGTATAAGGTGTCTAAATGGACTGAGTGGTCAGGCAGACTTAATTATTTACACACCACACCACACCACACCACACCACACCAACCCTTGGTTGCCTCATCTTCCTTTCTTGAAGGGGGCACAGGTGGCCCATTCGTCTAAGGTGCCCCAATTCACAGTGCAGAGTTGCATCCCTTAGGTGTGTCAGAAACCTATGATCATCGGGTTTTCCTCCCACATGAAGCTGACATGCGTGATATAACTTACATACTGCTCCAACTAGCCTTAAACCAACCTCACTTCCACCGTTCTTGTACTTTTCTTCTCAACATTTTTCACTACAAGAACAAGCGTGCCTACTAAGATGACATAAATTCAGTTTCATTTTGATTTCTGCACAATGCTTTGTAAACTAGTCTGGGTTAATTAAAGAATAATCCTTTGTAAACTAGTCTGGGTTAATTAAAGAATAATCCTTCATGGAAACAGGGAGACACAACTAGTGACATTTGTTTAGGATAATATATCAACGACGAGTGAACGTCGGATAGTGAAAGGAGAGTAGTACATCGCTACAATTACACAGCTGTCTTGTAATGTGTTTGTTTCTGTGAATGATGTTGCTAGACGATGTGCTGCGTCAGTTGTTGTTGTTGACTGGTGGTTCAGTTCACTGTTCAAGCAGATCATGGGCTACACGTCCAGTGAGTCAAAGTTTCCAACAGGACTTCTAATTCATCACATGACGATTAAGTGATCTGTTCTCATATGTTAAAGTATGAAAAGTTGTCTTTCTTGATTTTGCAATGTGCTTAAAGCGAACAACTTGTTCCTTTGTTACTTTGTTTATAATGTATTTATTGTGTACAGTACAAGATGTGAAACTGTATGAATATACAAATGAATAAACAATTAATGGTTGCCTGTGTGTGAGTTTTTGTGAAGCAATAAATCAGCTCTGCACGCTGTACATGCATTTACAAGCATGTATCTAGACCAGGGACCGGTTCCACAGAACGGTGACTGGCTACGACTGTCATAAGTCTGTTTTAGTATGGGAGTTACAATCACCTTAGCACAACGAGTGTCGTAAGTCTGTATTTAGATATGAGAGGTACGATCACCTCAGTGCTAAGATCGCTTTGTGGAATGGAACCCTGCTAAGATGCTGATATTCAACCCTAAGTCTGCAAATGTCGGTAAAAACAAATGAGACATTTTCAAAATCATGCTAATATATTTATTACTAATGTTGTGTCTTTGTGGAGGTGACGTGTATTTCACTGATAACAGGACCAATACAGAGGAAGAGGCGTTGATGCTTAGTTTAACCTTAGTGCAAGGTTAAAATTCAATGTAAATATCTCTGAATTTAGGAAAATAACAACATTAAAAACAAATCCCAAGTCCCAATTTGAAACAAAATAAAAAAAGAATTCCCCTAATTTGCCTTCAGATTCCAAGATACATCCCTGATGTAAGCTGTGTAAAACTTGTTTACAGTGAAACCTTGTCAGTCTGGTAACCCCACTTTTCAGATGTAGGATGATAGGAAGTTCTGTTTTAACAATTCCTATGATTTGTTAATCTGGAAATATAGAAATCTGGATGATTTTTCCTGGGAACGGGTCCATGGGATTAACAAGGTTTCTCTATAGAAATTGAAGTAACCAAGACCAGCTCATCCTTGATAATCCAGTGTTATTATATTAAAGTATTATTCTAAATATATTTTTAAAAGACAATATAAACAACATTATGAAACATGCTCAAATTTACCGTAATTTCGGATTAATTCATGACAAATCAAAGTATTTTCCTATTGCATGTCATATGATGACATTGAAGGTCAAGGTCACTAAGGGCCCCAAAGGCTTGTTTATGCGATACTGACATGCATGTCATTGGAATTTGACAAAACTTGATGTAGATGATCTCTTTGGCATGTTGGGTGGGGTCTTATTGTGAGAAGAATCTGATGACCTCAGATGAAGGTCAAGGTCACCAGAAACCTTTTTGTGAAACATGAAATTAATTATATGAAAAAAATATTCATTGATAAATAATACGTATGCACTTTCTTCTATACATACTGTGTCAAGGTCATTCACACATTGAAAGACATGTGAACAGTTTTATGCAGACTATTTACATCTAACACCACATATGCTTTTAATTTAAAATTTTCTGAAAAGCTGACAGCCTGGGACTGAAGGTCAATAGGCCACAAATGCTTAGGACTGAATTGAGCATTTGTTTTCTCCAAACTTAATGTAAGGCAGCATTATGTTAATTTATGCAAATTTATTTAACTCACGTGATGTTAATGTTCTACGTTTCTTAGTTTTATATTTATGTAAATTATTATCCTTCTGTACGTATAACTGTGCCATGTGGCCAGAATTATGAAATAAACTTGATTGATTGGTTAAAGTTTGTTATTAGAGGGTTAGAGGCATGGGAATTTCTCTATGAAGTTTTTCTGCATGAGCATGTTTTCAAACCGGAATTGATGTTATTAAACTGTAAGTGCTTTAACTTGTGTTCAGAGAAGAAGGTGGTGTAGCACAACATCAGATAACGTTAGGGATCAAAGATGAATACAGATAGATGTTGGTGAGGTCAGCTGTCGCCTGATTTGGTAAAGTCAAAATGGTTGATGATACGATTCTGATGGGAAGGTCTTGTGGCATTCAGAATAGCCTGGGAATGTGCCTGCTGCTGTTTTTACATGTAATGTAATCAAGGAGTCGATTTACAACAGTCAAAGGTCAAGGTCTCTCGAGATCAAACCTAATATCTATGTAAAATAACTAATAACTTATTAGTTAAGATGAATTAGGTCTGCATGTCATGAACCCATTTATTATTTGTTTGTGTCAAGGCTATTTGTAGCAAAACATCGTAAATACAAAAAGGCTGTTCATGTGAGGAGTATACTGAAAGGCAAAATAAAGTGATTTAGAAGTGATGACTTTGACACTGTTTAGTGCACAGTAAACCAACAAGTCAGTGAAATGAGTGATTATGGTTTTACACTGCTTTTAGCAATATTCCAGCAATGTCAAGGCAGGGGGACACCAGAAAAATCGGCTTCACACATTGTACCATGTTGGGAATAAAACCCGGGTTTTCGGTGTGACGAGCAAATGCTTTGACCAATAGGCTACCCCACTGCCACTAGTGAAATGAAAAACGGGGTCCTACAGGAAAGTTACAGATTACAGTCTGCACATGGTGATGATTAGTTCTGCAGCCTGTAAGCGGTGACACAGTCCACTCCGACACTGATCACTATTGTCCTTGCCGTTTGTGATGCCTGCTGGTAGCAGTTTCTGAGATGAGAGACAGCAATCAAATGGTCCTGTAAGCGGAGGTGGAGTCCACTCCAACACTGGCCTCGAAAATGATCAAGCTGTTAGTCTGGCGGCTGACAACCTGGTTATTGTCATTGTAACAGCACAAGCCCCCACTTTCATTTGCAGTCAAACAAATGTCAGAACAATGACGCATAATGAGCAAGGTCACACACTGTAACCTCCTGATGCTTACTGTACCGATCGTCAGACACTGGACCTGGGAACCTTTCTGTCCCATTCACTCTAGACATTGGCACCAGAGAAGCTGAAATTGGTAAAAAGTAGGGCTGGGATGATACACCAACTGTGCGACCCAATACATATCATGATCCGATACCTATCACAATTCTATTGCGTAAGCCATCTTTTTCATAGGCAGGATGGCTAAATACCTGGCACACTGACGATTATCAGTTGGCAGTGTCAAGAATGACACAATGGATGAAAATATTTACGTTTTCACTAATAATTAGTGTTTGGTGTAACAGTTACAGTGTTAGAAATCGGCACTAGTCCTGTAGTCCTAGCCAAACTGCCCAATAGTTAAGGTATCATGAGGACAAGTAGAAATTTGCCATTTTTAAGGGTTTTGCTACATGTTATCATTATAAAGACTAGTGGACTGAAACTGTTAGTTTCTACGGTTGAGTTAGCAAACATATAAGGTTAGAATCGATACTTCCTGTCAACAATGCATCAGTGTATCATCCCACTACTAGTGAAAAGCCATGTTCATATTCAATTGATGAATCATAATCTTTTATTGACGATTCCTTATCAACTCCCAACAAGAGTCATCAGAAGATGACAAATCCCCCCGGCCCCAACAAATTTCGAAAGAACAAATTATCTGCCTGTTAAGTCCACTTGATGAAGAATTTCTATCTGATCTGTCTGTCAGTATACAAGAGTAGTTATTGAGCTATCAAAACAATACCATGGATTTGGGATTTGGAACTTTGAAGTCAAAGTCAAACTTGTTGCCAGGGAAACGGAAAAATATAAATTCTAACAATCCCTAACTAGCAAAAGGCACCAGATGACAAACTGGTCATATGTGTGCATAGTTTCAAAGAATACCTATTAGTTTTAAAGATGTAGTCAAACTTCTTGCCATGGAAACAGGAAAAAAATAATCTAAATTCCTAAGTAGCAAAAGGCACCACTTCAACCCCTGAATAATACATGTCCCAAATTTGATTCAACACTGTTGAACAGTTTTTTAGTGCTGCTCCAGAAACGACACCTACCTCCATTTCAGCGAAGTCTAGATACACGGAAAAATGAAATTTTGAAACATTCCTAAATAGCAAATATAATTTTTTTACAAATTACAAAACAGCAAAAGGCACCACTTTAGCATGTGACTGATACACCTTGTTATCAAATATACTGTATGTTTTTCGAATTCTGCCCTGGAAACGAACTCCATCCCCAATGGAGTCTATGTCCAACTTCTTTCCATAAAAATTTTTAAAAAATAAAAATTCGGAAAATCGCAAAATATCAACAGGCACCACTTCAGTATGTGACTGATAGATTGGCCAAGTTTCGATCAATTACACTGAATGGTTTTCGAATTCTGCCCTGGAAAAGAAAATGATTACGGACGGACGAACAGACAGACTGGCATTATGTCCGGGGGATAATAATCACACACAACAGAGTTCCTTTACTAACATGTATTCAAAGTTTATTCAAGAAATAATACAAACATAAAAAGTTACTGATATCTGATGATACATACTCCAGCTGATACAGTGCAGTGCATACATGTACATGCTGGTCTGCCACTATCTTTGAAGACTATTTATCAGCTCCTGTCTAATACTGGTAACAACTACAGCAATGATTATCAAACTAAAACTTGTAAAAAGACAATCGGTCAATATCACCATAGTGACTGACAAGAAGCAACATTATGCTGTACATTCATTCCACTAATCATGCTGCAAGTAAATTGTAATCTGCATTGAATAAATTACTATTCTCATATACTGACTGATAACTAATCCAGCCTAATTCACAAAGCAAAGTGCCAAGCTCTTGTACAATATATTCCATGTCATACTCCTATAAATTACTTTCGAAATTCAACAATACGTACAATTCTACATATTCACTACATTAGGTGGGTGTCCTGGATGCTGAAGCCACGATTCATCTGACTGATGAGGCACTGCTGTTCTATAAATATTAGCCCAGTACAAACTACAATAACAATGTGCAGTGTTAAAAGTTAAACCTGAAACTCGAGGGGCCTATTTAACCCCAAAGTTCCAACTTAAAGATTAAATAGGGCCCTAGATTCAAATACCACAGAGACAAACTTCTAGCATCCCAGGACTCCCTTTATCTCGAACACTGCTGAACTATTACTTCAACTCCAAGACTATGAGGGTGACAGTGTCAAGACACCAAGTTAACATTCATTGTCATAGATAACTAACAGTAATGTCAAAGTACATTAGGTATTGACATTAGCCATAGCCTTATAGCATGGGCAACTATGCCAATAATTATAAGCAATGGGTTGAACACTTTTAGGGTCTTAAGATATCACAATGTGAACTAGTACTTTCTCGATTAATTTCTTTCTCTATTGCCTGCTAGTGTTCAGTTTTCCAGAGCCATGTTAATGGCCGCGTCGATACAGATCATCTTCTGAAGCTGACGGGGAACCCATACACAACTGGGGCTGCTCCTATGAGGAACGGCAATCGGCACTGATCCCGGGCTGCAGGAATAGCCTCCAGTAAGCTGCCCTCCCCCTCCGATGACATCCATGATGTCAACATGCCTCCCAGGAACCTGTCAATGTCGCGATCCGTCACGTCCCATAAGTTGGCTATGATGGTAGGGCTGAAATGGACAGAAAATGTGTCAGACGTGTTTCACAATTTTCCTTTACGTCATATAAATGGAGGATAATTTTCGAATATTCTTTTCAAAGGAACGCTAATATTTTGAACAGACAACATATTCGTGATGTACTCAAATAGGTGGGTATTATTTCCCATGTAGAATACAGTGTATGATGTTGCTGCAGCTGCTCACCATCCTGCCAGGAAGTAGTTGTTGATCATGCCGGTGGCCTCCAGGATTCCACGGGTCTGCAGGTAACCACTGCTGCATCCCATCAGCACCGCCACCGCCCGACACCGCAGCTGCTGCAGGTCAGAGCCGGAGTAGTACTTGCAGCCACTGCCGTGACCACAGTAGCTGAAACACAAACCAGCTCCAGCATTCTCTCCCCAACTATTGTTACAGGCTGCGACTTTAGCCACTAGTTCGAAGCCTGTGCCAAATAAATTCTGTTTGATATTGGAAGCGCAGCTAATAATAGTCCACATGATAACACAAAAATTTAATGAAAATGATGACACAAGCCATGTTTGGGCTAGTAGACAAATGTTTTTGGCACAGACTCTTGTTTAAGAACTCGGATAGTATCACTCCTAAATTGCTTGTTTGTCAATGTTTGTCATTAATATTCGAGGTGTATTCGTCCCGTAAGTATTCAAGTCTGGGACAGACAAACCACACTGCCGTGGTACGATGAAGATCAACAAAGTAAACGAAAGTTCTTAATGTGTACTCCTCAAAGTGAATCAAATGATTCATTATAACAGTTTGTATACGATTAATCGGGTTTTCATCCATGCCATACAAGGAGATACAAAGGGTTAGAGTACTTTATTAACTTTGGTCGGAATTCTTATCACATCACAATTAACATTTAAGTTTCCATAAGTCTATACTACCCTTTTTTGACAAGACGAAGAGTCTATACAAGATACAAAACAACCACTTAAAACTGACTTACATGAAGAGGTCATGATCAGTTAATGCTGACTTGAACTGATTGGGGGTAGGCTTCTCTCCGATAAGTCCTGACCATCCAGAGGGTCTGCAATCAACATACAGGGATGAGAATGGACATTTTCCTTTTCAGTTGAAACTTCTTTCCAATGGAGCATGGCCCATAATTGGGGTGTTTTTATGGGGGGGTTCATCAGAATTTAACAAATTCACGGATCCACGGAAGATGGTCATCCCTAATCATAACAAAGTATGCACAAGCTGCCACGTCAGCTTCACAAACAGTGGTCAAAATAAGTGCCTGTCCGTAGGCCCATGGCAGGCAGATCTCATGTCGGGCCCATAGTTTCAAGTTTGTATGGGTCCTTATGGCCTGCAGAAAATTTACAGTTTTTTACAAGAGGGTATGAAGAGTTTAGTTGGGGCCTGCATCTTCAAAAGTCTGTTGGTCCTGATGGCAGCCTGACTTTTCTTAAATTTTGAACTCTGTTCACAAAGAAAATATTTTTAAAAACTTCTTAGATCAACGTGACTCCAACTTGTAGATCTCAAAGCTGAAAGATCAATGATAGTTGTTCTGAAGAAATACTAGGTGATTTATAGATCTGGTTCAAAAACAGCCTCCACATTAAATTGATTCAAAATCCCACTTGTTTCAATGGAGATAACAAAACTAGACAGTACATTGCCAAAAGTAATACCTATGCTTCATTGCAAAGTTTTGTGAAGAATTTCCTTTTTTAAATTCTGATTTGGAAACAATAGATGTCTTACTCTCTGAACAAGTTCTCAAAGGACTCCTGCGTTGACATGAGGTCGTTGTCAGGGTTGAGTATGTAGAAGGCATTCTGAATATCAACTCCGCTGACACAGGCATGAGACTGAGACATGTGGCCTGCTGACAGCTGAGTGTGGAGGTGGTAGAGAGACGGGATCCTGGTGACTGGGTGGCTGCGGAGGCTGGGGAGGCTCTCCCACGGCAGGTGCTGGACATCCTGTACACAAAGGCACACACTAGGAAATCTTCCATTTTACATGGGACTTATAAAAGTGTATCATGAGGTAAAGGGTGGGAAAATTATGGCATTTGTACCTGTATTATTATATTACACCCATCATAGCATCTTGATAAAATAAATATTCTTGAAAAAGCTTAATTTAATGTCGCAACATATTTCCATTGGATAAGAAGTCAGTGTGTGACTAAGAAACTGGCCACTTAGGATCTACATGAGTGAAGGGATGCTAATAGAAGCATGTCGCCATAGTCAATTACCGTAGTTTAAACATTTCTCAAGACAATACTCCTGCATGATTAGGCACAGAATGTGGGAATCTTTGGGTAATGTGCAGCTGAGACAGTACAATAAAGGGGTGCATACTACATTACAAGCCAAGATGCATGGATCACGATACCATAAGCCTATAAATGATACAACAGTCTGAGATTCATGTTTCGTAATGCACATTTAGAATTTTGTTTACAAGGTTTAAGTATTTCTTGTATCTTACTACAGCCGAAGCACAAAGATGGGTAGCTTCGGAAGTCTCATAATGAAAACATACTTCACATGTAAGATACTGCATATATATGTCTACATTGCTTAAGACTTGCTGATTGCTATAGATATTTACCTTATCTAGGACTAACAGGACTGGCTGCCGGCAAGGATGAGAGTCCATATTGGAGGCTAGAGTTTCGCAACACTTGGACACAGCAGTGGTGAGTTTGTGGGCAGCCTCATTGTTGACCTTCACAAGCTTGGTGGCGACGTCGATGTGGTTGTCTACAGGGAGGCTGATACACAGCGTCAGCAGCAGCTGCAAGATACAACATCCTGCTATGTCAGATTGTGTTTCCATGGCCTTTTCAAATGTACCATCATTTGCCACCATTAACTACTGGACGGTGTATGACCAAATCATGCTAAATCATGCTTGATGCTATAGGGGATCAACTCATATTAAACATTTAAGTACTTGATGATGCAAAATAGTGAGTGAGTTGGGTTTAAGGCCGCTTTTAACAGTATTCCGGTTATATCGCGGCGTATCAGCTTAATGTGGGAGGAAAGCCCAAAGAGATGCAGGTTTTAGATGTTTACCACTTCCATGAAACCCACAAGCATGGGTATGGTGCTGACAAACCTAGAAACATAATTGGCGCAAACCGGGATTCAAACCCACAATCAAAGGTTTCTGGTGTGCCCAAGGGATGCAACTCTGCACAGCAAATTGCGGTTCCTTAGACGACTGGGCCACCCATGCCCCCTGATGCAAAATAGGTGAGGTGAGGTGAAGTGTCCAAGATTATTGCGCTTACATAGCAACTTGCATGCACATGCATGCGTGCGTACCTGCCTGCTTGTACTAGTCCGGACTGATGCCGATTTAGAGTGCTAGCTCACTGAGATACCATGCCGCAGCTTAACATGAATACCCCACATAGACACAGTATACAGACTCCGAGCCAACCAGTCCTTGTTTTAGCCCCTTAATGCCGAGCGCCAGACAGGGTAACAACAAGTAACATCTTTTAACGTCATTTGTTATGAAGCGTCCGACGATTGAACCTCGGACCTTCCGGTCTACCACTAGACTAGAGAGGTGATCTGATGCAAAATAGACATGCCTCGTATATAAAATGAACTTATGTACATGTACAAGTTAAGTGTCTAGTACGAAGAGCTGTCTAACTGGTCTAACCCTTCAAAAAAAAAAGATCTTGACTTAAACAGATTCCACAGCATATACTTCAATGAGTGCACTTTTCCCATCAAGCATCAATAGTGATGAGCCTTTATACATACCTCTAGAACTTGTGGCTCTATTACTATCTTGCAGGACTTTTTGATGTCCTTCTGGAGCTGTGTAAGTATTTCATTGACTTTTGACCTTTGACCCAAGGACAGCTGACCTTGTAGTAGACACACCCACTTTCCCAGCCAGTACTTCTCCATCAAGTCAACTACAGACTGGCAACAAATTAAGGACATGTAGCATTTCACTGTATGGCAGTAACATTAGCACATGTATCATGAGTGATCTTTCTTCTTGTTCTTGTCTTAAGATAGAAAAAGTTACCTGCATAATATAGCAGGTGATATAGGAAGAAAGCATATCATAATGTACACTGTGTACCGGTAGTTAGCAGTGAGCAGATGCCTACCTGTACTCTATCATTGAGGTCCCTGCGAGTCTGCCACCACTGATTCTTGTCCGTCAGCTTCATGCTCTCGCTGCTTGTCTGTATTATTGCCTTGAACTCAGGTAGAATACTCCGACCCTGTTACACGGAATAAACACCACTGAGAATCAAGAATCTTACAATATATCATGATGTATATTATGTTACTGATATGGAACAGACAGCTAATAATGGGTGAACAGAATCAGTAACATCACAGCTATCATAAGTAGCCTGCCACACAGGTTTGGGCCTGGAGCAGCAAATTGATGGTGTGATAAAACATCCATGCTGTTGGAATAAATTGAAGGAATGAGTATTATGCCATTCATATATCAGTGGCCTGGTAATAATCGAATCTGGATCAGACAAATCAGTGGTTGATATTATGAGCAACACTCCACATCATTGGAGACTGATGACATGTGATCTAAGTAATCAATCTTCCTGCTGGGTGTCTAACATGTTTTCCAAAAAGTTTACTGGACAAAGGCAAGTGAGAATGGAATTTCAGTTGCCCAATATTCAAATTCATATGCCCAGATTTCCTGTTGCACCTTGCCAAGAACCAGCATTGTCTACCAATGATGGCTCCCAAGAGGAATAAAGAATAATCCAAGTAATCAGGAGTGCATAACAAATTTGTGTGTCTTTTCTAACCTTTTAGTTCTCATATCCATGGACATAATACAGTTCATTTCACTTCATTTAAATGCAATTATGGTGACATTTACATCAACATTCCGATGAATGGCAGCCAGTTAAAAAAAATCCTTCTTTTTTTTTAAATATAAAAATGAGATAAAAGAAATGAACAAACGGAAAACTAAACCAAACTAAACAAGATAAAGTTTAAGATCAACATGACCAAGCTGATCACTGACATACCTGGACAGTCTCAAAGCCTGGTAGTTCAACGGTAACTGGGTCAGTGTGACAGGTGAGTCTGGTCAGCAGTAGTCGATTGGCATCACCAGCTGACTTTGTCAGCGTTATTTGACACACTGTCCAGTCTGATGTAGACAAACAAGTAAAACATAAGTACTTCAAGGTCATCATCAGGTAACACATGCATAGAAAATCTGCTACCTAATGTGTTGAGTTCTTACATATTTTATGTTTACAAATCAGGTATTAATTTGAATTAAGTCTGAGAGTCTACAAGTTGAAGCTGGTGTAAATGGGCCCTCAGATTTTCTGATAACACAAACATGTACATGTTATGTCTAATGGTGCTCTAAACCTATCAACATTTACAGACAGGTCAAAGAATGACATACTCAGCACTCATTAGCATGACAACCATGTGTCTCTGGTCAAGGGAGAGAACTCTACCTGGGGGTATATGCTGCATCATCTGCTGGAAGTGTGACACTTCCTTGTTGAAGGCCAGCAGACTCCGGACTCGGCATAGGTCCTCTAGGTCCTCCCTCAGTGTCTCCAGTTCCCCCTCACACGTAGCCAGCTCCTTCTCCACCTTCCTGTAGTGGCAGACACACAGTATCTACATACCAGAGTTAATGCCCTTATCCTTACTTACACATGGATGTCAGATTCTGATTGGATGAGACACATTATATTATTTTATGTACCCTGCTAACATGAAAGGTACATTTCTTATGTTCCCAGCTTGAATTGGCGAACTAATGGCATTACATCTGCAAAATACCAACCACAATTTGGAATGAAATAGATCTAGGGGGAATAACTCTGAGTTTATTTTCTGTCATCTGCTAAATGAACAAAGTTGATAAATGCCAAGCTATGGTATTCTTCCCGATTCAGACCAAAGCATGCATACCTGCTGTATAATTAGTCGTGAGGTATGATTTATGAGGTATGACATTTGTTGTCCACTGGTTCCTCGGGTGTTAGTTTATTTGGGCTTTGGGGTCAGAGAACATTAACTGACAGAGAGGGTACATCTACCTATGTCTCCCTGGAGACGGGTGGACAACTAATAATGTGCCCCGAGTTTTGTTCTCCATCTTCCAGTAGTGACAGACACGCAGTACATTACCAGTATCTTAGTAAAACTATCACAGCCTGTAATCTAATCTAATAGACTAACTGATGGTCAATAATGTGAGCAACTATTCAAACTATCAGAGTATAACAGGGTTCACTCCAGGATTTTTCTGATATTGGCCCTTTAATGTAAAAACTTCAAGTATTCCAGAGGTACACCCACACTTGCCCATACAGCACAATGTTAAAATGCCCCATTGTATTTGAAAATGTGGGCCTATTTTCCTATTTAGGGGCTAAAAGCACAAGGCCCCAATCTAGAATTATCCTTGGAATAAGGATACACAGACAGGTGAATTTGTCAGTTACCACTCTTGGTGACCAACCATTCAAGTCTTCGATTCATATTATCACTACCCACTCAATACATAAGTGGCATTCATTAAGAAAGGGATGCAGAAGACCCCCATTAAAGACGTATAATGGCATGTTTACAATAACAAAGAAATTACCTAATTTTGCGACTGGTATTTGCAAGCGCTTGATGCCTGAACGTAATGGAAACTGCCTCATTCAGGAAGTATGCTGTCTTCAGTTCCTCTGTGTTGAGGTGTTGGCAGGCTAGCATGCGACACAAGTGTCCGTACACATCGCTGGATGGGAAGTGAGAGATGGTGGTGAAGGCAGAGGTTAGGGAGTCCTTCACAGAGGCATCTTGGTGGTCTACAGCAGCAGGAATATCTGTATAAGAGCAAAAACACTGAAATGTCTGACACAACAAACACTTTACTTTCATAATCAGATAAACATACCGTATATCTTATTATTCTTCTGTATAGGATTCAACTTCACAAGCGGAGCATAAAACCTGATCTGGTGCATATCAAACTGTAAATGAGTGTAAGTTGCTGCTGTTCAAGGTTCTTCATTAGTGAAACATCTAGGGAATCTATTCAGTAACTCCAAGTTCAATCTCATTAAAATCAGATCTTAGTTCTCGCTACCGCTAAACAAAGATCTGAGGACATCCCATTGCGGGTCACGTCGGACCGACCTTTCGCGAATTTTGACTGACCAATGGAATGACTAACAAGAAGTCGACAATAGCCAATCAGAAGGCACCTTAATTTAGCTTTACTGCACGAGTTACAAACTGGCGACTACGCTTCGTAACATATTTTGACATATACGTGATTAAAAAATTACAAACTGAACAAAAGAACATTCTGGAATGGCTAATAAATGGTCTTGATTGTATGAATACAGACATAAATACCCTGTGTATGTTTTTTTCGAGGTTGCACGATCAAAAATCACATTCCAACTGTCACTTTCGTGATCTGATAAGCGTTGCTCTGATTGGTCAGATGAAAGGTCGTTCTGACATGACCTGTAATGGGATGTCCTCAGATCTTTGTTTAGGGGTAGCGAGAACTGAGATCTGATTTCAATGAGATTGCTCCAAGTTCAACGTCAGGAAACAGTCTCCTGTATGCATATGACACCTACATGACGTCTCGAGGTGTAAAATATTCATGGTAAACAACCATTGAGGATTATAACCTAAAATGAACTTCTAAACATGGCTGGCGCAGGACACTAGACATGACAACTTGTAATGACAAACTAGTAAGTAAGAGAAAATATATGAAAAATCATAACAAAACATCAATATCACATTTAATACAGTAGAAATTGAAAGTAAATGGTAAAGGTGGCATAAATGATAAATTCCCTTAGTCTTGTCACTAGATGGAAACGGAAAGTAAAATTAACTTGCACATTCAGCCATTATTACCTTCTTCTGTATCTGACTTGCCCCTCCTACTAGTAGTTGATTTCTTCTGTCTGGTCGAGCGAGCCCGGCCTCTGGCTGGTGCTGGTTTGGCTGGCGGTGCCTTGTCACTGGCTACAAACACATCCCCCGTGGCCTGGAGGCGAGCCTGTATCTGCACCAGCTGCAGCTGGGCCTTGAGGAAACTCTGCTGCAGCAGGTCCTTACTGGTGTCCGAGTTGATGATCTTCAGGGCAGACTGAGACAGGAAGTCAGCAGTCTCCGACTCACATTTCTTCAAAGCTGTTTGAGCCAGGAGGCAGTAGGTTTCAATACTGAGTTGCCTTATACTTGGCAATAGCACTGGTTGGAGTTGAGCTGATGGCTTCTTGTTAGAAGTTGAGACTAATTCTGCTGATTTTAACTGTTCGTGCATAATAGTTGTGTTATCAGCAGTCAATCTTTCCAGAGCAGACTTAGAGGATTCGACCTTCTTGAGTTCATCCCATCCTTTCTCAAGAGATCCGGAATACTGATAGAACTCGCCCAGAGTTTCTGAATAGAGGAGGTCGAGTCCCTGCACTATGATGTCTTGGCACAAGGAGCAGGAACAGTCAGTGTTGTGGGGTACTGATGCAGGAAGCTCCACATCCAAAGACAGAGAACTCAGTGGACCAAGAATGGAGGCGACATCACCCTCTGAGGGTCTCTTAATTCCTGCATCTCGGACACTCTCAAACCCAAAACAATCATCAATAACTTCCACATCTTTCACTTTATTCTTCCTGTTTGCTGATGCACTCTTGCCTCGAGTTGCTCTAGGTTTCTTAGCAGTAGCAGTTTTATTGTTGATGGTGTTTTTTGGTGGCTTTTGATCTAACACACTGACTTCCTCTTTACCAGGGATCTGTCGGAGTATCATAGACGTCTCCTTCAGTAGCCGTAGACACTCCTTTTCATTGCTAGATATCGAGTTAATTCTTCCAAGTTCAAGTAAAAATTCCGTGGTCCTAAATAGGAAATGTACAAGAAATTATTAATAACTGAAAGAAAAACTAGGACATGTTTGCAACATGAGCAATAGGAAGGAAAATAATTGAATGCCTAAAAAAATTAATTCTTTATTAGGAAGTTGGTCCCCTTGGCAAATACTCACTATATATATGTCACTAAATAGTTCAAAGTTATCATTACGCTGCCTGGCTGCTTAAATACTTATCCAATTTTTTATCAAAAGCCTGACATATTAACATTATTGCATGATGTCAAAATAGTGAGTGAGGAAGTGAGTTGCATTTAATGCCGGTTTGAACAGTATTCCAGTTATCACACAGCATGTCAGCTTAATAAATGAGGACAGGTGACAAACCTAGAAACATAATCAGGGTAAATCGGGATTTGAACCCACAATCATAGGTTTTTGGTGTGCCAAAGGGACGCAACTCTGTACAGAGTTGATGTTAATTATTGATATTGATGTATATCCTGTTGTAAAACATAAAGTGTAACATTAATGTTATTGACTTTCAGGAAATTTAGGACAATACTGCCACAACACAATGAATCATTTACCATCTTGGTAGACAGAGACGCTTGGAGATCTTGAGACCCTCCCTGAGATATCCCCTGGCATCCTTGACATCACCAACATGTCGATACAGATGACAAAGATGAAGAATCGACTCCAGGAGTTCGCTGACCACCATCCACTTGTCCAGGACATGAGGATCTGCAGACCCCACATGACCACACATAATGTCATATAAAACTACTTGATCAAAGCAAAGACTCACTTCAGGCATGAGTCAGTAAGATCATATGGCAGTAATGCATATACTGTACCTTGAGCATGTTTAGAAAAACAAGAATGGGCCTCACATGACAAACACTGCCTGTATTGACTCAATGTCTGCACAGGCCCATGTTACCAACAGCCCCAACCTCATTTGACAACTAAGTGCTGTCTAAGGCATGTTATTTTCTCATCAATAATTATATATGATATATGAAAGGCATCCACTGCCACAATATTACATTCCTGTGAAAGATGGTTAATTAACAGGGAAATGTTGCAAGCCAATAAATACTAGTTCCTGTTTATAATACATTACACAAGTATAGTTTATTTTTGCTTCACAAAGCTTATTATTTATATTGTTGTAAGTTAATCTGGGGTATGTCGAATGTCTTACCCTTTCCAGACTGACTGACTACAGACTCCATGTCTCTGCCCATCAGGAAGTGGACCACCGCTGTATGGAGTTTGACGGCCTCCTGGGCCAGGGAGAGAGCGTACTCTGCCACATGGGTCTCTGGCTGCACTGGCTGGATGAGGAACATGGACAACAGCCTCTTGGCCACACCCTCTGTGAGGGTCGCTATCCAGCTCTTGCTATTGGCCTTCACTAGGCTCTCAACCACACTCAGCATCCGGGTCAAACTTGGCTCCATCTACACAGGAAAAGAGATGATATTTATACTAATTATACTGTAATGTTGTCTTTAAGAAGTGGGCAAAACATGAGTGTAGAACATGAGTGAGTGAGTGAGTGAGTGAGTCAGTTGGGTTTATCGCCACTTTTAACAGTATTCGGCGTGTCCGCTTGACGTGGGAGGAAGCCCAAAGTTATGCAGGTCTTAGACGTTTACCACTTTGGTGAAACCCATGAGCATGGGTATGGTGCTGACAAACCTAGAAACATAATCAGGGCGAACTGGGATTCAAACCAACAATCACAGGTTTTTGGTGTGCCTAAGGGATGCAACTCTGCACAGCGAATTGCAGCACCTTGGATGACAGGGCCACCACAAGTCAACATATCTAAAGAGATTTCTTTCTTAAGCTTGGTTTATGGATCCCCGATACTAAGGTTAAGGAATGTGGTACATTAATTTCAGTCTAAAGCTTTCTCATCACCACTCAACCTGGTAATATATTGTTAGCTGATCTGTAATGAGTAGTTTCATACGCCCATGTTATCATGTTAATGGCACAGTTACGGATGACTTATGATACATATCATATATCGTCAGATCATAGGTTTTCGGACGGCCATGTTTATAGCGATTACTCACGCTATAACAGGGGGTATAGCATCACACACAAATTGTAAATACTTAGATGATGGCTTGTTCTTAAGAAAGAGATGTTTTACATTTGTTCATGTGATTAGAGAGAAAACTATAACCGGTTCTTTAAGTGTCCGAAACCCATAACACAGGGTAACTTGGTCACCATTCTGATATTACTACAGGCACTGAACATAATGTCATGAATCTTAGTAAAATCTAAATATTTTTTACATTTGTATACTTATCCTGCATAACTCCTTAATGCATTCACTGCTTACTTACGACAACTAGTGATACTGAACTCGTCCACCTCCCAAGTCTGCGGATCCGGCAACGGGGAGATATACGTCATGAGTTGGTGGCCTAGGCAAGTAATAAACAAGTCAATGTTTGGTTTCCTGAATTCCTGAAGCAGTAACTGGAATGCTTCTGTGAGAAATTTCCACTCGGTGGGAGCCACCCTGTCTGGATGTGATAAAGTATCGGCCAGTATATTTCTACATCCGGGGATGTGCTGAACTATGAACTTTAGTCACAGCCGATCCACTAGATGGAACAAATCTGAATGTCCTTAGAAGTAGAGAGTGGGAGTGTGTTTTTCCCCGATTGCACAGGCACCACACCGCAGTGCTGTTGTCTGTGGATATAGCGAGTCGGGCTAACTGTAGTTGATTCTGCCAATGTGATATAGGCAGAATTAAAGCTTCCAACTCCAAGTTGTTTATGTGCCACTTCCATTGAGCGCCGGGCCATAGCCCTGAGCTTATCTGGTCTTGTAAGTGAAGACCCCACCCCTGAAAGGGTACGTCCACAAACAGGTGTGTATTCGGGGAAAACCCGAATAAAGAGACTCCGCAGACATTCAACGCCACAAATTGAGGCAAGGCTCTAGCTTAGTCGGTAGAGTGATGGCCTTGAGTGGATCCTGACTCCTGATGTAAGGGTTCAGGAAAAAATTGAATTGGTCGCAGTTGTAAGCGGCCCATGCTAGTTAACTCCTGTGCCGAGGTGATTAACCCTAGCAACACTTGCCACTGGCGAAGTGTGTGTGGTTGGTGTAGAGTAGATGACAAAAGAAGTAGAAACTTGTGCCATCTGTCCCTCGGTACAGATAGGATATCCTGGTCTGTCTTGAACAGGTCTCCTATGAATTGAAGTCAATAGGAAGGAGAATACTCCCAACTTCGCCTCGTTGATTGTCTATCCGAGTTATTGACATGTGTTGATGATACAGTAGATCGCCCTCCATCTACGACTCGAACCAAGTGTTCGTCACGTGTAGATAGTTATTGGCTTCATTACTCCTGTAAATAGCCATAAGTGTCACTGACATGTCAAATGGGAAATACTACCATTGGTAGTGAACCCCAATGAACTGGACCTGAAAAGTCTACGGTTGGGATGGATAGTCGAGACTGATCAAGAATCAAACGTTCGTTGAACACAGAGATTGTGGATCATTCTCATCTTGTCTGGGTCCTTCATGAGTACCAGGTAGGTGTGAGGATAAAACCCCGGTGTAAAGACTGGGTTGTGAACCCACTCTACAGCTCTTCTTACCAACAGTATGTCTATGTTGGATTTTCCCAATCAAACTGTGGTCAACGGTGGGGTTATCTCTACCCGTATACGGACACCATGATATAGTGCGATAAGTACGAAATCGTCCTTGAGACTTGTCTCTGCCACTTCCTTTCTCAGTAAGGGAATGCTGGTCTTCCCTGAGAAACTCGCGTCTAGGCTTAAAATTCCCTGACTTGCAAGCCCGCTTGGACTTTCCAAGCTTTTTGGGAACTTGACGTGCATGTCTGCGATCTGTTTGTTGAACAGGGGAGTAGATGACCAAGGTTGACGTAATAGACTGCCCTTGAAACCAGCATCTCAGTTGGAAACGCTATAAAGTCTTGGGTGTAACGGTAATCTCCGTCAGAACGGTCTCAAGATGAATTTTCCTGTGGTCAAACTGACGCTGTAGGAAAAACACCATAGTTTGGAAGTGATCTAATCAGATAGGGTTATCCTCTTATAGATTCTGATCCACTGCAAACATTGACGATATTGGTCGCTTAAATGACGGAGCAAATGTGAATTTTGGAGAAGTCTTCCTCCAATGACCTCGTGGTGTCCCTCTTATTTACCCTGTTATCAGGGGAGGGCGTTACTGACACCAGATGGTCTGCTTCCCAATCGGGTACATGTGCTAAGCTGATCATGTGCCGGTTACGTAACCGAGTACACTGTAAGCCTTGGGCTAACGTCATTGTAGAGACCTTGATTGGTACGCAGACGCTGCGCTCGGCGCAGGTCTATGCTGGATATGATGGAACAGCGCTAAGCTGATCGTGTGACGCTTGCGTAATAGAAGCACTTGGGTAGCAGTCAGACGCTGCGCTCGGCGCAGGTCTATGCTGGATATGATGGAACAGCGCTAAGCTGATCGTGTGACGCTTGCGTAATAGGAGCGCTTGGGTAGCAGTCAGACGCTGCGCTTGGCGCAGGTCTATACTGGATATGTTGGAACAGCGCTAAGCTGATCGTGCGTCGCTTGCGTAATAGAAGTGCTTGGGTTGTAGTCAAGTGCTGCGCTCGGCGCAGATAAATCAGACACAAAGCTCAAAAGTATTGACTGGATCAAGGCTTGCGTCTAATCTACCCCCATCATAGCATCTTGATACGCTGGTGCTGTCGCCGACGTCACAGATTAACATACATGTATCTGGATGTGTCCGGCGGCTGAAAAAATAGGAGCAGTTACGATACTCACAAAATCCTCCGGTATTGTTGATTTCGGTGGATGGTGTACTTCACAGTCACAGGCTTTAAATACCTGCCGATAATAATGGTTGGGTGGTAATGACCGAACCATGTCATTTGCTATTCTGCGATAGTGACATTCCTTTCGTCTCACGACGGAATAACTGCAAAATATGATTGTGAGTAATCTGCTTTTATATAGTAAACTCGTTGGATTAGAGATTTACAAAAAATTACATTTTGAATTTTGGCGAGCACATCTACGTGCATGCCTAGGACCGTGGATAAAGAGCTTTGGGCGATTATTCCACGACAATATGTACACCACGCAAACATAAGTTACGCATTTAAACCATTGAAGAAATGGTACTGGAAGAATGCCGTAGAATTGAACAGTAATCTATCAGCAAAAATACGAATTGCAAGGGTATACAATATTTTTATATACGCAATTCAATGTAAACCAAGGCTATTTACATTTAGAGATTGGAGAGCACATCTGCGCGCAAACCAACCAACGTGGATGATAATCTTTGTAAGGTTTTTTCCACGACAATTAGTACAATGCTCAAAGGTATGTTACGCAATTAAACCCTTGTTGATGAGACAATACTGGAAGAGTGCCGAAGAATTTGAACACTAATCTATCGGCAAAATTATGAGTTGCAAGGGTATACAATATTTTTGTATGCGCAGCTCAATGTAAACCAAGGGTATTTATATTTTCATTTAGGGTTTGGAGAGCACATCTGCGTACAGACCAAACAACGTCGATGATAATCTTTGTAAGATTTTTCTCACGACAATTAGTACCACGCTCAATCATAAGTTACACAATTACGCCATTGTTGATGAGGCGGTACTGGAAGAATGCCATAGAATTGAACAATAATCTATCGGCAAAACTACGAGTTGCAAGAGTATACAATAGTTCATATACGCAACTCAATGTAAAACCAAAAAGACCAACAAAAACTATTTAATCGCATAAACATAGGTACGCAATAAAAGAATTGTTGATGAAGCGGGACTGGAAGAAAGCCGTAGATTTGATATTAATTTATCGGCAACCATATTTTTAACGAGTTGAAAAAGTATACAATAATTTGAGTATACGCAACTCACTGTTACGCCAAAGCTAGTAGTATTTAAGAACATAAGAATATGTTATACATACGTAGCTGAGAATTGTAAACAATATGACTACCTTGGCAGGCAAACGATTGTAACACAATTCAAAATGGCGGCGAACAACAATATTTTGGCGGGAAAAAAGACAAGAGTCTTTTCACACCTAATTAATTCACATAAAACTACACAACATGGTGAAAGTAATATGAAAAGAATACATCACCCATCGCAGATCAATTTTTAAGATTGTAGACAAACTGAAGGTCTAAAATTTATCCAAAAGGAGAGCTCCGCTTGGACACGTCCTAGCTGTGCTGCGACAAGCAGTGATGTGAAGATGACCTTAGGTGTCATCAAGGTCACAGGACAGCGACGGAAGGCCACTGATTGGGACTTGAGAACAACAACTTTATTTCTTCACCCAGGACCTTCGCAGCGCTGTCCTTCTAGTTGTCGTAAGTAAGCAGTGAATGCATTAAGGAGTAATGCAGGATAAGTAAAAAATCTGAAGTTTACCTTCTGAGTGAGAAGATGTATTCTCTCCTTCAGTAGTTGCAGCAGAATCTTCTGATGGGAGTCCTCAGTCGCCCCAGTTGTGTCAGCAGCAGGGAGCAACAGCTCCGCCATGTGGTACTGACCACTCTCCATCAACACCCGCGATATATCCTGTCGGACTCTGGCTGCAGTGACGACATCAGCGGAGGGACATACACTTAGTGCCATACACAGGGTCTGCAGCTCTTGTACAGGCTGTGGGGAAAACACATGGTAGTGTTCAATATAATGGTGATTCCTAAATGATTAGTGAAGTACTAGTATGTAACATTATATAATCTATGTTTGTCATCAATGAAATGCTGAAATAAGTTCATACAGCATGTACAGAGCAGTCTGGAAGTGGCGTCTCTGACTAAAAAGGCTTCGGTTAAGAAACTTTTACGTATAGCAGACAAAAAGCTTTTAATAATTTCCATAGAGCTGGGGAAGACAAGCCATTTGTTTTTTCACCAAATCTTAGTAAAATCTAAATATTTTTTACATTTGTATACTTATCCTGCATTACTACGTTTTGTAGAATTTTCCTATTCGGAATATTCTATAAGTAATACGTTACCACTGTTGTACCGAGGCTGTTGTCTCCCACAACTGCTGCTATAGCGAAATCTACCACAGAGATCTCAATTACCTCATGCAGCACGTGCGTAGCCACCCAGCTGCCATGTGACACCCTTCACTCTTGTCTCCTGCGAGAGCAAGTGCTCGGGGGACGGACGGGCGGGCAGCAGCCCAGTGGTAACGTATTACCTATAGAATATTCCGAATAGGAAAATTCTACAAATTACATTAAGTAATACGTTACCACTGTTATACCGAGGCTGACTACCACAGTAGGCGGTGGGGAGCACCTACAACCCGAATCCTGACTGCTAGCGTTCCTTCCGACCAGCGGAAGTAAACACCAAGGCGGAAGCACTCGATGCGCATGCACCTAGCTAGGCGTTACCCTATAGGAATACCAAAGCACTGTCAAGCGCATACCGTAAGGCTCAATCGTCATTGCCAAAACGATTGGTGACTCCAAACGGCCCCACTGGATAGGTATTTCATCGCCGCAGCGGATGAGAACACTGTATCCGCGTGAGCTTAATCTTAGATCAGGTTAAACAGTCGAAAAGAGGGAAATTAATTTCATTCAGACCGTATATCCCAGAGCAAGCCTACTTAAAGTATGCATTAGGCGCGTGACCTAATTCCAGTATTTGTAAGCATGCATCACAAGGTTGGGATACACGACAGACAATTAAAGACATAATTGTCAAAATACAAATAAGGACAAAGCACACAAAAAGCCGCCCTCACCTGTGGTGTGAGTGCGCTGGTTTGCGGGACCCCAACTCCTGTACCCACGGCAGTGGGAACATTGGAGTAGACCCAGATTGACCACCGTGCAAGGTCAGACGCCTGAGGAGTTCGGAATTGCGCTGGGCACACCCCTTAGGTGCCCGCTTGCGCCGCGATCCGCGGGCCAAGACGGTGCACACTCTCCACGACGGCATCAGCGACCTGTTTGAGGTAATGATTGGCAAAAACCGAGTCAGAACGCCAGTAACAACCTCGTAATATTCTGCGAACAGAGATATTCGAGTGTAGGGCAAATGTTGCCGCTAGCGCCCTGATCTCGTGCGGGTTTGACCCCGCTACCGGTAACCCCCGAGACCGGTACGCCAGATTGATGACAGAACGAAGCCACAACGCAATCGAGTTGCGAGGTATGTCAACCGTGCGATTAGGGTTACACGATATGAACAGACGGTCACGCCCTTGTCTACGTTCATTCGAAGCCTTAAGATAATACTTAAGGGCCCTAACCGGACACAGCGCTCTGTCCTCAGTATCAGCAGGATGTAAGATTTCTTTGAGTGATCTTACAGTGAATTCTCTCTCCGTTTGCCCGACTCTCTGATTCTTGGCGACGAAGCCCATGAGCAGGCCCAGGCGGACCGCTCCTTCGTCACCCCTATCGAATCGTACCTTGGCGACATCGAGTGCATGAATTTCGGATACACGTGCCGCCGTGGCAAAGGAGAGGAGAAATGCTGTTTTCCAAGTCACATGCCGGAACGAAGCACTATGCAAGGGTTCATACGGAGCTTCCGTAAGTGATTGCAACACTAGGGAAAGATCCCAGGCCGGTGCCCGAAGGCGGCCCTTCTTAAGATCGTGCTGTTTGAAACCCTTGATAATACCCCGTATCACCGGCTCTTTGGAGAGACTGGTACCCATAGCAACGTCCCGTACCGTAGCAACGGACGAGACATAGTTGGCAATGGAACCCCAGGAGAGTTTCCGGGTCTCTCGCAAGTGAGACATGAAACGAGCAATATCCTGCACAGATACCTTATCTGGCGAATGAATGTGATGTTTACAACACCACTTCGTGAAAATAACCCAACGTGCATTATACACCTTCTGGGTAGAATCACGATGCATACTAACGTATGCCCGAGACGCCCGTCGAGAAAAAACTTTACTCCTCAGACGCTCGGTGACAACATCCACGCGTGCAGATTGAACTGCCCTGCGTTTGGATGAAGCTGACGGGTGTGAGGGTGGATCAAGAGATCCGGTCTCACAGGCAGTGGAAGTGGCGACTGCGTGACCTGGGTCAGCAAGTCGGGGTACCACGATCTGTTCGGCCACATGGGCGCGATCAGTAACATTCGACAGCGAACTCCTCGGAGCCGGCTTAGAATGTGTGGTATCAACGCTGTCGGCGGGTAAGCATAAGCGACCAAGCCCGTCCAGTCTAACGCGAGAGCATCGTGATCGATGGCCCTCGGGACCGGGACATGTGATACAAACAACGGGAGTTGATTGTTGAACCGCGTTGCGAACAGGTCGACCATCGGACGACCCAAACGTTCGCACAGCCACTGAAACACTACTGGGTTCAGCATCCACTCTGTGGGGCTCGGATCCTGAGGCCTCGATAGAGCATCGGCCAGTACGTTCCGCACACCTGGGATGTGACGGGCGCGTATCTGGCACGGGACACTGTCCACCAGAGCGTAAAACTCGAACGTGAGATCGAGTAGCGAGTGACTGTGGGTTCCCCCCAGTTTGTTCACATAGGACACTACCGTCGTGTTGTCGGTCGCCAGCATGAGCCGGGCGTCGACGAGACGATGCTTCCAGTGATTGACTGCGTTGATCACTGCCTTGAACTCGAGACAAGTGATGTGAAGACCTAGTTCGTCTAAGCACCACAGCCCCGAGCTCACCTCCCCCTTTAGATGGGCGCCCCAGCCCACTAGAGAGGCGTCTGTATACAGGGTCAACGTGGCCAGGTAGGGCCGCATAGAGACTCCTGATAAGACAATGTAAGGGACCGTCCACCACTCCAGATGCGGTCGGAGCCGATCCGGGAGGGCGACGGTCGCACTGTTCACCTCCGTTGCTAACAACTGGATTAAAAACCGTTGCAGCGGGCGGAGTTGGAGACGACCCCGTGCGGTGCAGTCCTGGGCTGATACAAGTAGCCCTAACAGCTGTTCCCAAAAGTGAACAGTCTGTTGCACCGCTAAGACTTTGGCAATCATCGCCTGAATTTTGTGCCACCGGTCTGGGGGGACAAAGAGGCGATGGGACACCGTGTTGAACCGACCTCCGATGAACAGCAAGTTCTGAGAAGGGGTTAACTCGCTCTTGGGGAGATTGATAATCCACCCAAATTGCTCCAAGAGCCAACGTGCGAAATCGAGATGGCGTGACAGGGTGTCCGTCATTCGATTTGCTACTAGCGAGTCGTCCAGGTACGCGAAGTACCTGACACCCCTCCTGTGGAGGAACCCCACTATGGGGGTGGTTAACCGGGTGAACAGCCAGGGAGCGGACGTGTGAATCATTCTGAGTTCGGCACTGTCCTACTTGGGAACGAGAAATATCCTGGAGTAAAACCCCGGTGTTATTTCTGGTAGAGCTAACTCCCGTACTGCCCCTTCTCCACCAACCTGCCGATGGCATCGGCGAGGATGGGAAGATCGGTTTCCGAATCGAAACCTGCCAACGGGGCAACGGTGAGCGGCGGATTCGCTTTGAGATCAAGCCGATAGCCGTACCGAATCGTGTTGACCACCCACGGGTCGTCGAACACTTGTTCCCAATTCTCCCAGTAAGTCTGGAGTCTGGCTCCCACTGGGGAAGGAGAGGGGGCCCTGACAGGTTGCGACAGGCGCAACTGTCCAGGGCCAAGTGACTCGGGTTCGCCTAAGGGCCAACCGAAGTTGGCGCTGTCGGCATACGAACCCCTCCAATGAGAGTCACCTGGAGGGGCCTTGCCGTCCGTCGAGTCCCCAGTTCCCCGTCTTCCCGCGAAAGGGCAGCTGATTGCCCATACCGGAGCCCTCAGGGCGGGGCTACTTCCCAGAGGAAGAAGAACCCGACCCCTTAGACCTACCGGCCGCAGCAGCCTGGGGCGCGCTCCGGTTAGGAGCGGCACCCAGGCGCCTATGCAGGGACCCAACAAGAGCAAGTGTGTGCCGAGAGTCCTCGGCAACGTACTCCAGGGAAGCATTTAAACTGAGCAGGCAGTTGTAAATGCGCTGGTCACGGTCCGTGGGAGAACCTTCGACCAGACGGGCCGCTGCAGCCAAGTAAGTGTCTCCGTGAGACATGGAGTGCCGAGCGAGGGCGTCCAGCAGGTGCAAGGTAGCTTGCGTTACCGTAGCAGCCGGTGGGGCACGGACACCCAACCGCTCAACATGGGCCTCCGCGGTAGGACCAGCCTCGGGAAAGGCAAGGTCATGTACTGGGAATAAACCCTTTCTCCACGACGTCGGAGGCAACGGGAGACCCCGACCGGAGGCCGCCGCGAAGGCGTTCTCCAAGGAAGGCTTGAAACCGCGCAGCAAGGTTGATGCGGGGAAAGCCGTGTCGGAAGACTCATCGTATACCTCGGAGGAACCCACAGTCGTGGATTCCCCGCGGTACCGGCCGGGGCATGTCCTCAAAGAGGTCATAAACCATGGCCACGCGGTCCTAAACCGATAGCGGGAGCAACGGTTCGGGGGAATGAGTGACCACGGGAGCCGCCGCCGTACCGGTGGACCCCGCGTCCGACCCCGCGGCCACCGAAGTGGCCGGGGACGGAACAGCCAGCGGCCTATCCTGAGATAAGGCCGCCAGCTTGGAGTCCACAAGTTATGCAAGTAATGCAGCGACGGAATCCCCGGACAGCACACGGGCCGCCAAGAGATCCGCCGCTTTACCGGTGGACCCCGCGTCCGACCCCGCGGCCACCGAAGAGGCCGGGGACGGAACAGCCAGCGGCCTATCTTGCGATAAGGCCGCCAGCTTGGAATCCACAAGTTTCGACAACAATGCGGCGACGGAATCCCCAGACAGCCCAAGGGCCGCAAGGGGATCCGCCGCAGCCGAGGAGGTGGTACCCGCACGGGGACCCCGACCGGACGAACCGGCCACCACAGGGGTGGAGACGGACTGTACGTACAGCCGGTACCGCTCAAAATCCGCAGGCCCCAGACCTTCGCACAGGATGCACCGGGTGTCCCCGCAAGGAACCCTGCACCGCGGGCAACGATCGTGGGGATCCCGGGACGACAAAAACTTTCTGCACACCCCATAACTCCGAGGAGCAGGGGTAGAGGGGGTGGATACTGGGGACATATCCATGTCAGACATTGATTGTTTGCTATAAACAAAGAACAAAACATGGTTACAACGCACGCACCACAATGATTCACAAACGAACATTTTCACAAGAAAATAAACGAGCAATGTGAACATATAACATACACATATAACTTTTATTAAAGAAATAAGTTATGTTAACCCCCAAAACATACAAGAACAGGGGAAACGTAAAACACAACGTGCATACGCGAACCCCGCAAGTATATAGAAAAAAGGGCGGGAAAAATGTTCCGTTTGGCGGGAAAATTATAACCAAGCGTAGCTACCGCAATGCCCCATAAAAGCACAGTTTATTAGAGAATAAACTATAATAAATATCACCAAATCTTCAAGGAACGCTTCAGCAGGAGAAAACACGTCTTGCTAAGCAGACGAAGGAGACAAGAGTGAAGGGTGTCACATGGCAGCTGGGTGGCTACGCACGTGCTGCATGAGGTAATTGAGATCTCTGTGGTAGATTTCGCTATAGCAGCAGTTGTGGGAGACAACAGCCTCGGTATAACAGTGGTAACGTATTACTTAATGTAATTAAGGAGTAATGTAGGATAAGTAAAAAATTTAGTAAAATCTAAATATTTTTTACATTTGTATACTTATCCTGCATTACTCCTTAAACATAATAATGCAGGATAAGTTAAAAATATAGAAAATTACGCATTTGTTAAAGAAGACCAAATACATTAGTACTCTTTAAAAAATAATTACTTTGAAACAAATACAAATGTGGCTATTGAATATGTATTACCTTGCGCAAGAGTCTGAAGATTGATGCTGCCATGATGAGGTTTTGTGTTAGTGCTGCCAAGTCCAGCTGAGACGTATCGGAGATGCCTGCTTCTATGCCCTGCATCATCAGGGTTAGAGCCTGGTCCATGTCGGCAACATCCATCTCACACTGCTGCAGTGTGTACACCTTGCCCGGCGCCAACTCCTCCTTCACCCCATCCTTCATCCCCTTCCTGGCCGAGGGCTCCTCATCACCCGGATCAGGCTCGCTCTCCCCGGCCGGCAGCAGGTACTGAACACAAGTACAGTTTCATATAAGATGGAGCTCTGAATATGCTATCCAAAACATCTCGTTATGAATATCTGTCCAAAATATACAACTGAACATATTTCCATAAAATTTCGTTCTGCATTGTCTGTCACACAATCAGTGGATTCTCACAAATGTTAATGACTTTATAGTATGACTTTATTATGGCGGTATCAGTAAATCTCCTAATCCACACACCCTAACGTCTGTCTACATATGCAAATCTAAGCATGACATTACATCGCTTGATCCAATACAGGATTTGCTGCAGTATGTCAATCTCCTCATAAGAATACATGTTAACTTTTTTATGATACTGGTAGTTTCTGGAATGTTTTTGAAGTGGAATTACCCTTACCCCCATTCCAAATTGATTAGAAAAGAACCCATTTGTTTAGATGAATTCCCTTGACCCAACTTAGGTTGTATGCATACTGATTATGCAAATCCAAAACAGGAACTGATGAAAAGCAGATATTCCACATGTTTAATACCTATAAATAGCCATATCACTTCAACAAGTGCCCTTGACTTGCTAATGACAGGTACTTTGTTTACCAAATTCGGTAAAGAAAATCAGCATCAATCAATCCTTATTGATGTATTATATAAGTTGAACAAAGAACAAGAAACATTTTGTGTATGACATATTTAATAGGTTAGTTAGCGTTCGCCATTACGATCCATTATAAATTAACTACTGTGTTAATATAACATACCATGCTAAATGTTTATTGTTTTTTACATATTCTCCAGAATTTCCCACGAGAATAGGTCCCTAGTGGCAAATATAATGCATGTCTCATCACTAGGTACTACTTACTGTCAGTTGTTATTGATGTAACTCATTCAGTAGGTTAGCCTTGACATTGTGTCAGACCATACCTGTTACACTTTGTTGGCCGTGCATAATAGTATCTGACATATTGAAGACTCTAGTAAGTAGTTAACAGTATCATTCAGTCACTCATTTCTCGTCACAGAATCTGAGACAAAGCTGAAGCCTAAAAAGGGGTCAAGAACAAACCTGTTTACACAAATCCTCTCGTGTGATGATGAAGCGCCACAAATATCCCTGAGCCAAGGTTAGGTAGCCTTCAGAACTTGTTGTCTTGCACAGCAAATCCAGAACATCATTCACACACTCTTTGGCAGACCTGAAATTAAAGATCAAAATGACATAATAAAATTGTTTTGAGCACAATAAATAGTTTAAGCTAATGAAAATATGCACAATAATGACTGTTCTTTCTATAGATAACATGGAAATGTATTCTGATTTTAATTTCTTTCATACTCTTCAAATGTAATGATTCTTTTCAAACTTGGTAATGAAATGACAAAAATGTGCTGTTTTGACAGATAAAACCATGAAAATTTTCTAGAACATAATCATACTGTCATTTGTCTCTTGCAAATTCTTAGCTACTGTGTCTTTCTCACCTGTGTGTCTCTATCCCTGTGACCCACATGATCTGGGCAAGAGACAGCAGGTAGCCAGCCTTGGTGCCGGAGTCCCCCACCACTGATACCAGGTCTTTCAGCACCACAGCCTCTCCCTCGCTCCATCGCTTCCTGCACACACACATTTCATAAGTCTTCTTGTAACACCACTTTCAGGATTTCAGATCAGTTCATTTTCTAGGGCACTGTCTGAATGTCAAGAAAAATGTCCTGCTGATATTTTTCAAATAAAATAAGTCACATTACAGAATTGATGAAATAATGCAAAGATCCCAAAGTCATTTTGTCACCAGCAAATTCACAGACTTTTGCAGCAGTATTTCAGTTACATCACAGCATATCAGCTTGTTGTGGGAGGAACACCCAATGTGATGCAGGTAGCAGATGTTGAACACTTTTGTGCAATATATAAGCATGAGTATGGCGCTGACAGACTAGGATCATGCAAATGCAGGATTTGAACCTGCTTGACAAAGCATTTTGAGAAGGGATTCCATTTTGCAAAGAGAGTGAGTGAGTATGGTTTTATGCTGCTTTTAGAAATATTCCAGTAATATCACGACAGGGGACACCAGAAATGGGCTTCACTCATTGTACCCATGTTGGGAATTGAATCTGGGTCTTCGGCGTGACGATCGAACGCATTAACCACTGTGCTAACCGACCACCCCCCACTTTGCAAAGAACTGTGTCTCTCATATAGCATTACAGAGTGCAACCTCTCACTGTAATTATATATACAGAGCAATTTACCTAATTTGTGGATAACCTTGATTCATAATTCGCAGTAATTATCGTGATATCTTGTAAATTAAGTCACGTCACACAGCAGTATTTTTTATCAACACACACTCCACGTCTTGCAGACAAAATCTTTCGAATCACTGCATTACACGTCATTACAGTAAAACCAAATGTTACAGTGAGTTAAATAGCCCTAGACATATAATACCAAATTTTATGTTCACAAAATGTCAAATAAAAAAGATAAGGTAAGCATCAGCCTTCTCAAATCTTGTCATCCTGTATGTCGTACATACCAATACATTACTACTAATAAGCTAATGAATTAAATGATCAATAAGTATTCAAAACAAAATCGTAAAAATTAAACTGCAGATTTAGGTGCACACTCCTTATATTCATGAATCAAGGTTATGCAAAGGTACTACTCAAAAGAATGTCAAGAACACTGGATTGTTTTGATATGCCTATAGTTAATCTATAAGTTAACTATGAAAATACTGTGTGTTCCTTTATTTATGACATTGTAGTGTTTCAGATTGCCAGGAGGCCTTGGTCATTGACCACTGGAAAAAAACCAAAACACTGACCCTCTACTTCCAAGCAATAAAGGTCCCTTGCCCACATACTCATATAATCTATCCAAAGGACTCACAGTTACACCTATCTTCCCAAAGCAAGGGAGTTAACTGACTATAAAAGCAGTTTCCACCCTTGCCAAACTAGACTGGAATCATGGAGTTGGCTTACGAGTCTATGCATAGTCCAATCAAAATCACGTAGTGAAATCGGCATCCAGTTCGTAAACTGTTATGCAGATTTCGGTCAATTGCAGGATTTTTTATCAAGGTCCTCACGGGATCTGATGCACTTCGCAAAATAAGACTCGTTTTATTACAACATAGATTTTGATTATCGATCGATCACATCTTGACTGTGCGCCCCCATTTGATTGGAGTGAGTGAGTGAGTGAGTGAGTGAGTGAGTGAGTGAGTGAGTGAGTGAGTTGAGTTTAACGCCGCTTTTAACAATATTCTAGTCATATCGCGGCATGTCAGCTTAATGTGGGAAGAAAGCCGAAGTCATGCAGGTCTCAGACGTTTACCACTTCGGTGAAATCCACGAACACGGGTATGGTGCTGACAAACCTAGAAACATAATCGGGGCAAACCGGGATTCGAACCCACAATCATAGGTTTCTGGCGAGCAGAAGGGACGCAGCTCTGCACAGCGAATCGCGGCGCCTTAGACGACTGGGCCACCCGTGCCCCCCCATTTGATTGGAAGCAAATGCAAGTGATATTAGGGGTGGAATCTGATTGGTTAATACAAGGGACATTACTCTGGTGCAACTGACACTGACAGCCAGTGGTGGCGCCACGATCGAGCCCAGAAACTCCAACCTTGGTCGGCAAGGGTGGAAACTTGACTTTTACGGTCACCATTGCCTTGGGAAGATGAATTACACCATATGACATGACAATTTGTTTGTCATTTGCAACAAAACATGTCAACAATCTCAAATTTATACCTGATCTGTCCCTTATCATATACCTTACTTAGAATTGTGTTAGTGAAACTGAATTGGGTAATCTACTTACTTGATGCCCTTGAAGGCCTCCAGCTCTGACTGCAGCAGACAGAGGACCTTGTCCCCATCTGTCTGAGGTCTCTCCTCACCCTCACTGTCAAACACATCCTTCATGGTCCTGGGGCAAACATGGTATTACATACTATATATCATATTTACAGTTATACACAGTAGTAGTTGTGTCATGAATGCAAATTACCACTTGTTTTACACACATTGTTTGGTCTTATGAACTGTCAAGGCGCTAGAAAGGATCACTCTACTGACAATGAAGCTGAAAGTCAAACTTACTAGAAGTAGAGCAGATTCAACCTAAAGTGCAAACCTCATCAAGAGATTATAAATAGGTTTGAATGGGGAAAATGTGTCACGCAGAATGCGTTAACATTTTGGCTGGCGGACATGGTTACATCTTAAGAAAACCATCTACACCACCTCACTTCAAACTCTTCATCTCACAGGTTTAACAATTAACACATACTGCTGTCAACTCACTGTCCCCTGCAACTGGTAAAACAGTTTTGTGTGAATGATTTAAGTGATAAAATCTAAAACCATTCTCCATAATATCTCAACATATATTTACAAACGCTTATACTGAATGTACTGGGGCTTTTTGAGCAAGCTACCCTGCCCAGTCTTACTTTTCCACAAAGTCTTGCTGTCCCTCCCTGGTAGCATCCCGCTTGATGCGCACCCACAGCTGCACTAGAGTGTTCGCATGGCTGGCATCAATGTGTAGGTACATCGCTATGGTTTCCATGGCTTGCTTCCACATCCCACGGCGTCGGTAACACTCTGTCAGGCAATTGTAGATCTTCCACAGAGATGACTACAAGTAGGACATCAAGGGTAAACACAGGCCCTGTCTGGCAAGGTTGCATTGATAGCCTTGCCATCATGTACAATTACATAATCTCTAAAACACTTATTTATAATTTCTTCAAAAATATTCTTCATGAAATTCAATCTAGCACAACTAAGCAACGCCTGAGATTTAATGCACAACAAAAGCAAGAAGATATTTGTCCTGGAGCACCTAGAACCTATAGGTTGCTTTCAGAAGTAGGGACATCTCTTTGTAGAAGCATACCCTTATTTGTATAATTTACACCAACAACAATTATCAAAAACATGACAAGTGAACTGACAAAATCCATGAAAAATTACTACCAACAGATGCAGAGTACAAAAACTCAAACTTTTTGCTACATGAAGAACCTCTAGTCCTCAATAGAAAGTCTAGATGTTTTCTTCATAGAATATAATAGTGACACACATGACAGAGTGGACAACATTTAGTTTGCTGCATGTATCATGCATATCAACTATTTGAATTAGATTACAAAGTTCTTTATCAACCTCTTCAATGCGAGCCTGTTTCTTCTCAGTGTCAGAAAAGCACCACTCAGTGAGCTGCTGGCAAGTATTGCGGTAGAACTCTGTGGCCTGCTTGTCCAGACTGCGGTTGTAGCAGAAGTGACCAAACTTCACCATCAGGTAGCCTGCAACCCACGAAATGCGTTTTCTAAATATGTCGTGGTGGTCTACAAGTAACATGTCTGATATATATGGCTATAAATCATATCCTAATAAGGTCAAAAGACTGTGTTGAGGTTTTGACTTTAAAATAACATGTTCGAGTGGTCTTAAACAAAATATCCAAATGTTACTATCACTGACAAGTTTTCAGTTGGATTTTGTTTAAGATGTAATCTGGTAATATGGCCTTGTGTTGTGGGAATTCTTAATCTTGAAAATTCCTGAGTCAGGCTAGAATCATTGTGGGGCTCAGCATCTTGTAGAATTTTCCTATTCGGAATATTCTATAAGTAATACGTTACCACTGTTATACCGAGGCTGTTGTCCCCCACAACTGCTCTTATAGGGAAATCTTCCACAGAGATCTCAATCACCTCATGCAGCACGTGCGTAGCCACCTAGCTGCCATGTGACACCCTTCACTCTTGTCTCTTGCGAGAGCAAGTGCTCGGGGACAGACGGGCGGGCAGCAGCCCAGTGGTAACGTATTACCTATAGAATATTCCGAATAGGAAAATTCTACAAATAACATTAAGTAATACGTTACCACTGTTTTACCGAGGCTGACTACCACAGTAGGCGGTGGGGAGCACCTACAACCCGAAACCTGACTGTTGTGTTCCTTCCGACCAGCCGAAGTATACAACAAGGCGGAAGCACTCGATGCGCATGCTCCCAGCTTGGCGTTACCATATAGGGATACCAAAGCACTGTCAAGCGCATATTGTAAGGCTCAATCTTTATTGCCAAACGATTGTTGACTCCAAACAGCCCCACTGGATAGATATTTCATCGCCGCAGCGGATGAGAACACAGTATCCATGTGAGCTAAATCTTAGATCAGGTTAAACAGTCGAAAAAAGGGAAATTAATTTCATTCGGACCGTATATCCCAAGAACAAGCTTACTTAAGCGTATGTAATAGGCGCGTGACCTAAATTCAATATTTGAAAGCATGCATTACAAGGTTGCAATACACGACAGACAATTAAGTACATAATTGTCAAATCAAAATAAAGAAACATACAGAAAGCCGCACTAACTTGTGGATGAGCGCGATGGCTTGCGGGACCCCCACTCCCGTACCCACGGCTGTGGTAACGTTAGAGTAGACCCAGATTGACCACCGTGCAAGGTCTGAAGCCTGAGGAGTTCGGAATTGCACTGGGCACACCCCTTAGATGACCGCTTGCGCCGCGATCAGCACAACCTCCAGTACAAGCGATCAGCACACGTCTTCATCAGAGACCTTTCTGAGGTAATGATTGGCAAAAACCGAGTCAGAACGCCAGTAAAAACCCCGCAATATTCTGTGAACAGATATACGGAGTGTAGGGCAAATGTTGCCGCTAGCGCCCTAATCTCGTGTGGGTTTGACCCCGCAACCGGTAACCCCCATGACCGGTACGCCAGATTGATGACAGAACGAAGCCATAAGGCAATCGAGTTGCGAGTTATGTCAGCAGTCCGATTAGGGTTACACGATATGAACAGACGGTCACGGCCTTGTCTGCGTTCAGTCGAAGCCTTAAGATAATACTTAAGGGTCCTAACCGGACACAGCGATCTGTCCTCGGTATCAGCAGGATGTAAGATTTCTTTGAGTGATCTTAAGGTCGACCATCGGACGACCCAAACGTTCGCACAGCCACTGAAACACCACTGGGTTCAGCATCCACTCTGTGAGGCTCGGATCCCGAGGCCTCGATAGAGCATCGGCCAGTACGTTCCGCACACCTGGGATGTGACGGGCGCGTACCTGGCACGGGACACTGTCCACCAGAGCTTAAAACTCGAACGTGAGATCGAGTAACGAGTGACTGTGGGTTCCCCCCAGTTTGTTCACATAGGACACTACCGTCGTGTTGTCGGTCGCCAGCATGAGCCAGGTGTCGACGAGACGATGCTTCCAGTGATTGACTGCGTTGATCACTGCCTTGAACTCGAGGCAATTGATGTGAAGACCTAGTTCGTCTACGCACCACAGCCCCGGGCTCCCCTCCCCCTCTAGATCGGCGCCCCAGCCCACTAGAGAGGCGTCTGTATACAGGTTCGACGTGACCCAGAAGGGCCGCATAGAGACTCCTGATAAGACGTTGCAAAGGACCGTCCACCACTCCAGATGCGATCAGAGCCCATCTGGGAGGGCAACAGACGCACTGTTCTCCTCCTGTGCTAACAACTGGATTAGAAACCGTTGCAGCGGGCGGAGTTGGAGACGACCCCGATCGGTGCAGTACTGGGCTGACACAAGTAGCCCTAACAGCTGTTCCTAAAATTGAACTGTCTGTGGCACCGCTAAGACTAAGGCAATCATCACCTGAATCTTGTGCCACCGGTCTGGGGGGACAAAGAGGCGATGGGTCACCGTGTCAAACCGACCTCCGATGAACTTCAAGTTCTGTGAGGGGGTTAACTCGCTCTTGGGGAGATTGACAATCCACCCCAATTGCTCCAAGAGCCGAAGTGTGAAATCGAGCTGACGAAATCAAGTAGTCCAGGTACGCGACGTACCTGACACCCAGCTGTTGAGGACCCCCACTATTGGGGTGGTTAACCGGGTGAACAGCCAGGGAGCGGACGAAAGACCGAATGGGAGTACAACCCACACCTGAGATACTTGTGATGGTTTGAGTGAATCGGAACATGCAGATAAGCATCCTTCAGGTCGATTGAAGCGAGCCAGTCGGCCGGCATGATCAGAGCTTTCAGGTCCGCCAAGGTCAACATTCTGAACTTGGGCAGCTTGTGCAGGTAAAACTCGTTGAAAGATTTCAGATTGTGAATCATTCTGAGTTCGGCACTGTCCTTGGGAACGAGAAATATCCTGGAGTAAAACCCCGGTGTTATTTCTGGTAGGGCTAACTCACGTACCGGCCTCTTCTCCACCAACCTGCCGATGGCATCGGCAAGGATGGGAAGATCGGCCTCCGATTAGAAACCTTCCAACGGGGCGACGGTGAGCAGCGGATCCACTTTGAGATCTAGCCAATAGCCTAACCGGATCGTGTTGACCACCCACGGGTCGTCGAACACTTGCTCCCAATTCTCCTAGTAAGTCTGGAGTCTGGCTCTGACAGGGGAAGGAAAGGGAGGCCTGACAGGCTGCAGCAGGCGCAACTGTCCATGGCTGAATGACTCGGGTTCGCCTACGGGCCAACCGAAGCTGGCGCTGTTGGCACACGAACCTTGCAAGTGAGAGTCATTTGGAGGAGCCCTTACCGTCCAGAGACGGCTTAGGCTTCCCCCAGTGTCCCTTCTTCCCCCGAAAGGGCGGCATGTTGCCCTTACGGGGGCCCTCAGGGCGGGACCTCTTCCCGAAGGAAGAAGACGCTGACCCCTTGGACTTCCCAGCCGCAGCATCATGAGGGGCACTCCGTTAAGAAATACCACCCAGGCGTCTGTGGTTGCATTCAAACCGATCAAACAGTTATAAATGCGCTGGTCTCGGTCCGTGGGGGAACCTTCGACCAGAATGGCAGCCGCCGCCAAGTAGGTGTCGCCATGTGACATAGCGAGCATGGAGTGCCAAGAGAGGGTGTCCATTTGCTGTAAAGTCGCTTGAGTGACTGTAGCAGCAGGTGGGGCACGGACACCTCTCCACATGGGCCTCCGCGGTGGGACCTGCCTCGGGGAAGGCCAGGTCATGCACCGGGAACGAACCCTTTCTCCACGACGGAGGAGGTAACGGGAGTCCAGCGAAGGCTTTCTCCAAAGACGGCTTGATCCCGCGCAACAAAGTTGACGCAGGAAAAGCCTTGTCGGCGAACTCATCGAAAACCTCGGAGGAACCCACAGAGCCGTGGATTCCCCGGGGTACCGGCTGGGGTCGTGGCATGTCCTCAAAGAGGTCATACACCATGCCCACACAGTCCTTAGCAGATAACAGGTGTATCGGCTTGGGGGAAGGACCGGTGACTACGGGAGCCGCTGCCGTACCCGTGGACCCCGCGTCCGAACCCGCAGCCACCGAAGGGGCCGGGGCCGGAACAACCAGGGCCTTATCCTGAGATAAGGCCGCCAGTTTGGAGTCCACCAGTTGAGATAGCAAAGCCGCGACGGAATCCCCTGACAGTCCAAGGGCCGCCAAGGGATCCGCCGCTGTGGAGGTAGTGCCCGCAAGGGGCGCCCGACCGGACAAACCGGCAACCTCAGGGATGATAGCAGAGCGCACGTAGCGCCTGTATCGCGCAAAGTCCTCCGGCCCCAGACCCTCGCACTGGGTGCACTGGGTGTCCTCGCAAGGGACCCTGCACCGCGGGCAACGATCGTGAGGATCCCGAGAAGACAGAAACTTCTGACAGGCCCCGCAGCGCCTGTTAACAGGAGTAGCAAGGGTGCTGGACAAAATATCCATTTCCATGTCTGACATTGTTCTTTGAACAAAAACAAAACATGGTTACAACACACACACACCAAACATATTCAATAGATTTTCCGAAGAAAAACAAACGATAATAGCAGACACATAAAATACATATAATAGATATATATATATATTAATAGGTGATGCAAAAAAAAACCACGATATACCACTAAAGGTGGCCACGCCACACCCCATTAGTAGCGAAAAAAGGCGAGAAAATTTAGGTGGGAAAATTTTCTAAGCGCCGTATAACTAACGCCCCGTAAATTACAGTTTACTTTGAACTGAGAAACAGTAATAAATATAACCAAGGATAGGCAGAAGGCGGAAAACCGTAGAACACAAGTAGAGCAGTGGATACACGTCTTGCTAGGGCAAGCGAAGAGACAAGAGTGAAGGGTGTCACATGGCAGCTAGGTGGCTACGCACGTGCTGCATGAGGTGATTGAGATCTCTGTGGAAAATTTCGCTATAAGAGCAGTTGTGGGGGACAACAGCCTCGGTATAACAGTGGTAACGTATTACTTAATGTAATTAGACCTACCTGCACAACCCAATCATAGCACAACAGACACATCTGTAAAGTATGGGAGTAATGATAGCCGTAGCTCCGTGAACATCATCAATACTTCACTGGTTTGTGATATGTTGTATACACTTCGTTCCTCCTTTTGCCGGTACATCAAACTAATGATGCCCCTTGACTGCTTTGTGAAACTGGGCTCTGAACATCTGTTATTCTAAGTCTGGCCTTGCATGACATTTAATCTTGAACCTGACATGTAATGAATCACTACCATTTTCATTCTTTTGTCCAAAGAATTGGAAATATTGTATTCTTGAATGGTGTCAACATACCAAAGTAGTATTTGTCATCAAAGTGTGTCTTGTCTGACTCCACAACTCCCAGCACATTGAGATAGAGACCAACAGCTTCCAAACACTCATCCAACAACGTCTCCAGTTCTTCATCATCTGAAAACAACACACGCACAAGTTATCCTTTCATCTCCATCACAGACCTTCACGACAGAATTAGTCTGAACCTCACCTGTGAAGATCCATGTCAGAATTGATCTTCAGGACCCATATTTGTGACCTCCTCATAATGTAAATCACTAGATTGTCTGGTCCAGAATCAATTATCCACAGACTGCTGTCTTACAGCTAGAATATTGCTCAGTGCAGTGTTAAACAACAAAGAAATAAACGTTTCAACTTCATCTACTGTCAAAAAACTAATAAATACAATACAGGAGCAAATCTCAAATATCCTTACCAGTAACAGCTTGTGACAACTTGTAAAACATCTGGAACTTGACATGGAAAGCATCCAGCATGTTCCTCTCAATCTGATCTCGTTTCAGTCCAGTCGAGGGTGCTCCTGCTTCACCAATCAGCCGCCATTCCGACTCCAGGAAGTGTAGATACAAGGTCATGGTCATCCTGCCTGCCTCCATCAGATTAACAGACAGATTGACAGTCAGGGGTACAGACTTGAGCTGCATCATCAGCACCTGACACAACTCCAGGACAACTAACTGATGACCACCATCTTCCTTATCTTCATCAGTGACTGTCATCAAACCCTCATTGCCTGACATCAACACAGAAGCTACTTCATCAAAACGGGCATCGCTGCTGCATTCTTCTTGAAGCAAGGTGTCCAACTGTTTGACCACAGTCAGTATGCTGGTAACAACTTTGATCAAACCCATGTCAGCCATGGGATTGTCTGCCCCTGATTCACTGACCACCTCCAGGAAGTGCTGCACGTCTCCCAACAACTTATTTTGGGAGAGATATTTCACAGCTCGAATCACGGACTTGATAACAATCAAACCAAACTTTTCCTTGTTAAAAGTTAAAACATTTTCTAACATAGTGACAAATATACTTAAAACCTGTCTCAAATCAGCTTGAATTGCAGACTTTTTCAATTTCAATTTGTTGGCTAAATGGATGTACCTGCCTAGTGCGATCTCAATTTTTTCCACATCTGAATCTTCAATTACTTCCTTCTTAAAGAGGAATTTCATAGCTAGAAATCTCAACTGGGTGGTGATGAGAAGTGAGCCTGGATTGCTGCAGCTGGCTTCGTGTTTGACGGACGAGTTCCACAGACGACTGTAGGTGTTCATCACAATGGGTTTAACACCAGGTGTCTCAGTAGTCACACCATGGAGGCAGCTGTACAGGAACACTCCAAGTTGATGCAGGTTAGCCATGTGACTCTGTCATTTCAACAAACCGGTTGATAAACATTGAATTTGAAAGTAAACATATAATCATCATGATTATCACTATATTAAAAATGACAGAACAATAATTCATAAACAATGGTACATTTGATCTGAATATATATATACTTTCTTATTGTAACTGAGACAATATCATGATAACTTATATATATAAATACTGATAATGATAGCTTATGCAAAGTGTGAGACTTTGTTCAGCACATGAACAGAAGCAAATTAGAAAGTACCTGAAACAGCATTTTAAGCAAAATGAATAATGCCCAACAGATTCGGCCAAGGTTTTAAAAGGGTTTATGAGCACTATGCTGTAAACATTTATTTAACAAATTCAATTTTTTATTGATAGGTCAATGACAGTCATTTATCAGTCAGTAGCCAAGGTATCTGGTACAACAAACAATGATAGACAATAATTCAAACCAACCACTCAACAGCTCGTTTCAAACTGGTGGTTAATGTTAATAACGTAAGTTTAGTCCAGACCTGCAGTTAGTGCCACTGAATAACACTGAAAGCAGTGATTCCACACAATACAATATAGACTTCTGCAAGCAAAGTAAGATATTTTTTCTTTTGCTCACCTCTTGCACAAGCTTGTTGAGGATATGGTACACAAGTTTGGGTACTGTCAGTTCATCTTGTAACTTAATGTTGTCCCTAGCAGTCTGGTATCCTTGACAACAAACATGCACTGCTGCGATGAGGTCTTCAGGCACATCATTTCCAACAACAGCAACAGCAGAATGCAGAAATTTAACTGCAAACATTCCTTTCTCTTTCAAGTCACCATTTTTAGCTTTGCCCTTCACAGTCAGTATACTTGACAGGTACTCCTAAAACACAAGTGTTGGCATCAAAATAGATTTACCATGTTTACCGGTACATGTTGGTTCATGACGTAGTCTGGATGTCAGAAAGCCATGGGTGACATCATGAGCAGTAATCCGTACAGTAAGGATACAATCATGTGTACACAATCAACAAATCACACATAAAAATTAACACATTTTTTAAAAGATTTTAGAACCCTTCAAGAAATATGCAAAAGTTGATCTTGAATGCCACAATATGTCATTACCGCTGATTATTCTCAGGCAATAGTTGCTTAACAAAAAATATCTACAATAAAAGATGCCAAATTTCTCCATGTTGAATCTGACCCTCTTTCATGTAAAAAGAGGTTGTTATATCAATAGTGGCCCACATGTCGATTTTGATGACACCCTGGGGAAAAGTTCATGTGTCGATATCGATCCAAAGGGAAAGGGTATTGATGCTGATCCCAGCTGAGAGTTGACATGTCAATGTACATCCCTTAGGTGACTGTTGATCCGAATGTCCAAGGATCCGAGTCAGTACATCGAGGCCTTTAATAAGTTCATATTTTCTTAAATTCAGAGAACTTTGAGATTGCAATTAATGCATTTAAAACGAAGCATTAAAACTGTTCATATTTATTGGTCTTGTTATAAATGAATACAGGTTATTTCTACAAAGCCATAAAATTAGTTATTAGTTACTTATATTAATACATTGTCACATAAATTTGGAAATGTTTTGTCCCAAATTGAGAATGTTTATTGACATTTGCTGTAGACTCGGGGCAGAATATCGGCCCCTAAGAAGGTCTGGATAAATCCCTGCAATACAGAAAAATGCCAGTTATCAACACATGGTTACTGGCTAGCTACCAGTTATCACTGATGGGTCGTTATGAGACTGGTTATTGCCAACACCCAGTTATATCTCACACATGACATATCCTACTTTTGCTTGGTTTCATTAGAAGGGAGAATCTTTTTCCAAAATCATGTGCAAATTGTTTTTACCAAATAGATAAACTATACCAGATAAGCATCTTGCTTTAACATAAGAAAGGACATGCCGACTGTCCTTTCTTCCTGAAGATATGATGTTACAACCACATTTAGCACTATTTTCAAACATGCATAACCTGCAATAGGTACATGTATCATGTGTATACATGGTATGTTTCTCGAAACCCATAGTCATGATAGTAAATTGTTTTATAGATAAACAAATTAAAATGTAGATTTTATTTTCAAATATTGATTTGCGTCCATTGGCAGACAGCAAATTGATAATAACATTTCTTATTCATTTTAGTATATATATATATGAGAACATGGTGATGTGATACCTGAAAACATAAATTTTTAACTGAAGAGGTGCACATGATCACGATCAGACCCACTCGCGAGGTAATGATTTGTTTGGTTTATCTGGATCCTCTGATGTCATATTGCAATAAATTGCAAACTAAATTTGCTGAAACTGATGTCATATTGCAATAAATTGCAACTAAATTTGCTGAAAACAAAATTTTGAGATATTTTGTAGATATAGGCTAGGCTACAAGATCTTACATGATGATTATGTTCCAAGGCTATGGCAAATCGTAATGATGCAAGAGAGTAGTGGTAGATATGACCAACGTCCAGTAATTTGAGTGCGGCAGTGAAATTTACGTAAGCCTTGACATCTGTGGACCTGATAATCCAAATCTGAGGTTTTCCTGATCAAGGGGCCTAAATAGGTCCCCTGTGGAACAATACAATCAGAGAACCAATATCAGTGTGCACAAAACTGAAATCGATACCATCGTTCAAACTGCCATAGTGTTGTGCCTCATTATGATCGGGGTAGTTAATCTATCGTGATCAAATAGCCAGACGGCTCTAGTGTATCTAGAAGGGATAGGCCATTGACTGATTACTGAATGAGAGATCTTCTTTGGATGGAGTTCGGGCAAGATTACCTTTGTATCTCCAAGTATTGCATCAAAATTCCTCTTGCTGATATTTTCTAATATCGATTTATCAGCCATCCTTGGGGAATTTGGCTCATAAATCAAAGGAAATCATCGGCAGGTCAACAATAATACAAACGCCGAACAAGAAGTACCGCCATGAAGGTTTAAAATGGCCGCGCTTGACCGGTGTAAACAGAAAACAACCCCGGTGAAAAACTATACCCCTATCACTGGCCTAGTTCGTACTAGATACTCTAATTCAACATGATATCCACCTGATACATTTTGTCTCATCTCATAAGGGAAGAGTTACACGAACCACAAGTGTACACCGTTGGTTAACATACAAGAGTTTATCAGGCAATGATTAGATTGGATTCAGGATATTTCTAGTGAGTGAGTTGGGTTGAACGCCGCTTTTAACAGTATTCCAGTTATATCACGGCGTGTCAGCTTAATGTGGGAGGAAAGCCCGAAGTGATGCAGGTCTCAGACGTTTACCACTTCGGTGAAACCCACGAGCATGGGTATGGTGCTGACAAACCTAGAAACATAATCGGGGCGAACAGGGATTCGAACCCACAATCATAGGTTTCTGGCGTGCCCAAGGGACGCAACTCTGCACAGCGAATCGCGGCGCCTTAGGCGACTGGGCCACCAGTGGCCCCAAGGATATTTCTAAATCCACGTCACATCTTTGCCTGCCAAACCCTTTTATGTTACGTTCCTCTCGAAATCGCATATTGTACCCCAATGGCATGACCAACAAAATATAACATCTTAGTTTTGTAACTTCCAACTTTTACCATCAACCCACCCTTCACACTGTAGGTCACTATGGACCAAACTTTACACTCACAGAGATTTACAAATGACAAAGTTATGTTCATCCCACAAGCATTCAAAGTCTAAGTTTTGTGGCTCCGCTTCAGTGGAATTTGTGAGTGAGCGAGTTGCATTTAGCATGTTTAGCGCCGCCCCGAACAGTGTCTCGACTTTTCATCAAAGTTTATGTTGGAAGAGAGCCCGAAGAGCTTGTTTCAGTGGAAACACGAACGGTAGAGATGCAGATGAATCACATTTAACATTCTTTCAGAAGTGTGCTATTCGTGCAATAATTTCACGAAACAGACATCGTATCGGGAGGCAATGGAGGCGTTCATGCAACACGTGTCAATATTGTACGGGTCACTTTCTTAATACTACACCGGTTTTTGATAAACACATCTTTTCGTACACATACATTTGAACGCAAAATAATGAAATTATTATTTTGTGAATGGATTAAATAGTACATATTCTATATCATATCATCATAAATAAAAGGAAGACATTAGGCTAATATTGTTAAGTATTTGCAGTTGCCTCGGACCGAAAATCGGTGCGGTACACAATGTAAACTTCCGGTTTATCGTTTGACAAGTTTGGGAAGTGTCTCTCATTACCCATTATGGCACTGACGGAAAAATACACAGGGAAACTGACTGAAGCATTGGTACTAGCTAGAACCCGAGCCACAGATCTTGAAAGTGTCTGCAAACTAAACTGTTGGTAAGTGGACTGTCGCTCCGAAAAGTAATTTATGAATGCGTTCAGTCGAACCCTCTGACACTGACAGCGCCACTGGCTCCGAGTCTTGACTCTTGAGATTGGCAAACTTGTGTCAGTCATGCTCACCCCTTCTTTAAAGGCGTATACAACTGGCCTACCACAGAAATCTACAATGGCCATCGTTAGGCCACAATGGAAATTTTGTATGGAAAGGACGGACAGTAACTGGGTAGGCTACAATCATTAGCTGATCTCAGGGTTAGACCTGGCTTGGTTGACTTACAGTTGTACCCTGTATACGAACATGCAAACACATATTGACAGATGTTCACACTGCCGGTCACTGTTTTTCCTTTCGAGGCATGTCAGGGTTTTCATATTGGTCCATGTGTTAGGACAGTTGAAAGATTTCAGAGAATTTGAAAATAATGATCATGTTTAATGAATGTTAAGAAGCTTAATGGGAAAGTTTGAAAGTATTGAAATATCAGCTTTTTCTTCGCAGATTCAAAATTTGCTTATTGTGGACAATAATTTTACATTATCAGAAATAACATATTCTTTTTTTAGTTGCAGCTTTTTCTACGTATATTTAAAATAATAACAACCCAAAGACGTATAACGTCTTTGAATATCCATAAGCATTGCACTTTGGCATAAATGATTGCTATTGACGAATATTTTTTACATATGGAACAATTTAAATCAGTCGCCCTTGAGTCCTCCCGCATTCCTCTGTAACAAATGAATGAAAATATGATACAAATATCATAATTACAACCAACAGTAGTTATATGTTTAATATCAGGCAGTTAGCTTGTTCGAGGAATGTATTTTACAATATCTACATGAGGGTAAGATATCCCATACATCTGAAGCTGTACAAAGAAACTTGTTCGATGTCACATGTCTTTGTAACAATCTAATATTTTGGAATATATATAGCGTTTAGGGATATTTTGACCCATGTTCATCTCTCAACTGATCACGTAAGTCTATTTCAGGTGTTTCACAAAGGTGTCATGTCTCATTGGTCAGCTGAGATGGCACACATGACAACTATGTTCATGATGTACGTTGCTCTTTAGAAACCATCCACTGAGTTGGATAACAATGAGCAATGAATCAGTATTACCGGCTAATCCTTTGAAAAAATTATGTTGTTTTGACATAAGCACTGCGCACCAATGCAGATATGGGTCTACTTTAGTAAACCTACATACATTAACACTTACTTGTGACAAATCCACTGTGCAAGATAACAGTGATTAATCAAACAGCATATTATCGGTTAATCCTTTTATCAATGTTTTTGGCAACTCAACTACCCATGCCCATCGTGATGAACTGCCACATGCATATTACACAACATGTAATACATTCACCACATCAGACTTGGGATTTATGACCCAATCTTAGATTAAATAATTAGTTTTTGTCAGGTACATGTACTATGAGGGGTTCCACCACTAATTATACCTGTAATAAAGTCATTAATTGAGCATCAAGTGAATGACGACAAATACACAGGTGTAGATAATACCATGAAACATGGAGTAGTAGTTGTTGTATTACATGCAGTTTGCCTGAAAAATAAGGGTCGTTGCTGTTTTGAGTACATGAACAGAATTTCATTTTTGAAAAATAATATGTACAAGTGTTTGCTGTATACTAAATTCAATATTGTACATACACATTTACACACACTGACGAATTGCAAGGTGAAAGGTTATGGCAGAAGGAATCATCCCATCAAATGTGAGAATTCAAGGGGATTCCCCCTCGCTGTCAACGAGGTCCTCCAGTTGGCCCATGCTGGTCCAGAATCCAGTTTGTGATGCTAATTGGCATACAGTGATTATAAAACCGCGCTGACTAAGAGTTGGAGCATTGTTTCCCATTAGAGAAGAATGCCCTATTGAAATTGCTATTAGCATGGGATTATTTATATCCCTAATAGTGTTGAAACTCCTAAGGATAATTGTCTCAATCTCAAGCGATGTCATTACTTTTTGAGCAACTATATTTTATTACCCCCAAAACGGATTAACATTTAGGGTAAAGTTATAGAGTGCCTTTTTCACCAGTTTGTTGCTGTTTGCACATGGTGCCACTTAAGCTATAACCATCATAACCCCTCCTACAATCTCGGCCAAGTATTACACATTCCAGAATTTACTTTTGTCCAGTTTTCAGATTTTGAATCTAGAACCTAGTCAAAATATTTTCAAAGCGTAGACAGAAATCAAAGTTGCCAGTTTGAAACTAGTGTCACTCTGTGTCTGTGACTAACATTCTTTTGATTCTGTTGTAGGGGTTCTAGTATCAAAGATGTCAGTATTGTCCGACAGATGCCAAGTCTAGAAGTCTGCAGTTTAAGGTACATCTTTTTCCTGATTTGAATACATATATTTGTTTTTTATACTTATGCCTCTTTTATGATGTTCATGTACTGGGCTGTGTTCCACAAATCTGCCTTGTTGCTAAGGTTATCGTAACTCCCATACTTCAGCATGGGATCATGGTAGCCGTAGCACTTAAATCGCTTTGTGGAATGGGGCACTTGTAGTTATGTCGGGTTAAAATTTGTTGTTAAAATGAGGCAAGTTTTATGAAGTAGGCAAATCCTTTGTCATGTGATTTATGAGATGTTACATAATGATAGGTAAGGAATAATCATATTTTCCTCTTTTACTTGTAAATCTGTTTCACCAGCCAAAATCAACCTGTGATAATCTTTGTACAATGTGTCTTTACTTTTCAGCGTCAATGAAGTCGACACATTAAGAGATTTTGCACATTGCCCAAACCTTCAAGAATTGTACATTAGAAAGAATAATGTAAAGAGTTTAACAGATATCCAATATCTGAAGAAGTTACCTAAACTGCGAATGTTATGGTTGTCTGAGAACCCATGTGCGACAGAAAACAACTACCGTATGACTGTTCTGAAAACTCTGCCAAACTTACAGAAACTTGATAACAAGGGTAGGTATTTTTGCTGCAAACAGACACATTATGTAGTTAATATTGTGATGAGATAATAATGTACCATGGGAAAATATGGAAGATTTTTGTTACGACAAATAGAAAGTGAAAAGACTAATAATTCGAGGGGTTAGTGCCAGAACCACTTATCTCCATTTTCCCTAGATGTGAGAAATCCCACTTCAAAAGTTTGAAATGGTGCTAAAAAGCACCACTTGAAGTTTTATTAGCAATATTGTTTCCAGCCATTGTCATTAAGTGTGCCAAACAGTATATCTTGTTTTTTCAACATAACATTGATATTAACATGTAATAAAGATAACCTGAAATATATACGATGTTCTGGCATATCTCTTCCCCAAAGAAATTCAGCTAGACTTTCAGCCAAAGCGAAGTAAATAAAGGCAACTCCATCTGGCAGCATAAACATTATACAGGAAAGGGGAAATGTGAGGCCCAGATCCTTGTAAACAGAAGTGATACATTGTGGCCCTGATAAATGATAACATTCCTGCTTGCGTCAAATTACCCCAAACACAGGACATACGTTTATGCTTCAGAAACTTTCTCAATGAGCAAGCCAATTAATAGCAATAACAGCTTATCTCCCGACAGCTGGTAACGGCTCAACCACAGAGTCTGCGTGACACACAGGCTGATACCATTATCCTGGTGTAAGCTGACACTCTAAAGCATCGCTTGCTACAAACACGTGGTTATAATCACTTACCAGCTTTAACGATTATCTGGCATTGCCTAAAAGAACTAAAGTAATGTCAGTGTTGCCTTTACCAAACATTGTTCATTTTATTAAATGCTGTACATTTACATTTACATTGCATTGTTTGTTTCAAAACTAAAAAGCTAATTAGTCTGCAAAATTAAGTTAATGTTAGGCTGTAATGCTAATGAGTGGAAATGTGTCACACAAAGTTAACGGAGAAACGTTATTCTATAAATTATAGATGAATAGAAGATCCTTTTAAAACCTTTGTTTATGTAAATATATATTCTTTTATAAAACAGTGGGTACATATTTAGCTTATTATCTATAAACCAGTATATAATATGTAAAAAGTGATAGATAAATAGATAGACAGATCTGTACCCAACGTTCAATTTTCAAAATGGTGACATAACTCGCAGTATTCACAAAAAATATAATACTTTTTCCAGCTGAGCTTCATTCAAAGTCAATTTATGAACATACAAATACTGCAGTTCTTAAGATCAGTTATCTCAGATTGTATTCGGATATCCAACCTACCTGTCATAAGACATTTTAATGTGGTTACAATCATTTTACGTTCCTAACAGTAAATGGAATTCTTAGCTTGAACATTCACGCGATTGTTGTGGCTCACTAAAAAGGAAATAAATAAGGAAGTAATGCAGGAACTTGTCAGATATAATATAGCCAGGATCAGCATTTCAGCACTGTCAGACTTCCACAAATCTGAGTCGGGTATTCATGTTTAACTGCGGCATAGTATCTCAGCGGGCTGGTACAATAATATTGGCATTAGTCCGGACTAGTGCAATCACACGCACTTACGCACGCGCGTACGCGCGTACGCACACATAGCTATATTAGTGCGATAATGAACACAGCACCACAGTCACACATCATATTATGCAATGTCTGTGTCATAGTCTTCCTCCATAGCATCTGGTACCGGTAGACAATCAGGTCTGTTACCAGTTGGGAGAGCTTTGTAGTACTCATGATATTCGCTTGGAATAATACCAGATCTACAAAGAGATAACAAGTCTTTCTTCTTCGCATGTGATATTTCTTGCTTCCCAGTGTATCTACAAGTAAGGGAGTTGGTTGTGTTCAGAGGTCTACCTCGTCTACTGCCTGCTGTAACCTTGATTTCTCTGAACTGCTCATCATTGTGTTCAGTTTTGAAGTAAATGCTGTCAGGGCTAGTCTTCATAAACCGCAGCCAGCGAACATTTAGCCAGTTAACTCTACCACCATCCGTGTCCACTTTAGTATTTTTCAGTCTTTGATGTGCCAATTTCTTGAAGTCCATTACATCCGTGTGTTTGATTGGAATAACGAGATAGGGGTCCTTCCTTCTTGCCATTCTGATAACAGTATCCCACTGGCTGGGAACAAAAATACTTGTCTTCTTTTTGGCGAATTCAATACTGGAGTGAATTGCATCGCACTCCATTTGGGTGTGTCCTGGCTCCAAGAATTTATGGTCAATGACATCAATGTGGTCAGTGGTAGTGACAGCATGAAGTAGGGAAGCAGCAACATATTGGTTCCTATTCTGCCCTGTGCATGTATCTGAATACAGGATAACATGGTTGATGTTAGGAGGCATTGCTTTCAACTGTATTTGTAAACATGATGCAATTTCGCATGAACCTCTCTGGGCATCAACCTCTGACCACAGAAAACATGTACCGCTCTTGTGAACAGCATCATGCACTGTGAAATTATAACAATTCAGTTTTCTCATATAGAAAATTTCGCTAACTAGCGAACATGGCGTGTACAATACTGCCTCAAGGTCAAATGTTCCAACAAAGACAGAGGATTCTGTCAAGGCAAGTGCTTTGTCCTTAATCTTTGCCTCTCGAGCTCTGATTTTTCTGGCTTGGTGTTCATTGAAATCCTTTGTTAATTGTTCTGTCAGGCAACCAGTGTCTCTTTCTCTGTAATATTGCTGACAAAGCGAACACTGGTCCTTCTTTGGTACATGGAAAGAAAAATTATATTCTTTATTGAAGACGTTTCTGTAGAGTGATGAGGACACTGGTTCTTTGTTGTCTGCAGCACACCTTTCCTTATAAAGTTCATACATCTTTTTAATATTCAATTCTGGTCCTAAAAATTGCCTGTTTGTATCTTTTCTTGTGTAGTGGGCATCCATCTTAGGAAATGACTCAATGTGTTCCCTTACTTTTGTCAAGCGATCACTGGCAGTTTTATTGTGTGGCTTATGTCTACCGCGACGTTCTGTGCTCCCAAAGGTTCCCTGGCTCTTGTGCTGTAAGGCATGGCTGATGTATGACTCCCCAATGTCAAGAGTCTTCATGAAAAACTTCTTGCAAACAAGATGTCTTGTTCCTTCCCACTGTAGATTAAATGCCCGATAGACTTGGCGTTTCTTTTCCACCTTTCTTTCACTGTCATCCAGGTATGTACGGGTTTTCTTTTCATCAGTGTTGGAACAAACAAAATCCTTTTGCCTTTCATATGATGACAAGCTTCTAAATGCTTTAAATATACTGTGTCGAGCTTCTTCGGGGATCTTCTGGGTGCACTTATATCTACATTTTGAGCAGTCGACTGCTTTAACCGATTTTCCTTTCATGGTCTTCCCTTGCTGGTTCACATATTCCATTCCACCTAATCTCAGGTGTTTCCTTTGATTTTTTAACCATGTCTCGGGCGTCGCACGTCTCTTTCTAAACAGCACCTTTCTAGGAGGTGTATGGAAGGCTGACGACTTTCTTGGAGTTGCAGATCGAGATGGGTTCTGTTTGTTTGGGGTTGATGCTGTATTACCTGATGACACTGTGTCGGCACCATGCTGTGAAGATACTGGAACTGGACTTGAAGTATTTGAACTGATCACAGGGTCTTCTGGCATTACATGGTTGCGTTCATTTACAGCAGTACAAGAAACATCAGAGATGCTGATGGACTGGAGACAACTTGCAGCTGATGTGGACGTTCCAGGACAGGTAGCTCCAGAAGCACATGCTTCTGTTGTTTCATGTTGAGTACTTGAGTACTGAGAAGATTTTGTGATGTTATTTTCTATCATTGTGTTTGACAAATGGTTAGCCAGTGGTGTGCATGCATCATAATGATCTTCAATACCTTTTATGGATGTAAATGCGAGGATTATTCTTCTCTCAGTGCATTGTTGACGAATTGTAGGTTGGACATTAATTACAGGAGTTGATGCCTTGCTGGAGAAAATACGGACACCACGACCTGACCAGTTAGCAAGTGCTAATGGCAGGAAATCAGCAACCTTATTGGTGAAATATCCATTCCTGCGAAGATGTTCCACTTCCAGTGAATAACTTTGCCATGTTTCCAGGTTGTTTTCCTCCACTTCAGCATAGAAATCGGAATAAGTGATGATATTATCATCAAGATGATCACACAGTTGTTTCCTCAGTTCACATTCACTCACATTAAGTTGAAGTGCAGAAGCCTTAAAAAAGCAATTTCCATCAGCCGGTACCTTCAGTAACTTGTATCCATTACAATGCAGAAGTTGTTCTAATCTCTCCGTGTGAAACTTTTTCATTTTAGATTCATACATGTAGTTGGTATGACTTTCATGTAATGTCTTCAGAACAACAGTTTCCTCCAATTCCCCACTTGACCTTTCATGAAATTTGCTATGAACAATATTCTTCTGATTTGGTATTGTCAATTCTGTTTCCGATTCAGTGGTGTCAGACGAGCATAAATCTTCTTCATTCGGAAGGTACTCTTCTGATGATGTTTCGATGCTACTTTCAACATGTGTATGTCTATATTTCCCCAAATAAATTAAAGGTTCGTCATCAGAGCTGTCAAATTCATTTTCATTTCCTCCCTCACTCCCCCGTGGCTCTATGTAGTCTTGAGGGGCTTTCATATGCGTTGCCGACAAAGGATCTGTGTTGTCAGTAGTTTGTACCTGATTAGCATCCATGTTGGTTGCCGTCAATGGATCTGCGCCGTCAGTGGTTGGTAGCTGATCAGTTTCCATGTTGGTTGCCGTCAATGGATCTGCGTTGTCAGTGGTTGGTAATTGATTAGCTTCCATGCTGGTTGCCGCCAATGGATCTGGGTTGTCAGTGGTTGGTAATTGATTCGCTTCCATGCTGGTTGCCGCCAATGGATCTGGGTTGTCAGTGGTTGGTAACTGATTAGCTTCCATGTTGGTTGCCGCCAATGGATCTGGGTTGTCAGTGGTTGGTTGCGGATTTGGTTCCATGCTCGTTGCCGTCAATGGATCTGTGTTGTCAGTTGTTGGTAGCTGATTAGCATCCATGCTCGTTGCCGTCAATGGATCTGGGTTGTCAGTGGTTGATAGCGGATTCGGTTCCATGTTGGTTGCCGGCAATGGATCTGCGTTGTCAGTGGTTGGTAGCTGATTAGCATCCATGTTGGTTGCCGTCAATGGTTCTGCGTTGTCACTGGTTGGTAGCGGATTCGGTTCCATGTTGGTTGCCGTCAATGGAACTGGGTTGTCAGTGGTTGGTAGCTGATTAGCATCCATGTTGGTTGCCGTCAATGGATCTGCGTTGTCACTGATTGGTAGCGGATTCGGTTCCATGTTGGTTGCCGTCAATGGAACTGGGTTGTCAGTGGTTGGTAGCTGATTAGCATCCATGTTGGTTGCCGTCAATGGAACTGGGTTGTCAGTGGTTGGTAGCTGAGTAGCATCCATGTTGGTTGCCGTCAATGGAATTTGGTTGTCAGTGGTTGGTAGCGGATTCAGTTCCATGTTGGTTGCCGTCAATGGAACTGGGTTGTCAGTGGTTGGTAGCGGATTCGGTTCCATGTTGGTTGCCGTCAATGGAATTTGGTTGTCAGTGGTTGGTAGCGGATTCGGTTCCATGTTGGTTGCCGTCAATGGAACTGGGTTGTCAGTGGTTGGTAGCGGATTCGGTTCCATGTTGGTGGGTGGTTGTGGCACAATAAGGTGTAATATCTGATTGTTCTCGATAATATTGCAAGCTTCCAAAATGTCTTGATCTTCGAAGTCAGAATCAAACTCACTCATTTTCCAATGCCTATAGAAAGAAAACAAAAAACAAAAGAAAACAATACATAGCACTGGTCTTGAAATATTTGTGTATGTGACATTATTTCTCAATTTACAATCTAACTTCATGTATCATATATTTACTCTTATGTAAACTTTACTTGTGTTTATGAAAGATGTTTATGTTAAAACCACAAGTCTCACCCATGTCATTTACATACTATTTTATAGCAAAATTATCAAAAAATCCCTGCGATTATCTGAAAACAACCAAGAACACACTAAAAGTTAACGAACACTGATTTGATAATGACTTAAACATAAAAATCCGTTATATAAATCATCAGACGTGTTGTTGCGTCGTAACTTTATAACAATATAAGAGATCAATTTTAAAAAATTAGTAAAATAACAGATAATTTAATTCAATTTACAGTTTTACTTACCTTAAACGTATTTATGTTGATGAAAATAATTTGGACTATGATATTTCCGTTGTAAGACGTTTGTGTAGTGGGGTTTATCTTCGACGCCAGGACCAAGTAATGACCATTAGTATAAGCTGACTGGAATTTAGCCCGGGAATCAGATATAAACATCCTGGGCCATAGAAGGCTAGCACCAGTTAACATCATCTGGTGCGGGGGAGCGCTTATCTCTAATCGTAAACACAAAAAGCCAGCACATCTCAAATGCTTATCAGTTGTTACGGCTCTCCAATTAAAGGAGTCTTAAGCCTATATCAGAGTGCTAGAATGTGTTAATTCTCGATACGTTTTTCTGGCTTAATAGAATTGAGTGAAAACTTTAATGTTGTGTATACCAGCATGTAGTATTTTAGTATAGAACATCCTGGCGCAACACGAGAACAGAGTTAGGTGATAAGTTGTTTATGTCTTGTTGAATATCTTTTAAAATATACAATGTAGTACATAGATATTTTGGCGTAGGATTATATATGGTCATACAATGTTTTGAAAGTCATAAAGTCAATTTTAATATTTTACAAGATAATGTGTTCTGGCACTAACCCCTCGAATTGATGAGATAATGGAAAATAATAAGTTTAGCCGACGTTATAATTTACAGAAAAGGCTTCATTCAAATAGGAATAAATTGACAGTTACGATTTCTTCTGGGAATTGCTGAGGACGATAAGCTTACAAGCAAAGGACTATAAGAACTATAATTGTGTACTAAAACTCTTTTACAGGAACACAATGTGACACTGTGTTAAACGATATATCAAGAACATGGAGAAAATATTATTTATTTCATTACCGTGTTACAAGATTTAGACACAAGCAAGTGCAATGAAACATTTGAGAAAAAAGATGTTTTAAGGCTTTTTTCCCCTCCAATGTCTATATACAATTTTGTGAATATGTTACTTTTTTGCTCTTGAACATATGTTTATACATTGGTTTAACATGTTGTGTTCATATCTCTCTGATCTAGCTGTGACAGAAGATGAAATCAACCAGGCATTGGATGAAGGAGATGATCTGCATGCCTTACCTTTGACACCTCCTGCAACACAACCGATCAAGTCATTCCTGTCAGACCAACCTCTACACCAACGAGATGTAAACCAACCTGCATCAAAACCAACTGAAATCCTGCATATTGACTCCGAGTTGGAGAATGGTGATGGACATGGAGATGCAGCAGATGTAGTTGAGGTTGCTGCTGCGGAGACAGTAACACAACAGACAGTGCCTGGTGATGGCCAGGGGGCTGATATGTCACCCGACAGTGTGGCCACAGCACAGCAGGACCCTCCGGGGACAGATTGCCCCCCAGACAGTGTCAACACAGCAGCAGCACAGGGGGATGCTCTGTGTGTGGAATCCTCCAGAGACAAGGCTAAGGAGGAGGCAGTTACACTCAGCTGGGAGGAAACGAAGTAAGTAAATACATCTGTTGTTGAGTTGATGTTTGAGGAAAGATTTATATCAAATGCGTACCATGTATCTTAAAGTCATAGATGCAGCCATAAAATCATTTCACTGGATTAACTCCCTTGATTTTTGCCACGCTGTGCGCAGAAGTAGGTCACACACTGGTGAGCATAAGCACACAAAGGTGTATGTTTGTCATGGTCTGGCAGGGTTTAAAAAAGAGGTCAAACAATCAGGTTATGCACCAAACTTGCTATATCGCAGTATAAATACATAAGACAATTATTTCACATTTGTCACATAACATCTGTCAATATGATCATTACAAACAGTTCAGGAGTTAATGTTAAATAGAATTAATTATCACAACTCATGATGATATGCAAATTCAGAAAATCTACTTACTGTCACAATTATTGTTATACATAATCTATAACATTGAAGTTGTTGGGCACTCTGGTTTCTCTTCACCTCGCATAAATCTTTCGCCTTTTACTAAAGATTTCCGTGGGGAGGAACAACTCAATGAGTCTATAGACTTATTTTTTAAACCCTACTTTGTAGGGTATACATACACCAAAGAAAGAACAGAACAAACTAGTTGAGTATTTAGAAGTAAGAAAACAGTTGCAAATGTCTTGTATAGTGGCATAATTTTAAACTATATGTTGTAGTAATCCAACAACAAATTATGGCCTAGAGTTCAGTACACAAACTTTTTAATAGCGTCACATCAGCCCAGCAACAGAGTTGTTGCAGTCATCTAGTGTGCATTAGCTCCTCCCAGTGATCTATCATCTCTACAAGTTATATCATAGAATAAGCCCAGCAATGTTGAAAGTTTTCAATATTTCTTTACTTAAGATAGCATGCAGTTGGTATTTTACAGCACACGCCAGTTTATGAAGACATTTTTATTTTCAGCATTTTTTTCCCCAGTTTCAGCTTAATTCATAGAGCTGAAAGGGTGTACGGATCATGAATGGGAACTAAAATACACTTTTTCAATCATATAGTTTTCATTATTATGCACATGAATGCAGTTTATGAGGTATTTAATTTTTGATGGGTAAGAACAGTGTATGCATGTGTATGCACTACAGATACAGGATTGTACATGAATGCTTTTTCCTATTTTTCAGTCGAATTCGGGAGCAGCTAGGCCTGAAGCCATTACCCAAAGCTAAGATCGTCACACCAAGGTCATCCTCTACAAGTCTCACTAAGTCCAGAGTAAGTCTTCTGAAGCCTTGTTTAGTCAGATTTACAGTCATTTCTATGTACATCTGCTGAAACATAGTGTATGAATGAAGAGTGAAGAGGAAGTAACAACAACAACAACAACAATAACAACACACATTTGTCAAGTAAAATCACAAGTTGGCAAACTATTGTTGCCTGTGTGAAGCCACCTAGGCCAGTGTTTCCTTTGGTATTTTTATCTGTTGGTCATGTTGACCGGTAGCAAATGGATATCCCTTTCCTTGATAAAATTTACAGGTCCCGTGATCACTAATAAAAGATCGAAGACATTTGCCACAACTGTTTTCGAACAGCCATATTGATGGTGATTTATTGCGTTATAACGATAAGTGTGACATCATCAAAGCTACCGACTTGACAGTGCATGTGTCCTACATGTCAACATTGTAGTCATGTGAAGTACTGTACACCTGTCAGAACAGTCCGTCGTCATTCCGAATTGTGGTGCACCTGTCATGATTAAAAGGAAGAGTGAAATAGTGTGTACACTATAATTTAGACAAACGTTTATGTTTTGTGAATAGGTTTCAATTTCTTTTTTCTTTTTGAGTTTTAATGCCAGAAAGGCACTGAAAATTGACACGCCAGATTTTTAGACTTAGTGATTTAATGTTTGCAGTGATTCACATGATACGATATGCATTTTTCAATGGATATATCAATCAGACACAGGGACTGACAGCCCTCTAATTAAGCTGTCCCAGTCGTATTTTACTGGTCAATATCCGGTATACCGGAGAACGGAAACATTCCATCCTCTTTAGGATGGTGTAGACAATCTTAAAATATCCCAATTGCTGAATGTCATCAATTGAACAGTGATATGATAACAAAGGTGGAAACTTAACAACGGAAGCCAACAGCTTGTTAGTGGTGATTAGCAATGGACAAATGGAAGCCAGAGTTTAATTAACAGCGCATTCTCGAAAGTGATTTGCTTGTTGTTTAACGGCGCATTCAACAATATTCCAGCTATATAATAACAGCTTGCAAATAGTCAAATTTTGATCAGACAACCCAGTGATCCATATTGTGAGCAACGATCCAAGCTGTTGGGTACGATGACACTCAATAAACCATGTCACGGAGTCTAACCATCCGATCTATTTGGCTGCCTCTTATGACCAGCATAGGTTGCTGGGACCAATTCTAACCCATAATCCCCATAGGGTTGAACAGAGTGCAGCAGGGCCCCATTCCTCAAAGCTATCTTAGCGCTACGATGATCGTAAGCCTATGTCAAAGTATGGGACTTACGATCACCTTAGTGCTAAGATCGCTTTGAGGAACGGGGCCCAGGACATTAATGAACTTGCAAAACATTAAAGCACTTTGTTGTTGCTGTTGGTCAAACACAGAAACTTCATCCTACCTAGTGATTGTATAAGTTGTTTTAATTCTTATTGTTAGCCTTATTCTATCATGTTCTATGGTGATGTGTTGTAGAATGCTAACATCCTGCAGTCAGTGCTGTTACTTGTCCGAGAACTAGACAGGGACAGCCTCGAGGTCGTACACTCCACAGTCAAAACACGGATGGAAGCATTGTGAAGATCGCAGCACACCAACCATTGCCAAATACAGGACAGTAGCCTCAACATGTTCAACACTGTTACAAGGCATCAAGTGTGATACGGTCATGAAGACTTAATGCCTCGTTTAGAATTTACATAATAGTTGACAACTTGAGACCCAAACATACAGGAATTGGTGGTAACCAATTGTATCCTGGCATCTGATTTTACACTTAATATGAGTATCCGACCATTTAATATTGTGGAGGGGGCCTGGTATATTTTTTGAGACAGGATATTTCTTTCAGTCACTGCTTCAAGACGTACAATTTCTTCACTCTGAAAGGAGACGACATCTATCTTACCCAGTGAACACTTAATTGTTTATCCATTATCATTTGGATTTTTTTTCTCTCTCAAATCCCAGCCCCTAACTCAAACACTCCTCCCGCTGAATATCAAATGGTCTATCCCTAAATGCTAAATTGTAAAATAATAATATTGTAATGGACTCTGATTACCATGGTACAAGTACAGTCTACCGTCCCCCGTCCCTCACTGGTGAGATTATCATAACTGAGTGCTGAGATAGTACTTTAACACAATACTTTATTCTGAAAATTCAAAACATCATTGATTACTGATTTTAAGGTGTAGTCATATTTCCATTCCAAAGTGCCTCTTACTGACATTGAATAACTTCAGATGTACATTTGTCTGTCTCAGTTTCTTAGATCTTCCATGTAAATTAGAAACCTTGGTGGCCAAAGATGACATCATGCTGTATAACTCCCACATACAATCCTTGAAGAATATTCATATTTCTGATCAGATTTGGGAAAATTCATCTCAAAACTTAAATATTTGTTATCTTTGATTTGAACTTTAGTCACACACATGAATAAATGAAAACTAGCATTTTGAATAGGAAATATGTTAATTTATAGTATTATTGGTTGCATGTTTGCATTTAAAATCGATTTTGTGCTAAGGTAATTGACACACTTTGACAGCTAGGAAAACCATGGAGACGATAATATCAAGCAAATGTGTCGGAGTATCATGAAGTCAAATTTTTATCATGTCTATTAATTTATCCACAGGAACATGATGGTGGTTATAATTCTGTTTATAATGAATGTTAAGACTAAATTTATTTGCAATGATATGGATGTAGTTGGCAAAACATTTCACTTTAATGGTTTGTGGATTTTAGCTTGGATCCATCAAATAAAAATGGATCTGAAAATAATTTTGTTACTCTCAGAGGTTTGTTTACTTGGTAAGAAATTGTTTTGGTCAGTGCAGGATGTTATATATTTGCATACATGGCACACAATGCATTTGATTCATTGTTATTTAAGAAGTTAGTAGCTGCTTTGATTTGTGTATTACGTTCATAGTTGTAGTTTTGTGCATTGTATATGTTGAGTATCTCTCAGTTTCCTGTTTGTGAGAATGTGATAGTGTTTAGTATTTATGAAGTATATCAACTTGTGTGTTGCTTTCATTTCTTCGTCCAATTTGCTCAGTCTGCAGGGGTCAAGGCTCTGTGAATCAAGAATAGCTTTAATACACCAGATATCGATCTTTGTAAAGGTGTAGCTTGTACATACGACCGATGTGTTGTAAATACTTCAATCAGTTGATATATCAACAGACAGGCTTAACAATATTATCAAAAGTACTTTTGTTTACTTGATAGAAAACAAAGAATCGCGGAGTGAACGTGTCCTTTGAAATATGAACATGATTTGTATGTTCTTGACATCAATTATTATGAGAAGGATATAATAACTCTAAAGCCTTTCAACATGGGGAAGGTCAAGGTTATTTTCAATAGGTCCATCAGTGTTTTTGTCCAAATGTGGTCAAGAATGGTTTGTGTTTTTTTGTGTTACTTTATCATATCACAATTCGTCATTCATCCTGAACCTTGTGCACAGAAGTCGGACATAGATATATGTCTTGCCATTCAGAGAGGTGAACATTGATGCATAAGCATAGTGACTGTCCTGACCCCTGATCTTGCATAGTAATCAAATATCCGTCCTTTGAGTGAGTGTACTTAAGTACTCAAAAATAACCTCAAGTCTTTACTGAAGATATAAAGGAGCATATCAATAAACAGTATAGTTTTTACAAGCATTGTGGTGTATTGTTTTTGTTTTTAGTTATATATTGTTTGTTTACTTTGTGAATTCATATGATGGTGTTTATTTGATAGCGAGACAATGAAGCAGTTTAACTGCACAGTGCGGTGTGTGAGGAATGCCCGACACAGATCATCGGTTGTGAAGTTCATTATGCTGTTCAGATGGGTTCTCTTTTTGTAATATAAACAATAGACTGCATTTCATTTTTCCAGAATGTTCCAGTGGAATCAGCTTAATACTCCTAATGCAATAAGCTAACAGCTTTTGTTTTTATGTTAGAGAATGATAAACAGGAACAGTATCTTGTCTTGAAACATTCTTCCACATCTTGCCGACAGAGCTCCAGGGACCATCATGTTTCTACGGAGTCTTTAGATTGTACACCATGGACTCTTGTATAGAACAGATCCCATTGCCCCTGCTTGAGGGAAGAACTTACTAATCAGGATTGAATGGTTATGGCACTGATGCCTTCAGTCACTGGTTTGCCTGGCCCGGCCTTGTTGCCATGATGTAGATGGAATATTGCTCACTGGGGCATAAAACAATATTCACACTTTGTTGGAGTCAGTACTGATGACAAGTATGACAGTGTTGCTGATACTGAGGCATGGGTGACCGATTTAGGTACTTTTTAATTTTTCAACCGTCTCAACAATATCCGAGTAAGACATGTTTTCTGACTGATCAGATCTTGTTACCTGTAAACAGGCTAGAATCTCCCTGCTTGTCAGTGAATCGGTCCTGGTGAGATCAGTAAGTACCAGGGCTTGCTGAAGTTCTTGTTGCCTGTTACCAGAGACTGAAGACAGGCTAGAATCTCCCTGCTTGTCAGTGAATCGGTCCTGGTGAGATCAGGAGTACCAGTGCTTGCTGAAGTTCTTGTTGCCTGTTACCAGAGACTGAAGACAGGCTAGAATCTCCCTGCTTGTCAGTGAATCGGTCCTGGTGAGATCAGTAAGTACCAGGGCTTGCTAAAGTTCTTGTTGCCTGTTACCAGAGACTGAAGACAGGCTAGAATCTCCCTGTTTGTCAGTGAATCGGTCCTGGTGAGATCAGGAGTACCAGTGCTTGCTGAAGTTCTTGTTGCCTGTTACCAGAGACTGAAGACAGGCTAGAATCTCCCTGCTTGTCAGTGAATCGGTCCTGGTGAGATCAGTAAGTACCAGGGCTTGCAGAAGTTCTTGTTGCCTGTTACCAGAGACTGAAGACAGGCTAGAATCTCCCTGCTTGTCAGTGATCAGTCCTGGTGAGATCAGGAGTACCAGTCCTGACTCTCAGGCCAATCGGCAGTCCCAGCAAGTTTGATTCAAGTATTTCCAATCCCACTTTATTTCTCTGCCCAGTTTTATGATGTAGATCAATCTAGCACTAAATAACCTAATTACAGATAAAGTCCCAGTTTCACAGATGGCATAAATTACAAATTTGAAACCTGGCCGGGAAATGCATTTACCATGGTCCTCTTTGAGTGAATGTTGAGTTACATGAGATTGTTAGTCCGAGACTAGTGAAAATCTGGACGGACTAGTTGTTTTCTCACCAAGTAACAGTCCGAAATGAGTTGCGGACTAGTTGGATATTATCAATGATATCTATCCTTGGCTATGATGATGGTCAAATTGATACGATCAATTTGAAGAACTTGGCGCAGGTATCTGTCAATAATGTGTCCATGCATCACCCATCATTCAGAAGCCATATCAGCTATTTCATTGTAAGACTACATATTTACATGTAGAATATGATGTGTAACATGTTGATATCCTTTTTTATCAGCTGTTACAAGTGACAATTGTAACTGATGTAGAACTGTAATGAAAGTACATATTTAATACAACTTTAATATGTTCACATTGTGTAAAGTTGTAATATACTTTTGTATATGTGATTGCGTTAATGAATAATAATAAACAAAGTTTATCACAATAATGACTCATGTCCTTCATGTAGAGTAATGAGAGGAAACAGGCACTCCATTTTTAACTCTGACAGGCATTTTGGAAGATATCGTCCAGAACAGTTTTGTGAAATGCAGTTATACCATATGCTTTGTTACCAAAACAAGGAGCAATTCATCTACTGCTACCCACTGTAAGGCAGACACATAGTTTTCATATAACAAAAACGTCTGTGCTCACTGGTCATATATTCTTGCAGCCACTCTCATATTCCCTAAATTCATGTCCTGTTAGTTGTTCATGTCCCGGAAAGAATGAAAGATGGCTAACACAATTTTGTCAGAGTCACTTTATAATTTCAGTATACACAAGTAACTCAAGAACAAGAGTATTGACCATTCATGCAGAAAGCTCATCTTCCCTACTTTACTCAATGTCAACATTTATGAATCATGTGCTCAGTATACTTGTGTTTAGCTCAAATAGTTTGTAATGGCACTGAGATGTACAAACAGACAGAGTTCACTACCCATTTGAACACAGTGAATCTGTTTGTAAAGACAGTATAGCTTGGAAGATATAAAGACACTATGATATACATGAAACAGAGAGTAGTGTGATATGAGTGAGTGAGTATGATTTTACGCCGCTGTTAGCAATATTCCAGCAATATCACGGCGGGGGACACCAGAAATAGGCTTCACACATTGTACCCATGTCATGAATCGAACCCGGGTCTTTGGGGTGACGAGCAAACGCTTTAACCACTAGGCTACTTGACCGCCCCAGTGTGATATGAAGGTCGATGATCATACATGAGCCAAAGTTCAAAATACACAGTGACACACGGACAATAGTGAAACACACCTGACATTAAATAAAGAACTCACACAGGAATGGCACAATAATGGACTAAAATGTCATTTTCCAAACCACAACTGTAAAATGTATCAAGTCTAACTGGAATAATGTACACACAAGATGTAACCAACATGCTAATTTTCATTAACGATCATATTCATAGAGAAACATATTGACTTCTTGTTGCACTATGAAGGAAAAGAAGAAAAGTGATATTTTGGCAATCACAAAAATCGTAAGGCGCTACACTCTTGGAACAATACATAAGCCACATTCCACTTGGGCTGTTCTATAAAGTGGCCTTATGAGTGTACACTGCACATGACTTGATTGTTAGAAACCAGCACTAGTTGTACAGTCTCAACCAAATATATGATAGTTATGTATCAATAGAAACAATACAATCTAGTACAACTTATATCATCCTAAGGACTAATGACAACACAAGTTTCAAACCCTTGCTAACAGTCTCCAACTTTCACTGTCATGATATGCTAAGTCTACAGCCTGTCAACATCACTTTGGCCACAATATCTGTTTCTTGTATACTAGTATATTTTGGCACTGGTCATAAGCTATATAGAAATGCAGTACCTATGAGTATTCATCTACTGAAGTGTTTTGATCTGAACTGCAACATGACTGTTCCACATGACTGGTCATGTTGAGCTTTTCTTCCATAGTATGTATTTTGATCTGTAACATGCATAAGGAATCTCTATAATCTCCAATTTGTATTTGGGTTATTACAAGGACTGGGATCCTAAAATATGAACATTTCATTTCTGTCAGGTGTCACAATCAGGAAACAGTGACAATACATTGAGGTACTGACGCTGGAAGAAACACGCCCCTTGAGGTTCCCAACGCCCTATACCTGTTGTTAGCGACTACTATTGGGGGGTCCTGGGACAAACGTGTTACCAAGGGAGAGCCTAGTTCTTACGACTTTCAGATAATCCAGCTAAAAATATTCTTCCATAAGTTGATGGTCTTTTGTCACTGATGGTTTAAACCTCCCCCCTTTCCCTAACACAAATGGTGTGGAGTGACTGGTTTGTACATGTGCAGATCCCACAACCACGAGTTCTTCACAGCCAATGAATAGTCTGTGACGTTTTAGACTACTAATGATTACTGAAAGTTGTAAGGACTAGCAGTAGTTGTCTCCCCGGATGTTACATAGACAACTAGTCAGAAGTGAATTGTGGATTCAGTTCATGGTGTCTGCCCCATTGTCATGCTAGATGTATGACTTTCTTCTGGTACGCAGTGCGACACACAGGACAGGTCCTCTTGATCTCCCCCATAGCCAGGTGCTCTAGCATGTCGAGACACGTCTCATGGAACACGTGGGAACAGGACAACAACACCGTGGTCCGACTACTCCTGTCACCTCCAGGACCTGCTTCAGGATCAGTCACTCGAGGAGAAGTCCCAGTCTCAACACTGTTCATACTCAGGCTTTCTTGGATATTTCCAGGTTTTGATTTAGGCAATGGATAGTTCTGAAGTATTAGTAATGGATTTTGTTTTTTTCTGGGAGTTTTTCTTCCTTTTGACGTTGTGTTCTTGGCTTCTTGAGTCTCAGTTGTGAGTCCTTTGGTCTTGAGGGATGTCAGGCAGATTGGGCAGTCGCCATGACCGCGCTCGACAGCCTGTGGAAAAACACAAATGAACTATGGTGAAGGCCATTAATGCATTTAGTATGGAGTTGGCAATGAAATAGTTATGATATTGTCACCCTCAGGAGTGGAAATATATCATATATCTGTCTGGACAAAGGGTACTAGTACCTATACCTAAATGTTGCAGTGAAAGAATAAAGAATTTGAAATCCATATGTCCACTCTGTCTGCACCGTATAGGACGTCATGACCACAACATAGGATCTCACACCCTGCATAATTCTTTGGTGGCGTCGTAGAGGGAAGCAATCCCACATGGACTATAGCTGAAGATATAGACAGTGTTTTTAGATCCAGACTGTTGTACCTTTAGTTGTATCTTGTCCCATTCCTCCTCTGTGATCTGGGTGAACATTGCGTCAAAGTTTCGGAACACATCACGACTTGCTTTCAGACTTCTGTCAATCTCTGACAGGAAGTCCCCGACATTAAAGTCACATGATCGCACCATTCGGTCTGTGATTGTCTGCAGCTAGAAAACATGGGTAGCACAATCAACAAAATATTCCTCTGTAAAAACAATAATAGACATGTATAAGCTTGTCTTAAATTACTACAGGAGCAAAAATGGAGATTAATATACAGCTTACATACTAACATACATGGGTTGAGTTTGCAAATTCAATGACAGGTTGAATTCAGTTGAAATCATCAATATTTGGTCAAGTCATTCTCTAGACCCCAGCCTCAATCTAATTCTAATCTGGTTATGCGATCATGCACCTACTCACAGGCCACACTTTGCTGAAGTTTATTTTTTTCTAACTAATCAGCATGCGCAGGTTGAAATACAGATAAAATATATTTTGATAATAGTAATATTTTATACTATATTTGGCATCAACTTGTTTGGGTTGGTCCATATACTGGGCAAATATAAATACTATGAATTCACCATATTAAGTGCTCTGTTTCAATAAGTGTTCCATGATCAACTTCAAGGCCAATCTGTAAATAATCTTTATAAACGCCCCCTACTAAGACTAAATTTACATGATAGTCCAAATTTTCTTGTGTATTTTACAGATTTGTGGTACAGAAAACAGCAGTATACCAAATGACGTTAAAAGATGGTTCTTGTTGCTACCCTGCATGGCACCAGAGACTCTGCTGGCGCTCCGCATTAAGGGGAGTCAGCACACTGTAACCAGCATTAGTCCAAACTAGCACAAGCAGACACATGCAATTTCATTTCATTAGCCCAATAATCTTGAATGTGACTTTAAAACCGAATTTCACCTAAATCCCTGCCTTCGGAGGGATTATTATTTGGGACATCATGATGGATTTATTTCCAACCCAGTTCATTCTGTTCTTTCATTGGTGTATGTGTACCCTACAAAGTAGGGTTTAAAAAATAAGTCTATAGACTCATTGAGTTGTTCCTCCCCACGGAAATCTTTAGTAAAAGGCGAAAGATTTATGCGAGGTGAAGAGAAACCAGAGTGCCAAATAATTTCAATGTTATAGATTATGTATAGCAATAATTGTTACAGTAAGTAGATTTTCTGAATTTGCATATCATCATGAGTTGTGATAATTAATTCTATTTAACATTAACTCCTGAACTGTTTGTAATGATCATATTGACAGATGTTATGTGACAGTTGTGAAATAATTGTCTCATGTATTCATACTATGATAGAGCAAATTTGGTGCATAACCTCATTGTTTGACCTCTTGTTTAAACCCTGCCAGACAACAACAAACAGCTTATGCTCACCAGAGTGTGACCTACTTCTGCGCACAGCGTGGCAAAAATCAAGGGAGTTCACTCAGTGAAATGATTTTATGGCTGCATCCTTGACTTGAAGATACAATGTCCCACATTTGACATAAATCTTCCCTTAAACATTTATGTATGCATAAATCATTTTCTACTTTTGTTTGCAGTGAAACATTTCTAAGTTGAACGCCATCTAGATTAGTTTCAGTGAAATAAATGCAGTAACCCACATCTTACAGTATATCACATCAAGGTTGTAAAGTACTGGTGCCTAAGTCCAAGTGAAGACTTAGCAAAATCAAAGGTCATTCTTTGTACCTTGTCCTCAAAGAATTTCTTTCTGAGTTTGGGATCAGTTGGTGGATGTGTCTCCCTCAGTTTACGGTACCAACATCGAACAACATAGCCGCGCCATGCTGCTTGAATCCTGAACACAAAATGACAGACATGGGTCAACAACATACCTCCGAACATCAAACTTAATTCAACCTTTAAAGGCATTTAAAAAAGAGAGTGACTGAACAGTGTGCATATATCAATGAAAGCTGTACAAAATGTACAAAATAAAGTCTAGACCACACAAACCAGATCCATGTCATTGTGGCATGAAGACACACAGTCAGCCAAGGAACTAAGCCTGACCACCAGATCCTTGTCAGGTGGCCCTTACAACAAGCAGAGGAGATGCCGGGGACCTACTCTTCTCTGACATCCCAATGGGGAGGGGGGGGGTAGCTGCTGGAGGAGGACTGAGACTGGTATTCAGATAAAACCTTTTACTAACTAGCCTCATGTACTTCCACAAAGCGTAACTGTTGGAACCCACATGTTTGATATAGACTTCCCACAATCATAGCTCAAAGATTATAGTTAGCTCTTTCAATGGATCAGTGTGCACCAGATTTCATTCTCAACTCCCCAGGGAGTATTGAACCCATGCTGCCTGTGAGGTGCTAGAAGGTTAACAGTCACATCACATTCTCATCCTACTGGGTACCCATTCACTGCTGGGTGACCATAGGTATATTCCGAAAAAAGTCACTTGTCTATGGAGACACCACATGTAACACGTGCTTTAGTGTGGGGCAGGACAGAAGCCCTAGAAATTCTCTGGAGTCAAGTTGACAAATATAGTCACCCATAAACTACACTCTGTAGCCAACGTTGCTTCATAAGCTTCACCTGATTTGTGACTTGTGTGCTGTACACGGAACCACGTGCGAACCAAACTCTTCCAAATCTATAAACCATCGCATCACTTCATTATGTAATAAAGCCTGAAGCGAGGTCTAAATGTACTAATTCAAATAACCTGTAATTTCTTTTGACAAAATTTGTAACAAACCGTATTCGACGTAATAAGCGCCCAGGGCGCTCTCAAAATTAGAAATAGGGGGCTCTTATTAGAATATTATTTTGGTGATAAAGACAGAGTTGAAAGATAAATTTCATGGTTTATGCTGACAGCCTGAAATGTTTATATACGAGAGATACATTTTTCCAGAATTTAAATGCCCATAATTAAGGGTGCATATAACATACGAGTACGTATTATACGCTAATAAATAAGTATTGTGTACATTGATCAATCGGAAGGGGTGCTAATTGGTATTGTTCACTAGCCAATATATTAGCAAATATCGCCCATGGGCGGATACAGAGGGGGGGTGCGGGGGTGTGCACCCCCCCTTTTTATTTCGAAAAAAATCTGTATTTCTGTATAAATTACCACCAAAGACAATAAATAGATCTTAATTGTGCACCCCCCCTTTTAAAAAAAGCTGTATCTGCCCATGTCGCCATGGGTGCTTATTAGAGTGGGGGGCTAACTACGTCGAATACGCTATTTCACATAATGGTATTGGAAGAATTTGTTTCAAACTATTGTAATGATTCTGCCCAAATGGTAATGATTGGCATCAGCTCACCTAGTGACGCAGGTGAGTCTGTGAAGCTTGGCGCCCTCGTGTATAAGTCTAGTCTGATACTGTTCACGTCGACACATGGGACATGTCTTCTTCCCAGTAAACCTCTCAAAAGCTTGTAGACATGCCTGGAACATTCACAACAGAACATATTACCTGAACTCAGTAGCCACCAAGTGGTTAATCCTTGCTTAATTCTAGTGATTCTGGTGACAGTTCTTGTGGCACAATGTGCAACAAATGATCCACAAATGACTTACTTTTTCATACTGAACTGTCAAAAAGTTAAAACAGTAGCCACCAAGTGGTTAATCCTTGCTTAATTCTAGTGATTCTGGTGACAGTTCTTGTGGCACAATGTGCAACAAATGATCCACAAATGACTTACTTTTTCATACTGAACTGTCAAAAAGTTAAAACAGAACAAAATTCAAGATCAGTGACAAGAATGATAAACATTGCTGATATAGACACTGGTGGGTTAAACATTGATGAATTTACACAGGTAGGTGGATATACAATGAGATTGGCATACAAGCATACAAAGAATAAACAAAATAAATGACTCACCCGGTGAAATACATGGGTACAGGAAAGCAGAACCTGAAAAATACATAGATACCTCGTACATTTGAAATAAATTTAATAATCAAATTTCTTATGGTCAATGTTTGTTGAAGTTTTACTTTTGAAACCAACCCCAGGCTTGTTTAAGACAATGTGTTTTATAAAGAATCATCGATCAAATCTGGATGAAAATACAGTAAGGTTTGTGGAGTTTATTGTCAGAAAACTAGTCCCAAGCCAATTTTCGTGTGCTCATGATTCTTAGCATCTTCCCGAGGCAAGAGAGTTAACTGACTTTAAAAGTCCAGTTTCCACCCTTGCCGAACTAAGCTGGAATTACTGGGCTCGATCGTAGCGCCACCAGTTATGTCCCTTCTAAGCCTCTACGGTGGACCAATCAGATACCACCTCTCGTATCACTTGCGTTTGCTTCACTCAAAATGGTGGTGCCGAGTCAGGACGATCTGATCGATAATCAGTATCTATATTGTGATAAAACGGGTCTTACATCGCGAAATGCATCAAATCACATGCACCTTGATTAAAAACATGAAAAGATTTGGAAAATATCTGCTGACAACGAGTTGGCGGTGCACATGCTTTGCAAATCCTGCAATCAACCTAAATCTGCACGAGAGTTTACAAACCAGATTTTGATTTCGGTGCGCAATTTTGATTGGACTATGCACAGACTCGTTAGTCCAGCCAAAATGTAACTCCATAATACCAGCCTAGTTCTGCAAGAGTGGAAACTGGACTTTTATAGTCAGTTAACTCTCTTGCCTCGGGAAGATGGATTCTTAGTGAATTTGACCTGCCTTTCATTATGGATCATCAGTAGGCCAAATTTGATCAAAATCTGTTAATTTTCTGTGTAAGTTATTACAAAATGTTTACATGATGGTAGGATGAGTGAAAGTCACCTGTTCCTGAAGTCCAAAGTCTTCTTTACAGATAACACAGGGCTGGTGAGAGTCATCTCGTTTGTTAGATTTCTCCTTGACATTCTTCCACTCTGCTTCTGACAGTGGCTGGTCCGGCGCATCCACCAGGCCAAACTTCTGTGCTGAGGACAGGCAGACCATAAAGAGTTAAACAGATATCATTGCAAGATATGTAGCAGATATTTATGGACATGTGTATGTATATGTATTAATCAGTATGATCTAGGCATGATGTTGAAACAAACATTGGAGAGAGAGTATGCTGTTTTACAATGCAGTTAGCAATATTCCATCAATAAGCTAGGTTGATTGCAAAAGAAAGTACAGCCACCATCCACGATGCCTTGGTAAACCAATGGTTGAATGTATATGTTTGTTTGTTTATTTGTTGTTTAATACAGCACCCAGCAATATTTCAGTGACGTGACAGTGGTCTTTACATAATCATATGTGGACCAAACAATCCAGTGACTAAAATATGAGCATCATATTGTAAATCCCTATAAAAGGGCAAATTTCTACCAGTCCTTAGGATACCTTAACTATTGGGCAGTTTGGCAAGGACGAAAGGACTAGTGCCAATTTCTAACGCTGGATAAGAATATATCTCTCTACTAGGGCTGTTATGATTCACTCACGTATTCGGTGCATCGAACCGTATCTATTCATGAATTGAATTTGTTATTCGTGCCCACTAGAATCAAATATTTATGAATATGCAAGCATATGCATTTACATAAAAAAAATACCCGTAAGAACATATTTTATGCATAGATTTCTTTTACTATTTAATTTGACAGTATTGTGGTTACTGGTCGTTGTTGCATTTGAGCAGATACTAGTACCTGGATAAGTGTAGTATATAAATGAATAATATATTAATAATATATTAAAAATTAACAAACCATGTCAAATAATTAATGTTGTTGTTGTTGCCTCACTGAACATGCTGAATATTGACAAATAATACATCAACTGCTAACTTGTTATTGTATTCGTGAATTAATATTCATATTCGTTACCCTATATTCATGATACGAATCGTATTCGCCTTATAGTGTATTCGTTGCAGCCCTACACTCTACATATAAAAATGTGACTGTATGCATTAAAACAAGAAGGAAACACCCTGAAATTATAAACTTCCAGTGACATCATGCTATTGTTCTCGAGTGGGGTTAAATCTTATAATCAGGGATGATGTTATATCCCTGGGATTTTATATGATATCCTAGGCACATTTGCTGTATAATGTGTTATAATATCCCGCGTATTATATTAATACAACTTCCGTTTAGATTGTAACATATGAAAAGTTTCTTGCTAGAAATTTATTTTGCATTTGAACACAATGTAATGAAATGTAAAACAAATGACAAATGTTTCCTTTATATTCCCGAGGATCAAACATGCAACCTTCGTATCTGTACCACTAGGTTACAGAGGCGCTGATAAATCACAATGCTTTTTAAGAATGTCTTTTTCAAGTACGAGCAACACATATTTTATGCCCGTTTCCTGAGGGTCAAGGAACCCCATGACACTTCTTGGTTTTATCACGCAGATTCAGGTTTTAAATATCATAAAACTCTTGGACATGTTTTATCCTACACACAACTTCATTTGCTTTTGGAAGGGAACATATTCCTGGATCTTGGACAAACTGTCTACACACAACATGACGACATCACAATTAGTTGCATGCGTATAGTAAATGAAGATAGGTGGGTTAAATATTATAATCAATAAAAAAATAGAACATTTCTCCATCAGAATATAAAAAAACAAAAACAAATTTGCCATAGAAAGACAATGATAATTTGATCTTGCATCTTTACAGCTAAGATCTTTAAGCAGAACAAAACATTGACTAGACACACTGATCAACCCGGTATCATGTGTTGCATTACAAAAAAAAACATTACCGTATTTGACTTTATAAGTGCCCAGGGCGCTCTCATAAATTAGAAATAGGGTGCTCTTATTAGAATATTATTTTGGTGAAAAAAAACAGTTATAAGATCATAAACTTTGTGGTTTATGCTGACACCCTGAAATGTTTATATACAACAATATTTTTCAAGAATTTAACTGCCCATAATTAAGGGTGCATATAACACATGAGTGCGTATTATACACACAAAAATAAGTCTTGTGTACATTGATCAATCGGAAGGGGTGCTAATTGGGATTGTTCACTAGCCAAAATGTTAGCGGGGCGCGTACGTCGAATAGGGTAATATTTGTGAGTGAGTGAAGTGAGTGCGTGAGTGAGTGAGTGAGTGAGTGAGTGAGTGAGTGAGTGAGTGAGTGAGTGAGTGAGTGAGTGAGTGAGTGAGTGAGAGTTAGTGAGAGTTAGTGAGAGTTAGTGAGTGAGTGAGTGAGTGAGTGTAAAAATTGGCTGAATGAGGCATCAGCAGCAGTATTATAGGGTTATTTGTGGAAGAACACATAAGTATGTTATAACAAAAAATTAACATAGTGCTTTGTACGTCTGGATATAAAGCTTTGAAATATCCTAGAAGACAGCATCATGGTCATCAACACTGTGACACATACCCAAGGTCAGTGGAGGAGGTTTGGCATCTAAGACATATTCTTCTTCCACTTCTGGTTTAGAAGCTTTCTTTGCTTTTTGCCTAACTAAAACAAAGTTAAACATTTGTTAAAGGTAAGAAATGTATTCACTTTGTGTCGTCTCTGCTTGTGATGTACGTAGCATCAGCATCATCAGCATATCATACTAAAGCATCCCAGGGGCAAAGCTGGGGAAAATGAAAATGTAGGCAAACACGTTACAGTACACATTTTTCTAAAACACAATTGTCAAGCACATATATATCTAACATATATATTATTATATATATTGACATAATTTAGAGACTACTAACTACCCTTTAGCAGGTGCCCATTTGCTCTGTATTCTTAAATGTTTTGCATAAAGGATACAAACATTGCAATGCCGTGCATAAAGACTGTAAATGATGCAATGTTGTGCATCTGTATTCTTTATACACAACATTGCAACATCTGTAGTCTTTATTCACTACACTGCAACACCTATAGACCTTATGCACAAGGTTGAAACATCTGTTGTGCATAAAGACTACAGACGTTGAAATGTTGTGCAGAAAGAATACAAAAGTTGAAATGTTGTGCATAAAGAATACAGACATGTACTACCAACTTCAAAATGCCGATTAAAATGTTTGACTGACTTACATCTCCCTGTGTCAATAACAGGCCTGACACATTTCCTCTGCTTGGCCCTAGCTGCTGGACCGAGCCCCACACTGCGGGGGCCGTGGGTTACACCTAGTGACAGCGTCCGTGACCAGTGATCTTGTAGTGCTACAGCAGTCAGTGCCAGATTGTCACTGCCACCCTGCAAGGGGAAGTTGGTTGGTTGGTTGGTTTGTTGTTTAACGCCGCACTCAGCAATATTCCAGCTATATGACGGCGGTCTGTAAATAATCGAGTCTGGACCAGACAATCCAGTGATTAATATCATGAGCATCGAACCACGCAATTGGGATCGATGACATGCATCGACCAAGTCAGCAAGCCTGACCACCCGATCCCGTTAGTCGCCTTTTACGACAAGCATAGTCACCTTTTACGGCAAGCATGGGTTGCTGAAGACCTATTCTACCCCGGAATCTTCACAGGTCTGAAAGGGGAAGTAACTGAGTGAGTGACAAGTGTACTGAGTGTTGTATAATGATGCAACAGAGCTTCCAGAGCTTCTTATTGGGAAGTAGGATTCAGGTCATCATAATACCACTCACATTCTACAAAATCATTGCTTACATTAAAGGTTTCACAATCAGTTTTTCACAATAATAAATGACAATGCATTACCACTGACGAGATCTACCCAAATAAGGTCATAGTCCTGTTTGACTTCTTGTTCTGCATTGGTAATAAACCTTGTGAAAACTTCAGACCTTGTTTTGTATTTTGCTATTATTTCTACAAGAAATACAGGACAAGGTGATCATTCTCTAATGTGATGAGATACAGTGAAAACATGTCCTACTTTAAGCGTGAGGGATGAGAGAATGCCTAATAGCTGTGACAAAGTAGGTAAAGATCTATATGACAGCCCAGTGAGCGAGCTAATGGACCGGGCACACCACAAATTGATGTCCCGGGAGAATGTTAGCACAATTAACATACATTTTGTATATGTGCAACAAGTCATATAATAGCTAGTAGATACTAAATATAATTAATTTTAACAATCTAAAACATATCTAATCAGGCACAGGTACGAGAATGTAGTGCCTTCCTTTAGAATTAAACAGCACTATGTTTACAAACATGTCGCAAGCGCAAATTGAAACTTTTTATACACATATTATGTACATCTGGTTTCTAAATACATGTACGTACATCTAGATCTATGCGATGTTTGCATTATTGTTGGAGAATGTGTTGTAATTTAGAACATTGAAAGAAAAGAAATCTGTATTTTTAGCCTAACAGGAAACAATAAGACTGAATGGATTTCAGTGAAAGGTCTCAAAATGCCTATGTAGCAGGGTGTGGAGTCATCCCACAGATGCCATCCTTACCTTGTCAGGTTAACCTCTTTGGTCATATGGACAAGGCGTCCAACTTCTGATCAGAAAGTCTGTGGTTCGAATCAATCACGGGAATCGGAAATTTTATGGCTGCTACATTTGTGCCCAACATGGGACTGAGCGCGTTCATATTAAATTTGAGCAAAATAAGTCACAGTACCCAACTATGCGGCCCGGGACGTGTCTTCTGTTGACGGGGGAGTATGTAGCAGCGCGTGGAGTCATACCACAGATGAGGGGTTTACCTCTTTGGTCATGTGGACAAGGCGTCCGACTTCTGATCAGATGGTCGTGGTTCGAATCCCATCACGGGAATCGGACATTTTATGGCCACTACACCTAGAATCTATAAAAAGCTAAAAACAATGTCTGTAAAACTGAAAATAAAGAGAGAATATTTTCTATGCTTATATTGTCTCCAAGTATTGCCTCATTTTCCGTTCATTAGGCCTTGTGGACACTGGAAGTTTAATTCTAACTTTTAGCGTCTGCTAGTGCTAAACATGTTTCCATGGTAATTATGACAACCACAGCATCTAGTCTAATATTTATAGGCGATGGCAAACGCGTCAGACTGACTAACTGTAATTTGTGTTATCATGAGCATCGTAAAACCTTTGTGTGGCGATCCTTGGACGTTTTGTATGACTTTGGATCCATTATATGCGGTGTTGTGATGCGGGTGTGTGCATCGTACCGGAAGTCACAGTTGAAAGTACGGCACTCAATATCCTCATATAACTAAATATAAATTGTAATTATAAAAATTAATCCCTTCTCTTTACATGACATATACTGTCTTGATAGGTTTTGTGTCAATAAGAACAATATTAACTGATGACGAAAACAAAACAAAAAAGTTTGCATCTTCGCGAGCGGGCACATGTTGTTGACTTCCGGTTTTCAAGGCGTCTTTCGGTCGTTACATTATCCACGGGGTTGCAAAAGCGAATCATGACACAAGATGCCACTTCTCAGATATTTTCTTCTTTTCAAGATTACATAAACGAAGAGCAAGAAATTCGAGAGGCATGACACAAATTGCATGAATTGTTTCATTGTTAAGAAAGCTGACAAATTGATCTGGCTCATAGTAGCTTTTGCCAGTCTTGGACAGTTGCAGAATATCATAGTTGGATGTCAGTCGTACTGTCGATTCCTAGGGTTGTATCAAAACGGTACCATTTATGTTATTGACTCCATGATATTATACACAGCAACTTTTTTAATTTCCTGTTCACAAATTTATATATTTCACACAAACACACAAAACGTCTCACATTTATGCCATTGTATACACTTTGATTTCATCTTTCCCACAAGAATAAATTATTATTCCGCATCAAACATTCTCAGATGATTTTCATCAGAAAGTCTCAGGACCATAGTTCAACAATGTTTTAGTATATGGGTCCTATTTAATTGCATGAATTGACACTAAGACACACATGCACCTTTGGTATATTTCATGTCTATATATGGAAGGCTGTTCCATGCAGTTATATTACTTATAACAGCGATTTTATACGCCACGTTTGTACATTCTCCATAGGTTGCCAAAATGAGAATAGCATGTAGGACTATGACTTGTTTTATTTGGCTTGCATATCGACCATAGCTGCCATTTGAAACTTCTTTTATCTTCATCATGTTCATGCAATATCGGCTTTATGGGGTGGTAGCCTAGTTGTTAAAGCGTTCGCTTGTCATGCCAAAAAATATGAAGATCTGGGTTTGATTCCCCTCATGGCGGCAAATATTGAAGCCCATTTCTGGTGTCCCCCATTCGGATGTTGCTGGAATATTGCTAAAAGCAGCGTAAAACCATACTCACTAGACTTTATGATAGCTATGGAACTGTTGTTTGCAACAATAAACAAAAGTACTTACTGATATTGATCATTACAATTAATGAGTATGAAAATGATGTTTTCAGGACATCAGGTCTCAAGTGAAGGATATTGAACAAACTGCCAGAGAAATTCAAACTTTACTACAGTCTGTCCATCAACAAGATGGCATCAAAGGCAGTGAGTATTGTGATCAGAAGATAACTGATAAAATAGTACACTGTACATTGTACATGCTGTACCATGCAGCTGCATTCATCATCATGATCATGTCAATACTGCAAACTAGAACAACAAATCTAGAACTGCAAGTCAACAACGTTTCTGTGCATCACATTACTTGTGCCAATGTGCCATGATATGACTTTCACATGATGGTGAGATCATGTGATAAACAAGACAGGATGACGGTTGAACATTGCCCTTTCACGTCCTGATCTTGCAAGTCCAGAAATGGAAATTAACGCCCGTAGACCCAAGGCTAGTAGAAATTATGTTGGGCAAATAAATTTTAATTCTACTAACATGTTGGGCCTGTAAAGTTTTTGACACATGTTGTAAATTGTTTTTGCAGTGAAAACTGCGTCCCAAAGTCAGTGTAGTGACTTTTTCTGATTGAGTCCTAATATTTGAATGTAATTTATGGCTCATTGAAGATAGAAATTTGAAAGTCTTCTTACTTTATTAAGACAAGTGACCTTTTGCATGGCTAGCAGAAAATAATTCCCACTATCCCTGTTCTGTTTTTGTTTTTAAGTTACTTTCCATGCCTGAAGTCACTGGGACAAATGGTATTGTAATAGCCCCGCTGTGAACTTAAGTCTTAGACAAGTGATAAGTTCATGTATTTTCCTGTTTTTTATTGTCTTTATTTCATTATGCCTTTTGTCTTTTATTTTACTTATTTGAATCTTAATTTGTAAACTGCTCCTTGTTCATGCTTCAAAAATGTAATTTAGAAATGTGAGTGATTGGGATTTATCTGTTGCCATGTAGTCCCAACATTGTGTGAAAAGGCAAGGGAGCGGTTTGAACGAGTTCGAGAACAGTTCAGTAATCTGTCCAAGAAGGTGCCTCAAGATCAGTACTATAGGTGAGAATGTGACGAGTTGCAACCCTTGGGGAAGCAAGAAATCTATGATTGTGGGGCAATCTCATTCAAATCAGATCTTAGTTCTCCCTACCACTAAACAAAGATCTGAGGACACCCCATTACAGGTCATGTTAGAAGAGACTTTCGCTTACTTCGACCGACCAGTGAAATGACTAACAAGAAGTTGACATTAGCCAAGCTATTCTGCAGTAGTTTCAAACTGGCGACTTCCATTCCAGGCTATACAGTGAAAAATATTTTGACAAAATTCTTGATTATAATTTTGAAAACTGAATAAAAGAACGTCCTTGAATGTCTAATAGATGGCTGATAATGTATGTTCGTCTAACATCCAGCAACTGTCATTTGAAATACCCAGTGTGAACCTTTTCAAGGTTGCATGATTAGAAAACACATTCTGACTGTCACTTTCCTGATAGGGTAAGCAACGCTCTGATTGGTTGGATAAAAGGTCGTTTTAACGTGACCTGTAATGGCATATCCTCAGATCTTTGTATAGCGGTCGTGAGAACTCAGATCTGAATTTAATGACATTGATCGTATTTTCGAATCTCGTTTCGTCCCAGTCTTGTTTCTAGTCCCTCCCACATCAAGCTGACATGCTGTGATATAATAGGAATATTGTTCAAAGTGATGTTAAACCCAACTCAATTGCCTTTATATTGCTTTAGATTAGAAGATTTCAGCTGTGTTAATGGATTCACTGTCAGTTAACAGTTACTATAAATATCTGTAAAGTGTCATACTTCAGAATCGGAGGGGTGATTGGTTAGCATGGTGGTTAGAGTTCGGCTCATCACAACAAGGGCCGAAGGTCTAGTGATAGTAGCCTACATATGACATGTCCATGCAAGGGTTAGATACCAACATCTGCAATGCATCAATAATTCAAACAATCAATCTCTGAAAATATCACGGTATGAAAAACAAACTGTGATTGCTAAACATGTGAGATGGAGTATTGCATTAGTTTTATGCCTGATTCAGATTTCATGACCACTGGAGGTTTGTGAGCCAGAGACTGACCGGGCTGTCAGCGTACATTGTCTACCTGGAGAAGGAAGCTCTCATCTCCAGGGAGGACTCCGCAGCCATGTTGGGAGGTGGGTCTTGTCACTGTCATAATAGAAGTCCTGGATCTATTTCCCAAGGTAGAATAGATGTTCAGCAACCCATGCTTGCAGTAAAAGGCGACCATGCTTGTCTTAAGAGGCGAATAACAGGATTGGGTGGTCTGGCTCTCTGACTTGGTTGATGCATGTCATCATATCCCAATTGTGTGGATCGATGCTCATGCTGTCAATCCCTGGATTGCCTGGTTGAGACTCAATTATTTTTACACACACCCGCCATACAGCTGGAATATTGCTGAGTATGGCGTAAAATAAGAAACAACCAACCAACCAATCAACCATGGATCTATCTTAGAATTGACTTTAATATTTTTTGTCTTTATGGAGGCATAAACATGGGCCCTCGTCAATAAAAACTTTGCGTAAATCTGCACACCGTTTTTTACATTTATATTTCCATAGGCTAAAAAACAGATTGAAGTTAATTCTTATGAAAAAAATATGTCAACAATAATAACTTCACAGCTGCTTATTTTATCCTGGACCCAGTATTCCATGTCCTCCTTGCACCAGTTTGGACTGGTTACTGTTGACTTTCTGCCATGTTGTATTTGATTACAGAGTTGAATATATGCACGTGGAATAAATCAAGGAAAACAAACTGACAGGTCAAGATATTAGATTTGTGTGTAGGGCAACTGTGGTACTTTGTTTCAGTAAAAATGCAGCGTGGTGAGGGTTTCCATATTGACCTTGATGACTACCTCATGGGCTTGTTACAGCTGGCCAGTGAACTGGTGAGTCAAGGGAGTGGCGTGAACCCATAATTCTACATGTCAGTTGACCGGTGAAGATCCGGGGTAGAATAGGTCTTCAGCAACCCATGCTTGCTGTAAAAGGCGACTATGCTTGTCGTAAGAGGCGACTAACGGGATCGGGTGGATCAATGTTCATGATATAAATCACTGGATTGTCTGGTCCAGACTCGATTATTTACAGACCGCCGTCCTATAGCTGGAATACTGCTGAGTGCGGCGTTAAACAAAAAAACAACCAACAAACCAACATATCAGTCATTTTTTTAATTGGCCTATCAACAATGACAGAAAAAGAAGTACTGTTTTATTTGTTGTGAGTACTTCTGTGGTGATGCAGCCATCAATCAGTTGTTTCAATAAGAGGTAGTTATTGTGATTTGAAACCTCTGATTGACCAAAGTATTTTCCAAATTCATAATTTATTTTGGCCAAATTTGGTTTTGATTACTCAAAAGTATTGACTATAGTCATGACCCAGTTTAACTTTCTTCTTTCTTGTTTCTTTCTGTATAATGTTTTCTGTCTATGGTGAACATAATTATGTATACTGGTAATATGAGAGGTGTTTCATTTGCAAAGGTTGAATGGATTATTTCATGCAATTGGAACGGCTTTGTAAATTGCACCATAAGGATCCAGGGGATCAAATATACTACAGAGCATCGGGCTGAACAGACTCTGTGGGCTGATGGTGGGTGCCCCAATGGCATTGATTGTCGCTCATGTCTTCAGTCATTTAGATTGCCTGTTCAGATTCAATTACTTATGGACCACTGCTGGAATATTGCTGATTGCAGTGTTGAACAACATTCACTCACTCACTCTGTTAACTATTTTACATCCTCATATTGATTCCTTTCTTTCAGTCTCGACTAGCAGTGAACTCGGTGACTGCTGGGGATTATGGGAGGCCAGTGAGAATCGCCCGATTTGTGGGAGAACTCGATTCAGGATTCAGACTTTTGAACTTGAAAAATGACAGTTTACGTAAAAGATTTGATGCCCTGAAATATGATTTGAAGAAGTCTGAGGAAGTAGTTTATGACTTGACAATTCGAGGACTTGTGCCCCAGGAACAGAAGTCCACCCACAAACCCTCTGAGTGATGGTCAGCACGAGACGGATCCCTCCATGTTGTGACAGGGTCACTCAGGGGACCTGAGGTCTCTCAGGCTTTGTGGGTGACAACCAGTGCCATGTACATCGGAACAGACCACCTTGCTGTTGAGACATGTTTTATTGAGTATGGGGAGCTTCTTAACCACAACAATCATTTTTCAGAAGTTCCGTTTTTGTTCAAGATTGTTCTTCACTCCAGTGAGAAGACACTCTGTTCATAACAGATCATTTGTGAGGACTAATTTATTGATTCAGCAGCAGCTTATTCCAAGATGATACAACTGCAGCTGGTTTATGTTGATTAACAGCTGAATTGAAGCTATTATCAATTAATTATTAAACAATATTTCTTGACCCTGTGCTTGTTTATCTGGTTCGAGCTGATTCCTTTACTTTTTGTTTCTGAAAATGCCCAAAACATGAAAGAAACTTTATTGTTTTACAAATTATTTTTTGAAAGAAATAGCCCCAATAATATCCATGTCAAACTGCAACATGGTATCTCAGTGGGCTGGTACTATAAGATCGGCATTAGTCCGGATAGAACAAAAGCCTGCACCAACAGGCAAGCATGCACCACACAACGCGGTATTAGTGAATCATCTTTAACGTGACCTCAAACCCCATTTTATCTCACCTCACATAGTACCAACGCTTTTGACTTTCTCTGATAAATAAATAAAATTCAAAAACGTTAAATAGTTGTGCTTTTGGTGGTAATTATTCAAATACAGAATCGAACACCGACCCTTGTAAATGCGTAAAGTTAGTTTAAAACACTAGAAGTTTTGGACGGATGATCACTTTAGCAGACATGACGTTGGGTAACACCTTGCAAACCTCCGTGATGTGGCTGAAATTTTTCTGTTTTAAGCCGATGAAAAGAGGTTATTTTCGATCTGATTTCGTGCATTCGCAAGGGATGGTTCAAGAACAAATACGTAGGAGGCATTTGCGCAATACGACATCGGTATTAACTTTAATGCAGATGTTCTCTCCTGGGTCCAGACTGGAGTGTGTACAGACAGAAATAAGCAGCTTAGGCGCAGATGGTTATTTGTTATGGAACCATGTCATGTCGAGAATTTGAATCGATCTCTCTACGAAAACAGCGCAAAAACAGTGCATGGTTTCTGGAGAACAAGATAAATAAACTTGTATAAACTATTTATACAGAATTATTATTATCATTAACGCATTGCATAATTATTAACGCCACATTAGGAGTTTAATAATTCTCAATGCAACTTATGAATCTGTGCAGAAGTGTTCTTACACATGTACATGACATACATTATATTGACTACTGGTGTTCTAGGTTCTAAACTAATTTGCCATAGTTTCCGGTATATATCCATGAAGATCCGGGTTAGAATAGGTCCTAAGCAACCCATGCTTTCCGTAAGAGGCGGTTCGTGAAGATCCGGGTTAGAATAGGCCCTAAGCAATTCATGCTTGCCGTAAGAGGCGTACCGTGAAGATCCGGGTTAGAATAGGTCTTTAGCAACCCATGCTTTCCGTAAGGGGCGGTTCGTGAAGATCCGGGTTAGAAAGGTCCTAAGCAATTCATGCTTGCCGTAAGAGGCGGACCGTGAAGATCCAGGTTAGAATAGGTCCTAAGCAATTCATGCTTGCCGTAAGAGGCGGACCGTGAAGATCCAGGTTAGAATAGGTCCTAAGCAACCCATGCTTTCCGTAAGAGGCGGTTCGTGAAGATCCGGGTTAGAATAGGTCCTAAGCAATTCATGCTTGCCGTAAGAGGCGGACCGTGAAGATCCAGGTTAGAATAGGTCCTAAGCAACCCATGCTTTCCGTAAGAGGCGGTTCGTGAAGATCCGGGTTAGAATAGGTCCTAAGCAATTCATGCTTGCCGTAAGAGGCGGACCGTGAAGATCCAGGTTAGAATAGGTCCTAAGCAACCCATGCTTTCCGTAAGAGGCGGTTCGTGAAGATCCGGGTTAGAATAGGCCCTAAGCAATTCATGCTTGCCGTAAGAGGCGTACCGTGAAGATCCGGGTTAGAATAGGTCTTTAGCAACCCATGCTTTCCGTAAGGGGCGGTTCGTGAAGATCCGGGTTAGAAAGGTCCTAAGCAATTCATGCTTGCCGTAAGAGGCGGACCGTGAAGATCCAGGTTAGAATAGGTCCTAAGCAACCCATGCTTGGCGTAAGAGGTGGACCCGTGAAGATCCGGATTAGAATAGCTCCTAAGCAACCCATGCTTGGCGTAAGACGCGACTATGGGGATCGGGAGGTCAGGTTGATGACTGTAATTGAATCCCAATTGCGTAGATAGATGCTCATGATGTCAATCACTGGACTGTCAGGTCACATAGCTGGAATATTGCTGAGTGCAGCGTTATAAAACAAACACACATTTGACCGCTGAAATGGTTGTCCGGGTCACGATGTCCCTACGTCATCGGAGACTATTTAAATATAAAACGTCTACGCCAGAAGATAATCAGTCTCGAGTATCTACCGAAACAGATTCCATTGGGCGTAAAAGGCAAAATAATGGTGAAAATTATGCGAATGGATCACTGACAATCAGTTATGACACCAGGTTTTTGCTCAAAGGGCAAACACGTCCTGCTGACCAGCCACTCACGCAATGTGCATACAAGTGTACGTGTTTGTTTGTAGCCCGAGAGAAAGAACCGACTTAGACCATGCGATCATTATACACACTTGTATACAGTATACATGTTTACTCGTGTGTGTAACGCTCCCCGTGAAGAGCCAACACAGCAATGCTATTAAAACTGCCCTTATCCTATGTATATCCCTGTCTTGATGGTGAACCTGAATGAGCTGGCATACCGAAACGAAGAGCTCATCAAGGAAGAAGGTGTCATCCATTAACTCAGGGTCTTGTGTATACGAGGATGAACAAAAACGTTCGCAATCCCATTAAATCAGGTACACCATAATGATACCTCGCTGTGGGAAGATCTGAACACCCCCCCCCCCCCCCCCCCCCCATATAGGTGGTTGTTTCAGGTTTACTATCTACTCAGCCAATTCTCGGTGCAAGTGAGCGAAGCATTATGACAAGGCATATCTGATTTCTGTATCTCGAAAACGAATATAATCGGGGACTTCCGAATGCAAAAAACATAAAGCCACGTTATAGTATTGTGGGTACTTTATATATCATGTTTCTAAACGCGACATGGCATCTACGCTCTAAAGGGTGTACTATTGAAGGTATCTTTGTGTTCTTTGGCGTTTTTCTTGCTAAGATTGAACTTGCCGAATCGACTTTAGAAAGCTGATAAGCTCCAGAACCCATTCACCCTTAATATAGATTGGGCGGTTAAACTTCGCTCAGGGTTAGCTGGCACGACCCGCTATGGGGGGTTCGTCAGATCTTGACAGACAGAGGTATATCACCATTTTCAAGAGGCAAGGGAGTGGACTGACTATAGTATTTAACAAGTCCAGTTTGTGAAAACTGGACTTTTATAGTCTGTTAACTCCCTTGCCTTGGGAAGATGGTATATCACTTGAGTAAAAGAACTGACTTTAATGAGATTGAAAGTTCGTGGCGACACATTCCTTTAGAATCAAGATTGTTCACATATTAATTTTCAGTATAATCCAGTTTGACCTAAAGACACTTGGTCTAGCGATGCTCCAGCTTTGGTATCTCAACCGTATGAAAGTCTCCACATGGCGGTACCCAAAGCCTCGATAGCATTAATCGCCTCGTCGTTACTGGTGAAAACATTCGTGACCAACTCGTGTTATTCCGGGACAAGCCTTCTTGCAGGTTACGGAAAGGGGCGAGTGGTGACGAATGTGGTAAAAAGTACCGCGCAGGCGTGAATTGAGTAGGAGGGAATAAGGGGCAGGAGGAAATAATTCAGTCCCGATCTGCAGCTGCAGCCACTGTCACCTCAAGTGTGCACAGACGCATTGTCTTGAAGCAGAAGCATACCTGACCGGATGTTCCTTCGACGTTTTGCCTTGATAGCTTGACGTAGTCTGTGATACAGTAGTGTCCATTGATAGTCTGATCTCGTTGCAGCTAATTCTTCAAAGTCATCCCCTTACTGTCCCAGAAGAGGGGGCACGGGTGTCGCTGTGCAGAGTTGCGTCCCTTGGGCACGCTAGAAACCTATGATTGTGGGTTCGAATCCCGGTTCGCCCCGATTATGTTTCTAGGTTTGTCAGCACCATAACTCGTGGGTTTCAGCGAAGTGGTAAACGTCTGAGACCTGCATCACTTCGGGCTTTCCTCCTACATTAAGCTGACACGCCGTGATAAAACTGGCATAATGTTAAAAGCGGCGTTAAACCCAACTCACTCACTCACTACTGCCCCAGAAGATTGAACCCAAGACGTTGCCAACTGACGACTGGATCAGTGTGATGGACCCACGCTTCATCCAGGATTACCGCATCCACCTATGCTGAAACACTTTGAAAACGCACGATCAACTTTAGCTCGAAATCAGAAAGATGCGTTTTGTGCTCACGTCCATCTCTAAACACATAAAATTAGATTCGAACCCGTACGACGACATTGTTGTGTTGGATGATCTCAAGCCTAAATACCCAGAAGAACTTAATTTGATTTTTTGTGGCCATTTTGCCCAATATTACCAAAACATTAATTATATGCGTTTTCAAAGTGTTTCAGTGTACATGACCAAATGCATCGATATGTTCAGTAGTGTCAGCTTCTGATCTGGTGTCAACATTCTGGAAACCCATCTTTGCGGACAGCTTGCTTGTGGACTGGTCAGTTAAGATGCACTGAACCAACATTGACCCCAGTAGTGCCAGCGATATGCTGAACTGAAACACGTCAGCCATCAAGCTTCATCAAACCATGATCATGCGGTGAACATCCTCGACTTGGCCTATACGGTCATCTTACATGCCCCTTCTGCCTCCCTTACTGCAGGCCATTTCTTAACAGTTGAATAGGAGTGGACAAATCTTCGTATATGTAGAGGTGACATGCCCTTTTATGCATTTTGGCTGTTAATCTCACCCGTCAGATTCGCGCGTTCACTTCACAAAAATAGTTGAGGTTATAAGCCTGCAGCTTGGTGTTATGTCTTCCAAGAGGTGATCATTCTTCACACACGTGTTAAAACCTCACAGAACACAAAGCAGATATCTATGAGGCCACCCACTTTTCAATTTACCCTTGTATATCATGATATTGTTTTTCGTGAGCAGTTCTTGCGTCGTAAGAGGCGACTAACGGGATCTGGTGGTCAGGCTCGCTGACTTGGTTGATGCATGTCATCGCTTCCCAATTGCGCGGATCGATGCTCATGATAATAATCACTGGATTGTCTGGTCCAGACTCAATTATTTACAGACCGCCGCCATGTTCGACGTTAAACAACAAACAAACTATACCAGTGAGCGACAGCACCGATTCGTTCCGTCGAGGTAGGATGCATACACACAAAAGCAAGGTTAATGGTCAAACATCGCTTGGGGCACGTTATCTCCGTATAAGAGTTTATAAGGGTGTTTTTGTCAAATGTGCTTACAAAAAATAAAACAGTGTATGGCTTTTTCACTGCGAAAAATCCCATAACTGCCTCGATGATATGATATCCCAAAGTATGAGAAGGCTGTGATCATAGAACGTGAAGAATATCAATGAAAACTCTACCAAAACCAATATTGGACAGCATAGTTGTAGGGCAAGAAAGCCTTTTTAGCACATTGGTTTTACGCCACTTAATAAAGGTGAGTTTCTGTGGCTCTCTGGTCAGCATTATCCTATCAATATGAGTGATACCTCACGTTACTTACATCAGAATAACAGAGCGTCCTTACTTTCACAGATTCAAGACAATGCGTAGTATTATATTTTGGCTTCAGATATATTGTCGGGTTATAGGTTTCTTGACATACGTTTTCGGACAGCCATGTTTATCGCGATTACTCCCGCTATAACTATAGTGCTGTCGCGTCATACAGACATTGTAAATACTCGGATGGTGGCTTGTTTTTTAAGTGAAGTTGTCTTTTATAAGTGAGTGAGATGATTTACAGTTGTTAGTGTGATTAGCGAGAAAATTAGGAATGTTTCTTTAAGCGTCCGAAAACCGATTACACGAGGATATAAAAATATATTTGACTTGGATTTCCGGAAACGTTGAACATATTATTTATCATCACTCATAAAGAGATCTTTCCAATAAACATTATTGCAGAATCGAGGTCATTAATTAATATATGCAGAGAAATTATACCGTCTTTTATTGTTTATCATCACCCGAAACAGTGTTTTATATATAGACATGATAATGATCATATACAATCAAATACATGGCATGAACGACTTATTTTACTAACTTGTACGGTTACTGGTGGATATTGCTCTTATTTTGGGGTTGGCAAGTTATTTAACTCGAACAATTTTTGAGTGTTTGTTTGCAAACATTCAAATTTAGAGAAATGTGCGCATATTTCTACCTTGTCTTAAAAAAGATGAAAGATATATTCCACAACTGCAAATTCTAGATGTGAAGTCAAAACATTACTGAAATCCTGACATGTCCGTTTCAATATTCGTGAAGAGTCACCATACTGCCTCCGACATTTATCACGTAAAACATTCACGATAACACAAACGCAGGCCACCCCTGACAAAGTCTTCTTGGGTTTGCAAACAGCAGTCTCGGATATTAAATCGCACCACGGAAAGCAACCAATCAGAGAGGGCGTTGTATATTCATGCCATAACGACAAGCTAATCACAGAGCACGTTACGTTTACGCACCTGTCTGCTGCTAGATCAGCTGAGTACTGTTATAAATATAGACGAACTCACCACTTATACAATTCATTGACAGTTTACAGAGAGTGTTGGCAATCGACACACTGACACGGTATCTCAGTCGACCAACTACACTTCCAAAATGTTAAACGAGAGTTTGGGAAGCGAATATTTTGATTATTTGCCGAATAATCCTCTCCGTGATCCCTTCAGAACAGCATGGGTGCACATGATCGACAACTACACGAAGTTTCAAATCGCAACATGGGGATCTTTGATTGTCCACGAGGTAATTAATTAAATTTCAATTTGATTACCATGATGTGGAGAGAGTGGGCTTTATCAATCATATTTAATGACCCCAGGCCATGTCATAACTGTTTATTGATGTCACACAGTCTCGTTATCAGATAAACGATCATCTATAACAATTGCAAATGTATGTGAGGTAAGTTAATTATTGCACAAGATTTGATACCGAAACAGATATATATATTGATAACTTTCGATAGTATATGAAATGATATATTTAATTGAGACTGTAATACATATATATAATATATAGGTCTGTTTAACTTCTGTTAAGCTTTATTTACCATTCATGATCAACCTTTCATAATTTTATGCTAATATTAGGTTTGTATTTGAAGAAAAATAAAGTCTCATCGATGTATGTTTATGCCTTGAATGTTGCTCTTGGCTGTTAGCATTAATAGCTCTTTTGTTAACATTCAAATTGATTGTATTTTTCAGGTGGTGTACTTTGGCCTGTGTCTTCCTGCATTTATCTTCCAGTTTATTCCCTTCATGAACAGATACAAGATTCAGGCAGTAGGTGTCTTCCATAGATCACTGTATCAAGTCCATCATGTCTATATAGGGCTCAATGCTGTTTGAACCCTGGTTACATTTACAATTACATTTCTTGGTTTATCAGCACCAGACCCATGCTTGTGGGTTTCACCTAGGTGGTAAACGTCTGAGACCTGCATCTATTCGGGCTTTCCTCACACATTAAGCTGACATGCTGTTATATAACCTGAATACTGCTGAAAGCGGTGTTAAACCCAACTCACTCACTCAGTCACTGCGGCTCATAACATGAAGCAGTTATGCATTTGGAGCTCTTATGTATGTCAGTGTAACTTCTTTTATCATGTTCTCGAGGAAGAGGAGAAAATATTTTAAAGATCCCAATATATATTTTTTTGTGATAGGTCACAAATAAGGTGTAAAAAGTGGTTTGTTGCTCACAATATCAATCACTGGATTGTGACGTCCAGACATATTATAGATGCAATATTGCTGAGTTGTGTGAACAACAAACAAGATGCTGTGTATGATACATTTGTTATTGAAGTGATCATTGTACCACAGTATTCTTCTCTAATACCTCAGTGTCGTAAGATTGCTGTTCTCTTTACAGGACAAACCAGAGACGTTTGATAAGCAGTGGACATGTTTAAAGCTGATTATGTTCAGTCATTTCTGTATACAGGTGAGTGTCCTCTGCCTTCTGCCTGTATATATATATATAATGACATATTACAAAAGGATTAGGAAATAATTAGTAATAAAGAAGTTTTGACACTCATGCTTGTGTCATACTGATTTTTCAAAACTCGTCTAAGAATTCATGTATTATCCTTGGTCTCTTGTATAATAACTTTAAAATGATTTAAAATAGCTTGTGTAGTACTGTTCTTGTCTCTTTCAGCTTCCAATGATGACAGGGACGTATTTCTTCACTGAATATTTCAACATTCCTTATGACTGGGACAGTATGCCTCCATGGTAGGTAGACTTTACACTTGTCACAGTACAGAAAGTTATTTTGGTCGATTTAATCATGTTGACTGCAGATCCATTGCTAGGAGAAAAACAGAGGGCCTGATATGTTTGTGGCATTGTATGCAAGTACCCAAGACTAGACTAGGAAGAGCTGTATTTGAAATACAATGTCATTAATGAAGTAATTAGTATGACATCAAACCTTTGATGACTAAACAGTCTTGAGTGACCCTGTCAAAGCTATGCTGGCCATAAAAAGCAACAACGAATCGACAGGCTCAATGACTAGATTGGTTGTGTTTCTTCATACCCCAGTGGTGTGGATCATTACTCATAATGCCAATCTGTTTTTTCTGGTCCAGACTTGATCATTTAAACAAACAAACAAACAAACAAACAAACAAAATCAGCAGTGTTTGTGTGTTGTTTAATGCCTCAATCTGTAAACAAATCCATTTTGTTACCACGTACAACAAGCATTGGTTGGTGGGAGGGGAGGGGCCTATATCTTACCTGGAATCCCCATGGGTAAAGAGCAATGTGTGGTACCTCACTACATGTTGACAACACACTGTTTCAGGTGGAATCTGGCGCTGCGTTGTTTCGGCTGCGCTGTCATTGAGGACACTTGGCACTTCTTCCTCCACTGGGCCCTCCATGACAGGAGAGTATACAAGTACATCCACAAGGTCCACCACTACTTCCAGGTAAAAATGTTAATTAACATAATGCTTTCTACACAGTGGACGTACAGGTATTATGCCATTAATAACTTGGTTAGTGTGTTACCGTATGCCTGACTGACACCACAGTTCTTATAAATATCATGAGAATTTCCTTGGTCCACAGACCCCGTTTGGAATGACTGCTGAATACGCACATCCACTGGAGACAATCAGTAAGTAAACAACTGAAGTCTTTGTAGATGACCATGGTAATCTTCCCGAGGCAAGGGAGTTAACTGACTAAAAAAGTCCAGGGCCCACTTGCACAGAGCGATCTTAGCGCTATGATGATCATTACTCCCATACTTTAACATAGGCTTACAATAGTCTTAGCACTAAGATTGCTTTGTGCAAGTGGGCCCAGTTTCCACCCTTGCCGACTAGGCTGGATGTTCATGGTTTGATCGTCGCGCCACCAGTGGCTATTATGAGTTATGTCCCTTCTATGTCGCTCCTATTGATCAATCGGATTCAACATCCCATATCACGTGCATTTGCTTCAAACAAAATGGTGGCGCCCAGTCAAGACTATCTGATTGATAATCAAGATCTAAATTGTAATAAAACAGGTCTCACCTCGCAAAGTGCATCAGATCATGAGCACCTTGATATTGAAAACATGTAAAGATTTGGAAAATATCTGTCGATACCAAGCTGACAGTACACATACTTCGCAAAAAATGTGATCGACCAAAATCTGCACGGCAGTTGCCATTTTGTTTACGGACTGGTGTCAATTTTGTTATAAGATTTTGATTGGTCTATGCACAGACGTGTTAGTCCAGCCAATGTATAACGCCAAAATTCCAGCATATTTCAGCATGGATGGAAACTTGACTATTATAGTCAGTTAACTCCCTTGACTCAGGTAGACCAGGACTAAAGTTCAATGTAGGCAGTGAAAAGAAAAAAATTCATCTTCCAGATTCTGCTTCTAATTATTAAAAACAAATTTGTTGAGGTCATCATGATTGCGAAATGATTTGGAAAGAAAATTGATTGGTTTTATGAAGATTTTACTTTTAGTATGTATTATTCATCACTTCTTACAAACAGTTGTGATGGATCTAATGATTTTTTTTTTCATTTCACCTAATCATAAAACAGTCAGCCTCCATTTAGTCATTATATTTTATTTCTACTTTAAGTTTTTTTGTTTTTGGCTGTTCGCATGAAGAAACTAAAACAAATAGTTATTTACAAAGTGGTGAACAGAACTTTCCCACTACTCTTAGAATTGTCTTTCTTTGTATTGTACTTAGAGAGGTAAAAGTGAGAAGCCTAACATAACTGATGAAATGCTGTGTGTTTCTGCTTCACCTACTCTGCATCATGGACATATTGGCATTTCAACCATTGCAGTATTTTGAAATGAATAGAAGTTATGATTTATGATCACATTTCAGTTCTTGGATTTGGGTTCTTCATTGGGATCCTGACCTTCACCAACCACATGATGCTGATGTGGGCGTGGGTGACGGTGCGGCTGATGGAGACCATCGACGTGCACAGCGGCTACTACTTCCCCTACCTTAACCCCTTCCACCTCTGCCCCTTCTACGCAGGTGAGCAACCTCAGTAGTCTCTTTTAGAAAGTAGAACACTTCGAAGATCGTGAGTATTTGGAGGTCAACACACAGAGAATAAACTCATCACCAACGCATTCATATCTCTACTGCCATTGGGACTCTGGGTTAGAGTTGGTCCTGGCGACCAATGCTGGCCATAAAAACTTAAGACTTAACAGTCTTGTATGACCCTGTGGGGATTCCGGTTAAGAATTTCCACGAACAGACTGCTGGTAGTAAAAAAAGCGATGATGAATCAGGTGGTTCGACTCAGTGACTTGGCTGGTTGTGTGTCTTCATACCCCAGCGGTGTGGATTATTGCTCACAATGCCAATCACTGGTTTTCTCTGGTCCACACTGGATTATTTCCAGACTATCACCATATAGCTGGAATATTGCTGAATGTGGCATCAAACAACAAACACACATCACTGATTTATATATTAAAGAATACATTGTGAATGTCCATGAATAGCTGCAAGGCAACAATCACATACTCACATTGAATTACTTGCTTTTTTGCCAGGAGCCAAATTCCACGACTTCCACCATAAGAACTTCATCGGTAACTATGGCTCCACGTTTACATGGTGGGACAAGATATTCGGCACCGACTCGCAGTACAACGACTACTGTGCCAAGCTCGAGGGCAAGAAGAAGGTGCAGTAGATGTCCCAGGCACTGTGTGTGGTCTCCAATCAACAGGGCACCGCTGATACATAGGCCCACAATAACACTCTGAAGTTGAGCCTGGCTCATCCTTGCCACAAACCTATCTTACTGCTACAACTATCATAAGTAAATGAGATATTTAAGCGATTGTGTTAGGATGGTTTTGTTAAAGAGGTAATAGGTATCTTGGTCATAGAATGTGAACCAGGATTTGTATCGGAGTGCCAGGCCAGTACTGGTGCCTTCAGAATGTCACATATATACACTTAAGGATACTGAGATACTTCATAGGACTACATCTACATATTTAAGTGAGTAATGTAATAATAGGCAGGGAAAGCAATAAGATGATAACAAATATCACTGTCAAGAGTTTAGTGGTATATTTAAACCAAATATACCATATAAAAAAATATTTTACACAAACACAAAGTACACTGTTTGGTGGTAAGGCCCCCTCTGAAGAGCAGCTGGAAATGAATTAAATTAAACATAAAAATATTTATTTTTAGTATGTGTAGTAATATAGATCCTCTTATACAATAAAAACTGTTATTTATTAATTCCATGTCTACATCACTGTCAGTGATTCGAGAAGCCAGCTGCAGTTTTAACTCCACAGCAGAATGACTTTCATATCAATAAATAAATGATTGACATAGCTATTTATGTTTATTTTGACCCACCTTGTGTGGAAAAGCAGGTGGCCTAAAGGGCTTTGAAGTGATGTTAGGCTCATCACCTATCACATTGTTTTGTGTTATCGTGCATCCACAGTGCTGTCGGTCACACAACATGTAACATGTTAATGGCTAGATCAGCCTTAATGGTGTATTCCATATAAACAGAACAATCTTGTTTACTTTGGGAACTAATCTGAAGTTGTTTATTTTTTAATAAAATATTCACCTGAGATCTTTTTTATTTCTGTCCTAAAGCAAGATGCTAACTTGTTGTGGGGTGTAAAATGGGCTGTAAGGCCTACTTTAATAATAAGTTCCTCTGTTTGATTTTGTTTACCTGATAAGATCTGATGAAGGATTTATTTAAAATATTCTATTCAAATATATACACTTTGTGAAAGTCAAATGGTGAATCCAGGCTTTTAATTCTTTGATTGGCAGAGTAATTGGGTAAGGTGATGAGAAGCAATATTTATTGACATCTTTGCTTTTAACCGGTGCAATGTTTTGGTGCACATTATAGTTCAGGCCCACCCACTATGTAACAAGGAATATGTTGTTAGTTAATTAATTGTTATAATTAAGACTTGAAATGTTATTCTTACCTAATTGATCAATCTGGTCGATGTGGCGTCATCAGCTCCAGTCGACAGGTATATTGTAGGTTGTGACTAGTCTCAGAGAGACATGGCTAATGTCATGATCAGAAGGATGTCGGAAGTATTTGTGTGTTTGGTCGTGTGTTTGTTTCACAAATCATTCAAAATATGTCCTTGAAACTATTTAGCATTCATATGGACACTTCGCTGACTATGTAATCATCATGACAAAGACCTAACTGACATGTAAGTTGGATCTCAGAAATTGTGATGTTTGCTACCTCAAAATATTCATTTCTTGCTTTGAAGTACAGAAATGATCTTGAATGGGCAGAGAACACTTCTGTTGAAGGTTTAATTCCACATTTATTGATGCTACTATGAAGTTTGAATCTTGTCCCACCAAATGAATACGTGTCATCTTCATCATAATCATCATCAGATTGTGTGATAACTCATAAATGTACATGTTTACTATTTATTCATCATGTGTATATACACTCTTTGTTGATAATAAAGAGCAATTTCAAATGGTCGTTTCTGTTTTGTTTCTGTTACCCCCCATGGAGGCTTTTGTTTCACATGGCAGCATCAATATTTCACTGGTTTTGTAGACACCCTATCCCTGATTGAGGAACGTAGTTTGTACAAAACCAATGAAGTATTGACTATGTGTTCTTGATTTGTGCCCAGTAATTTCTTTCACTGAGAACAGAATGTTTCTTTTAAGCAGCGTTCCATGGAGAAACATTAACTGCCTCCAAGATAGAGTGCACAAGAACAAGTGATGAGGAAGGACCGATCCACAAATGTCTCGATTTGGGTAAAAATCTGTACACTTTTTATAGAACATGCATTCTTTAACGGTTCTATCATTATTAGCTTCCAGGAGTTCCTAAATGACTGATTGCCATGGTAACATGGCAGTACCAAGCGTGTGCCTGCTGCATGTTTAGGTGAAGTCGGCAAAGGATAGTGAAGCAACTCACCTCAGAATTAAGCCAATTGACTCTACCAAGATGAGGTCATACTCTCCAGGGTTTTTGAATGTCTCATGTCAATCAGTGAAATTTGTAAATAAATTATATTCTATTTCCACGTACATGTTAACAAATATCTAGAATGGTCAAGTACATTTACAATCAAGGTCGAAGACATAATAAAACACTATCGATGAAAGGTCGTACACAGTGTTTGAAGCGGACAGCAATTTGACTCATACATGTATAACATATTTTATGAACGCTTCATGACTATGGACAGGCCAAGGGTAGAACTCCGTGGCTTCCATTTCTTGTGATAACACTGGATTCTGTTGGTTTTGTATGCAAAATATTTTTCAATTTGACAAATATCACTCAAACTTTTAATAAGAACATCATAAGAACGGGTTTCGTTGATTAATACTTTATAAATTTATCTTTTTGCTGAGAGCAGCATATGGTTAACTGCATGTGCAAGATCCAAACACGACAGTATATTTTGTGAATTCAAGTTCAATATTTAGATTACTGTTGATTTGTTCACATTCATAATAAATATGTGTAAATCTCCCATACAGCATTTACAGAATGTACAAATATCATCATCAACTAGGTTCATCAGAAGTAATTCTTTCTTTCTGTAGATTGTTCTATAGATAAATCGGGGCGGTCGGGTGGCCTAGTGGTTAAAGCGTTTGCTCGTCACGCCGAAGGCCCGGGTTCGAGTCCCGACATGGGTACAATGTGTGCCCATTTCTGGTGTCCCCCGCCGTGATATTGCTGGAATATTGCTAAAAGCGGCGTAAAACCAAACTCACTCACTCACTCACTCACTATAGATAAATCCATATCGAAAATACAGCTGCTGACAGTCCTTAGTACATTTTCCCAATTAACAGGAAAGTTGAAAATACCATTCAAGTTTTCTAATACTCTAATTATTGTTGATGCTTAGTTGACTTAACTTAAATGATCTGTTTGTAATGACAATTCCCCAAGCATTATGAATTTTAGTTAACAGTTAACAGTCTAAAATTGTTCCTTTTATTTTGTATCTGCTCTTAGAATCTTCAAAATTTAAAATACCATTTTCAATCCAAATATCTGTTATAATATGAACACCATATTGAAACCAATACTAAATAAGATTTTTTTTTCTCCAAAATGAAGATTGAACCAGAGTGGTTGAGCCATGATTTGTTCTATATCATCATTGTCCAACTAGTGTTTTCTCTAAAATATGTACCTTGTACTTATTGAATATGAGGTTACCCTTGTTACCTCTTGTTTACGTGTGTATGTATATGGTTATGTCAGCAATATTCTAACTTACATAATAAAGTGTAAATAATCCAGTCGGGACCAGACAAACCAGTGGTTGACATCATGAGCAAAGTTTCAGGTCGTCGGCGTACGATGACTCAGAATCAATCAATTCACCAAGTCTGACCACCCCATCGATTAAATCGCCACGTACCACTTCGAGGTACTTGTACAGGTTGCTGGGGACCTTCACTAACGCGGGATCCCCACATGGATATACATTCTGTGTGAGATTATCATGCACCACAGCCAGGGAATATCTCAGATGAGGAAATGGCCCAATGTTTAGAAATGTTGGTTGGTTGGTTTGTTTGTTGTTCAACGCCGCACTCAGCAATATTCCAGCCATATGACGGCGGTCTGTAAATAATCGAGTCTCGACCAGACAATCCATTGATTGACATTATGAAATGAGATTGTCGTTGCACGTGTAGGTGAGATGAGGTGAGGTGAAATGGGATTATTGCACCCACATACGAGTAGCAACGTGCATGCATTTGACTAGACTTGCACACGCCTCTAAGGCAATAATTATTAGTTTAAATAATAATTCCTAGATTTTGTAAACAATAAGACCAAGTTGTCACTATAACAGACTTGAGTGTACATATCTAGACTTGCCTATAAAGAGGATAGAATTACTTCTCATCAATGGACATTTCTTTCAGTACAGCCTTATAGCAAGGCTAGCATTTGACCAAGGAGGCGATTTCGTTGTAAGTAACACTATCAGAAAAAATAATACCCACTCTGGATTCATTTGAAACGCACCAATATTGACTCAAAGTGCGCATTCTGAAACGAGTTCCTGTTTTGAACAACAAATAAACAACGACATCTGCGTACAATCAGTCCAAATGCTAATGGACGATCATTCATGTTCAAGGACCACGCACAAGCCACAAAAAGCACACTAAAAGAAGCGTCGTAAAATCTACCCTTTCCCCAGGTAAAGCAGAACTGGTCAGCGTTAACTGTACATGGTTACATTACATCACTGTAATTGTTGTAAGAATGGAATGTGTTCTACCCTCTGTTAAACATGCTCGATCTGTCCCCTATCAACCTGTATGTAACCACAGAATGCCACACTGCTTTTAGGCTTAAATAATACATCTTTTAAATGTCAAATGTGAAAAGAAACCTTCTCAAAACGACGCACTTGATGATGAAAAACCCTGACATCGGAGAGGTTGTTGACATGTTTATATCAAAACTGGTTTTACAAGTTTTTCCTGCAGCATCCATGCACTCTCTCCGACCCCTTTCCAGTACCGCCTCGGCCGATCCTACAACCTCTTCGAAGTTTCGGTATGAATTATCCATGCTCCTCTTACAGTACAACTCTCTTGTTTCGTCTCCACGTGCCTTGTCTTCCCCCACCGTAACAGCCGTGCACGGCTGCAGCTACAACTACGGTACAGTCACTGTTTCTGTGTGCAATCAGACACCATATTTTATGGTCTCTGGTACAATGTAAAGGTTAATTACCAAAACGTGAACATTAGCGTATCCAGATTAAGATCGTTACTCCCTGGCCCCTGGCCACAATAGGTTCGCAGTAAATATGTTTCTGGTAAGAGCCGACTAAAATAGCGATCGGATTGTCAGTCTCTCTGACTTTCCTGGTTGTGCGTCACATTACACAGATAGCCTGAGACGTTGCTTATGCAATCAACCACGTGTTTGCCTAACCCACACTCAATTATACAGTCCTCGTGATATAGCTGGACTATTGGTGACTGTCAATTACTGGATTGTCTGGTCCAGAATAGATTATTTACAACTGCCGCTATAAGGCTGGAATATTGCTGAGTGCAGCGTTAACAACAACAACAACAAACAACAACAACAACAAACAAACAAACAAACAAACAGATTTCGCAAGTCGAGGTTTACAGTGAAATGAAAATACGCTTTGAATAGTTAAATGATCCCAGAGTTGTTCGATCAGAAAGACGTTCGTCACAGGTTTATCAAATGTATCATCAACGAGTGTTTGCTATCTGTATGAATATATCATCCCAGAATGAATATGTGATAATCATACTGGCGGTAAAACAGTTGAAACAAACGGTGAAAACAAAGTTGTTATTAATAAATAATGCGATTTATTAACAGTTATCCGATTGACATAAGCATGATCTACGCAACTGGGATACGATGACGTGCATCAACCAAGTCAGAATGGGTTGCTGAAGGCAAATTCAAACGCGGATTTTCACAGGGTTATGTTTAAGGGCTATACCGATGTTTTACATTGCCAGAATACAGGATCCCTTTGCCTCAAATGGTTTCCCAAACATTTTCAGGTGCACTTTTCTAATACGTGGGGACAGCGAGTTCGAATTGATTTCGGGCAACCTATGCTAGCCGTACGAGGCTTAACGGATCGGGTGGTCAGGCTCGGTGACTTGGATGATATGGTGTCGACGGCATGGACCGTCGTTCGCAATATCAATCGCTGGATTGTGTGTACAGACTGTATTATGTACAGATCGCAATCATATAGCTGAAATATTGCTGAGATGGACGTTACGCAACAAACAGTATATAAATAATATGAAAATTGAATATTTCAAAGAAGCAGATTGATATTTACAGTGTCATTGTTATTAAAGGATAAACATCATCAAAGTGAAACAATGTTGTTTATTCGACCAGGAAATAGCCTTGCAAACTCTGTATGAGCCCAGAAACAGCAGTAGAAATACGATTTATCTTTAATCAACATCCACATGTTCGCCAACATAAAACGTCCTGCAACAATCACTTGTTCAGGCCGTAGTTCCGTCTTTGTGAACCATCCTCAATTTTACGTGGGACTATCAAATGAAAAATGCAGCAAGGTTATGAATATTTCTTATTATGTATGAATATGATATATTTGGTATCCCGGCTGTCTGTGTCAGGTTGCATCGCAATACCAGTCTGTCGACAGTTCACCGTTTCTACCAGAAATCTGTAAATATTGTTCCAGTGATTGACATCATCAACATCGACCCACGCAATTGGGATACAATGACATGCATCAACAAAGTCAGCGAGCCTGACCACCCGATCCACTCAGTCGCCTCTTACGACAAGCATAGTTGCCTCTTACGACAAGCACAAATTTCCGGGGACCTACATACTTCCCCGGAATCCACAGTGTATACTAAACCCTATATATCAATGGCCACAACGTTCAACCACCCATATCCCTAGTTGATATTGATTGTGTTTGTTTG